TCTAAGCACTTAATTGCTTCTTAGTATTTTTGTAAATTTTTTAATGCAAAACCTAATTAATAATGCTTATAAACTAATTACCTTTGTTATTCCACGCTAATTCATATTTTGGATTAATAGAAATAGCTTTATCATAACACTCAATAGCTTCTTAGTATTTTTGTAAATTGTCTAATGCAAAACCTAATTAATAATGCTTATAAACTAATTACCTTTGTTATTCCATGCTAATTCATATTTTGGATTAATAGAAATAGCTTTATCATAACACTCAATAGCTTCTTAGTATTTTTGTAAATTATTTAATGCAGAGCCTAATTAATAATGCTTATAAACTAATTACCTTTGTTATTCCAAGCATATTCATATTTTGGATTAATAGAAATAGCTTCATCTAAGCACTTAATTGCTTCTTAGTATTTTTGTAAATTATTTAATGCAAAACCTAATTAATAATGCTTATAAACTAATTACCCTTGTTATACCACGCTAATTCATATTTTGGATTAATAGAAATAGCTTCATCTAAGCACTTAATTGCTTCTTAGTATTTTTGTAAATTTTTTAATGCAAAACCTAATTAATAATGCTTATAAACTAATTACCTTTGTTATTCCACGCTAATTCATATTTTGGATTAATAGAAATAGCTTTATCTAAGCACTTAATTGCTTCTTAGTATTTTTGTAAATTATTTAATTATTAACCTCATTAATAATAAACAATTTATACCTTGTTATACTATTCTTAATACTTCTTCATTATTCTACTTACTTTACTCATCAATCACCTGATTAATTTATTCATCCACTTAAATTTAGTCTTATACCATTTTTTTAATAGTTTCAAGAATATTATTGCATTTTAATATTTATTATTCTATTATAATTTCTAAAACAATGATACATATATAATTCTCTTTCTCCTTCATATAAAATCTCTTGATTATGTTAATTTATGACTTAAAATTTAAATAATCTTTATTCAAAAGTAATTTGTTCATACTTTCTAATCCTATAACATCCTAATCCATTTTTTTTTAAATCTATTCAAAATAATTCTAAAGTTGTTTAGAGATTTCTTTGAATTAATTCCTTGATTTATTGTAATTATGTATTAATTCCTCTATAAATTAGATCATTTTTGTGAATCTAATACAATCCTTAAAATGTTCCGAATGAGTAGTATTTAAACATTCATAACAATATTAAGTTGCATTTTAACAATTCTGATTCAAGCAAAATCCAATTATTTCTTCATTTTCATGATTCAGATATTTACACTTGAAGATTTCCATTTTTAAATCTAAATTAATAAAAATATTTACCATATTTTAATATTATATATTTATAAATACAAATCATATTTATAATAGAAAATCATTTATTATTAAATTCCTAATATTGATTTAATGAGAACTTTAATCAAGTAATTGATTACTATCATTATTAACTTTATAGAACAAATGTATCAATTTATTTTTTTGGTGAAAATTAGATGTTTTTTTTCCTTTTAGTGGTAAGAAGAAAATCAAGAATTCCAAAGATATCTTTTGTTGCTTTAAGAATGAATCTTGTTTTATCAACACCTTAATCTCAAATAGATTATCTATTTTTAATTCAAACTTCTTTCATAATTGAGAAAACTAGATGAGAAAGTAAGAGATATAATAGTTGGACAAAAGAAGTTTAATTACATGAGAGGTTTAGTNATTAGGTTTTGCATTAGACAATTTACAAAAATACTAAGAAGCTATTGAGTGTTACGATAAAGCTATTTCTATTAATCCAAAATATGAATATGCTTGGAATAACAAAGGTAATTAGTTTATCAGCATTATTAATTAGGTTTTGCATTAGACAATTTACAAAAATACTAAGAAGCTATTGAGTGTTACGATAAAGCTATTTCTATTAATCCAAAATATGAATATGCTTGGAATAACAAAGGTAATTAGTTTATCAGCATTATTAATTAGGTTTTGCATTAGACAATTTACAAAAATACTAAGAAGCTATTGAGTGTTACGATAAAGCTATTTCTATTAATCCAAAATATGAATATGCTTGGAATAACAAAGGTAATTAGTTTATCAGCATTATTAATTAGGTTTTGCATTAGACAATTTACAAAAATACTAAGAAGCTATTGAGTGTTACGATAAAGCTATTTCTATTAATCCAAAATATGAATATGCTTGGAATAACAAAGGTAATTAGTTTATCAGCATTATTAATTAGGTTTTGCATTAGACAATTTACAAAAATACTAAGAAGCTATTGAGTGTTACGATAAAGCTATTTCTATTAATCCAAAATATGAATATGCTTGGAATAACAAAGGTAATTAGTTTATCAGCATTATTAATTAGGTTTTGCATTAGACAATTTACAAAAATACTAAGAAGCTATTGAGTGTTACGATAAAGCTATTTCTATTAATCCAAAATATGAATATGCTTGGAATAACAAAGGTAATTAGTTTATCAGCATTATTAATTAGGTTTTGCATTAGACAATTTACAAAAATACTAAGAAGCTATTGAGTGTTACGATAAAGCTATTTCTATTAATCCAAAATATGAATATGCTTGGAATAACAAAGGTAATTAGTTTATCAGCATTATTAATTAGGTTTTGCATTAGACAATTTACAAAAATACTAAGAAGCTATTGAGTGTTACGATAAAGCTATTTCTATTAATCCAAAATATGAATATGCTTGGAATAACAAAGGTAATTAGTTTATCAGCATTATTAATTAGGTTTTGCATTAGACAATTTACAAAAATACTAAGAAGCTATTGAGTGTTACGATAAAGCTATTTCTATTAATCCAAAATATGAATATGCTTGGAATAACAAAGGTAATTAGTTTATCAGCATTATTAATTAGGTTTTGCATTAGACAATTTACAAAAATACTAAGAAGCTATTGAGTGTTACGATAAAGCTATTTCTATTAATCCAAAATATGAATATGCTTGGAATAACAAAGGTAATTAGTTTATCAGCATTATTAATTAGGTTTTGCATTAGACAATTTACAAAAATACTAAGAAGCTATTGAGTGTTACGATAAAGCTATTTCTATTAATCCAAAATATGAATATGCTTGGAATAACAAAGGTAATTAGTTTATCAGCATTATTAATTAGGTTTTGCATTAGACAATTTACAAAAATACTAAGAAGCTATTGAGTGTTACGATAAAGCTATTTCTATTAATCCAAAATATGAATATGCTTGGAATAACAAAGGTAATTAGTTTATCAGCATTATTAATTAGGTTTTGCATTAGACAATTTACAAAAATACTAAGAAGCTATTGAGTGTTACGATAAAGCTATTTCTATTAATCCAAAATATGAATATGCTTGGAATAACAAAGGTAATTAGTTTATCAGCATTATTAATTAGGTTTTGCATTAGACAATTTACAAAAATACTAAGAAGCTATTGAGTGTTACGATAAAGCTATTTCTATTAATCCAAAATATGAATATGCTTGGAATAACAAAGGTAATTAGTTTATCAGCATTATTAATTAGGTTTTGCATTAGACAATTTACAAAAATACTAAGAAGCTATTGAGTGTTACGATAAAGCTATTTCTATTAATCCAAAATATGAATATGCTTGGAATAACAAAGGTAATTAGTTTATCAGCATTATTAATTAGGTTTTGCATTAGACAATTTACAAAAATACTAAGAAGCTATTGAGTGTTACGATAAAGCTATTTCTATTAATCCAAAATATGAATATGCTTGGAATAACAAAGGTAATTAGTTTATCAGCATTATTAATTAGGTTTTGCATTAGACAATTTACAAAAATACTAAGAAGCTATTGAGTGTTACGATAAAGCTATTTCTATTAATCCAAAATATGAATATGCTTGGAATAACAAAGGTAATTAGTTTATCAGCATTATTAATTAGGTTTTGCATTAGACAATTTACAAAAATACTAAGAAGCTATTGAGTGTTACGATAAAGCTATTTCTATTAATCCAAAATATGAATATGCTTGGAATAACAAAGGTAATTAGTTTATCAGCATTATTAATTAGGTTTTGCATTAGACAATTTACAAAAATACTAAGAAGCTATTGAGTGTTACGATAAAGCTATTTCTATTAATCCAAAATATGAATATGCTTGGAATAACAAAGGTAATTAGTTTATCAGCATTATTAATTAGGTTTTGCATTAGACAATTTACAAAAATACTAAGAAGCTATTGAGTGTTACGATAAAGCTATTTCTATTAATCCAAAATATGAATATGCTTGGAATAACAAAGGTAATTAGTTTATCAGCATTATTAATTAGGTTTTGCATTAGACAATTTACAAAAATACTAAGAAGCTATTGAGTGTTACGATAAAGCTATTTCTATTAATCCAAAATATGAATATGCTTGGAATAACAAAGGTAATTAGTTTATCAGCATTATTAATTAGGTTTTGCATTAGACAATTTACAAAAATACTAAGAAGCTATTGAGTGTTACGATAAAGCTATTTCTATTAATCCAAAATATGAATATGCTTGGAATAACAAAGGTAATTAGTTTATCAGCATTATTAATTAGGTTTTGCATTAGACAATTTACAAAAATACTAAGAAGCTATTGAGTGTTACGATAAAGCTATTTCTATTAATCCAAAATATGAATATGCTTGGAATAACAAAGGTAATTAGTTTATCAGCATTATTAATTAGGTTTTGCATTAGACAATTTACAAAAATACTAAGAAGCTATTGAGTGTTACGATAAAGCTATTTCTATTAATCCAAAATATGAATATGCTTGGAATAACAAAGGTAATTAGTTTATCAGCATTATTAATTAGGTTTTGCATTAGACAATTTACAAAAATACTAAGAAGCTATTGAGTGTTACGATAAAGCTATTTCTATTAATCCAAAATATGAATATGCTTGGAATAACAAAGGTAATTAGTTTATCAGCATTATTAATTAGGTTTTGCATTAGACAATTTACAAAAATACTAAGAAGCTATTGAGTGTTACGATAAAGCTATTTCTATTAATCCAAAATATGAATATGCTTGGAATAACAAAGGTAATTAGTTTATCAGCATTATTAATTAGGTTTTGCATTAAATAATTTACAAAAATACTAAGAAGCAATTAAGTGCTTAGATGAAGCTATTTCTATTAATCCAAAATTTGAAAATGCTTGGAATAACAAAGGTAATTAGTTTATAAGCATTATTAATTAGGCTCTGCATTAGACAATTTACAAAAATACTAAGAAGCTATTGAGTGTTACGATAAAGCTATTTCTATTAATCCAAAATATGAATATGCTTGGAATAACAAAGGTAATTAGTTTATCAGCATTATTAATTAGGTTTTGCATTAAATAATTTACAAAAATACTAAGAAGCTATTGAGTGTTACGATAAAGCTATTTCTATTAATCCAAAATATGAATATGCTTAGAATAACAAAGGTAATTAGTTTATAAGCATTATTAATTAGGTTTTGCATTAAAAAATTTACAAAAATACTAAGAAGCTATTGAGTGTTATGATAAAGCTATTTCTATTAATCCAAAATTTGAATATGCTTGGATTAATAAAGGTAAATTAAATAATAATTTAGGCATCACATTACATAAAATAAAGACATTTAAAGATGCTATATTTTGTTATAACTAAGCTCTATCATAATGCATGAATCCATTAACATTAAAGCTCAAAGGAATATTAACTAAAATTAAAAAAATTTAGCTGATTCATTATTTGAATCAGGTAACAAAAATGAAGCTAAATAATGTTATTTATCTGCATTGGAAGAAGGATCAAAAGAAAAAGATTATATATAGAAATAGCTTAAAAAGTTATGAATCAATTATTATATCATAAAATCCCATTATTTAATCAAATAATTTAATTTATTAGAATTCTCCTTATTTATTTTTACTTTTCTCAAATTATAACTTTAACAAAATGAAATCAAATTAATTACAATTCAAAATAATCTTAATACTAAATTTAATATAAATTTAGATATAATTTTTTCTCTAATAATGTTGTAAATAAAAGAAATGAGTTATTATTATTTGGTCTTTAAATAAAGTAGAGTAAAGAGGTAAATAGAATTTTAGTTAAATTTATCTCACAAAAAAGAAATCAGTAAGTCTGCATCATTTTAATATTTTCTTTAGATGATAAGAATTCTAAAATATTGTTTCTTAATATAAATATTAGAATAATATATTAAGTCACTAATTACAATTTATTTAACCATTATTCAAGTATATTTGGAAAAAAATTTATAACAACAACAGAATGATACTGTCGAATATATTTATATGTTCAAAAATTTAAGAATTTATAAAATCGTTAGTTGTGATAACTTTCGATTATAATTATAACATATTAAATTTATATTGATATCATTTTTTAATATTAAATGTAAAGTTTATTTATATAAATTTAATAATTTATTTTTTATATTTATTAAATCATATCAATTTTTCTATTTTTTAATTTCAACCATAATTTTAAAGATTCTTTCTCTAATTTTAAAAAGTTAAATATTTAATAAGAAAGTTAAATTTTTCCATTAATATTTGAATAATATATTTTGCTAGACATCTTTATATCAGAATTTTCTAATAGTTTATTTTTATTTATTTTTTCATTTAAAAAAGAAAAAAAGATGTTGGTGTATTGCAGAAAGTCTTTTTAATTAAAACGAATTGATTTTTTTGAAAAAATATTTAACCTAAAATTAATTATAACAAAAGTGTTTAGATAATGATCTACTTTTGTCGAAAAAGATTCTCAACACTTTTTTTAAATTACAAAAAAAAGAGAATAATATGATAACTTTTCTTATGATTGATGAATTAAAGATTAATTTTTCAATAATATAATGTCTTGCTTTTGCATTATTTAATTTTGGTTTAATCTTTCTATTTCTTTTTATTTTCAATACTGGTCTATTGTTAACGATTTTCTACCACTTAATATACACATTCATCTTCTTCATTTTCATTTTCTTAGATAGTTGACATTCTCGCTTACGATAAATCCATTGAATTATAATTGTTAGTAGAATCTGAAGGATGGTCAGAGTGTTAGGGATCAAAAACCTTAATATTATCAAGACTATCTAGAATATTCTGTTCGTTAAATAGTTCAATAGGAGAACCTTCTTGTTGTTTGTAATTATTATTTGAAGAACATTTAGATAGTTTTGAGTTTTGCAAACTTTATTGTAAACTCTTGATATATTTGATTTAAATATTAGTAATATCATTTAAAGGATTGTTTGATTAAGTTGAAAAATCCCTATCAATTAAATAGTTATTTTTCATTATTTTGATATTTGAATCAATATTATGAGATTGATTATCAGTTAAAAAGGGTTTATGATTTTATGAATGATTAATTACTTAATTTTCATTATCATTTGCATAAGAGGATTATAGCTTGTTAGTAATAAGTTTACTATTTGTGATATTTATTTAAAAGATTTAGGCTCGAAGCTTTTCTAATTGACTATTCATAGTTTCAATTTCGTTCTTATTAAGATGTTATAATCGGTTTGAAAGCTCTTTAATTTATTTATTAATAAAATTAGAGAGTTTTTCTTCTAATTGAGTTTGCAATTACAGAAATTATGAAGATGCATTTTGCTGATATTAAGTTTAATTTAGAATAATTTATTGNTATAATTATAACATATTAAATTTATATTGATATCATTTTTTAATATTAAATGTAAAGTTTATTTATATAAATTTAATAATTTATTTTTTATATTTATTAAATCATATCAATTTTTCTATTTTTTAATTTCAACCATAATTTTAAAGATTCTTTCTCTAATTTTAAAAAGTTAAATATTTAATAAGAAAGTTAAATTTTTCCATTAATATTTGAATAATATATTTTGCTAGACATCTTTATATCAGAATTTTCTAATAGTTTATTTTTATTTATTTTTTCATTTAAAAAAGAAAAAAAGATGTTGGTGTATTGCAGAAAGTCTTTTTAATTAAAACGAATTGATTTTTTTGAAAAAATATTTAACCTAAAATTAATTATAACAAAAGTGTTTAGATAATGATCTACTTTTGTCGAAAAAGATTCTCAACACTTTTTTTAAATTACAAAAAAAAGAGAATAATATGATAACTTTTCTTATGATTGATGAATTAAAGATTAATTTTTCAATAATATAATGTCTTGCTTTTGCATTATTTAATTTTGGTTTAATCTTTCTATTTCTTTTTATTTTCAATACTGGTCTATTGTTAACGATTTTCTACCACTTAATATACACATTCATCTTCTTCATTTTCATTTTCTTAGATAGTTGACATTCTCGCTTACGATAAATCCATTGAATTATAATTGTTAGTAGAATCTGAAGGATGGTCAGAGTGTTAGGGATCAAAAACCTTAATATTATCAAGACTATCTAGAATATTCTGTTCGTTAAATAGTTCAATAGGAGAACCTTCTTGTTGTTTGTAATTATTATTTGAAGAACATTTAGATAGTTTTGAGTTTTGCAAACTTTATTGTAAACTCTTGATATATTTGATTTAAATATTAGTAATATCATTTAAAGGATTGTTTGATTAAGTTGAAAAATCCCTATCAATTAAATAGTTATTTTTCATTATTTTGATATTTGAATCAATATTATGAGATTGATTATCAGTTAAAAAGGGTTTATGATTTTATGAATGATTAATTACTTAATTTTCATTATCATTTGCATAAGAGGATTATAGCTTGTTAGTAATAAGTTTACTATTTGTGATATTTATTTAAAAGATTTAGGCTCGAAGCTTTTCTAATTGACTATTCATAGTTTCAATTTCGTTCTTATTAAGATGTTATAATCGGTTTGAAAGCTCTTTAATTTATTTATTAATAAAATTAGAGAGTTTTTCTTCTAATTGAGTTTGCAATTACAGAAATTATGAAGATGCATTTTGCTGATATTAAGTTTAATTTAGAATAATTTATTGCAAAAATTCTATTTGTTTATTTTGATGGTCTAATACTTTAAATATTTCTGATTTCTAGGTTTTAATTATGTTATCAATATAAGAGTAGATTGAATTGATATCATTTTTGGATATTAAGGATTAAGTTTAATTTTAATACACTGATTCGTATTAGTATTAATTGAATATTTAATCTTTGGATTGATTGGATGAAGTACTTTCTCTTTCTTTGGACACTTATCTGGAATTATTTTCATATGAGTTATAAGTATTTTATTTATGATGGTTTTATGATATGATCTAAACATAAGGAGGAATATTATTGGTGGGAGTGATTTATTTTAGTTATAATTTAATTTAATTTTATTCTAAACTGATTAATAAATTAATACATTAGACATTAACATTTACATTTCTATAAAGTGGACTAGAGGATGCAGGAGATAACCTTCTTGGTTAATACATTCAGGTAAATAATTAATTTTAATTTTGAAAAATAATTGTTAAAAATTAAATTATGAAATAATAATATTAATGGGATATTATGATGTTTAATATAACGTATATAGAGAATAAGTAAATTGATTAAAATACTATTATAAAGAAAATGATAGAACACATTGATTTTGAGATTTAAGTTTCTGATGTTCAATTTCTTTATTAATAGAAGAATAATGGGAATTTATAAAAAATATTTAATTTTATTGAAATAATCATTATAAATAATTATTACAATAGCCTTTTTTATTGATGCGTAATTAATTATTTTATTGATTACTTTATTTTATGATATTAACATTACGAACATAATTACGCAATTTTGAATTTAGTATGATATATTGTAAGATAATTACAATTATTTTAATTATTTAATAATTATTTAATGCTTGTGCATGAACAAAGTATATAAAATGAGTCTGCTGAATTGAAATAGTTGACATATGATGAAGCACTAACTCAGGTTGGAGGTGCTGGATTATATTAAAAAAGAGCATTTTTAATATTTGGATTATAGTGGATGATTACTAAGTATGTTACAAAATTCCACATTTTAGTTGGATATTGTTTTCACCAGTTTTCTTTTTTATTGAACCTACTGTTGATTGTAAGAATAATGTGGAATGTCTAAGTTAATGTACTTCTGAATCTTTAGATGAAAAGTGTCTAGCCTATGTTTGCGTACATTATTTGATCAATGTAGGATGATTCTTAACGTAGAGAATATGTTGTTGGAGAATCATTAAATACAGCTTTTAATGCTCTTTTACCTTGCAACAAGTCTTTGCAATCCATAATTAAATCTATTGTTTATATAGGATCTTTGTCTGGATTTTTTGTATTCTCATTTATTGCTGATAATTATGGTCGTAAGTTAGCTTTATCTATTTCTTGGGGTATGACTACATTAGGATCACTATTACTTGCAGTATTGATTTAATTATATATAAGTTTGCCATGAATTATTCAATGATTGCTATAGGGATATTTTTATTAGGTTTTGGAGGAAACCCAGCAATTACAGTTCATTATTCATTTATTAATGAACATTCACGTAAATTATCTAATATATAAAATTTAGAGGGTCATTTTAGAGAAATTTAAAATGTTGGAGTCTAAGTCTTCTTTGCACTTGGTGAATTTACTATAATAACTTTGGCATATTTTGTGTCAAAGTGGAGATGGTTAGCAATTTCAGTTGCATTACCCACTGTTCTATTAAATCTGTGTAATTTTTTGATTTTTGAATCTCCTCAATTTCTATATTCAAAAAATAAGAAGAAATGTGTCAAAGTTCTTAATTAGATTGCTAAAATTAATGGAACCTAGCCCCTTTCAATCAATGAGTTGGCTTCTAACCCATAAAGCAGGGAGAATAACTCTAGAGTTTATACAATCTGGGATTTATTGAAATATAAATCTCTTAGATATGTATTTTTAGCTGGAGTTATGATGTTCTTTGCTATTTAAGTTACATATTATGGGATTAGTTTTGTTAGTGATTAATTAGGCCTCGATTTCTTTCTAAGTAATTTCATTATTGCTTTCTTTGAACTCTTAGCTTATGCAACAACAGGTATATCATCATCATATTGTAAGATTTTTTTATTACTAAATTAAAAAGAAAGAAGAACATTATAGGAGGTTTTATTATTGTAGGAATTATGAGTCTGTATTTTATTTTTAAAAGTGATCACATTGTTTTCAGAATCTTTCAAGGAGTATTGGCAGGAGTATACTTTTAATATCATCATATTAGTTAATGAGATTTCTAATATGTGTTGTTTGGGCATTAGCATATGTTTATGTATCTGAACTGTTTCCCTCAGTTGTGAGATCTTTAGCTTTATGTTTGATATCAGCTGGAGGTTCAATTGGTAGCATTGCTTAAGCATTTCTAATAAATATTTGTTCTACCATAAATATTCATCCAATGGTTGCATTTGGTTTAATAGGATTTTTGTGCTCTTTACTTTTGTTTCCTTTGAGAGAGACTTTACATCAACCTCTTTTAGAAAAGATTGAAGAGGATGATAATAGAATAAGAAAGAGTATGCTACATATCAATGAATCAGAGGAAATCACAACATCTGTTCTTGATGATAATGAAGAATGATTATTTTTTTAATTTCTATTTGTTTAGTATTAAATAAGGAATGTTTTTAATATTTTCAATATTTTCTATTTTTAATATCTCCCAGAATATTATTTGGTTTAAATTATTGAGATCTTATCATTTATTATGAATTCAATCAAATTTACTATAATCTCCAAAACTAGGACTTGGAAGTAATTTACATTGATAAAGACTGGTAGATGTGGATCTATACTTTTGATAATTTAATTAGGAGAGTTAAATATTAGAAGGTAAAGAAGACATAAGATATTAAAATGTTGGCTATAATAAGATACTACTAAGTTCATATTTATTATTTCTTTATTCTTTTAGAATATGTTAATCAAACACATTTTTTAAGTACTCCTTTTTTTTGAGTTCATAAAATTAATAGATATTTCTCATATTTAATTAATGTCTGAATTAAAATTTAAATTAATAAAAAATTCTGTTAAATAGTTAATAAATATTATAATTCAAAGAAATGAATGACAATGTATAAACTAGAGTAACAGGAATTTTTGAGAAATTGAACAACATTTAAAATTAAGTATAAGATGAGTATGAATTAATTATCATTAATAAATTATAGAAAAAATAGCAGATTTTCCATTATTGCTTAGTTAATTGGCCAGTTTGAATCTAATTTAAGAAATGCATCTTAATAAAAAGAAGCAATATTTAGTTAATTGGCAAATAAATTTAAAGAATTACAAGGATTCTTGGAAATTGAAAATGATAAGTATTAATAATTTGAAAATTAGTCGAGTGAGATAAGAATAAGAAACATAAAAAATGATTGTTGATTTAGAAAGACATGCAAAAAGATTATTAGAAACTAGTTAAAAAGAAAGAGTAGATTAAGAAAAGAAATTAACTTATGCAATTAGTTAATAAATAGATTTCATTTCTTAAGATGTTAATAGATAAGGTGTTGAACTATTAGAATCACATAAATATGTGGATATTTATTTAAATGAAGATTTACCTAAAATTGCTGATGATCTTTAAAATGAAATTGATGAAAGAAGAGAAGTTGAAGAAAGGATATACCATCAATTTATGGAATAAATTTCAGATCTAAGAGAATTATTTGATAGGTATTAATTAAATTATAATGTATTATAGAGAAAGAAAAGAAAGAGAAGCAAAAGAAGAAGACATAGTTGAAAATTTAAGAGAAGTTTAATTTAGAATTACAGAATTATTGAAAAGAAATAGAAAAGAAAGAGAAACCACTGAATAAGAAATGGTATCTTTAGTAGAGACTGTAATTGAAAAAATTAAGATTGAAATGTTAGAAATGAATATGTGAAGTTTATTTATTGAATAAATGATATATTCTTTAATATCTATCAATAATATCATCTTCCTGACCATGAAGCAACTTATTTCTTGAACATGATGATAACTTCATCCAAAATAGCATTTTCTTCATTTCTCTTTGCCTTTGCTTCTTCATAATCAGCTCTCTTTGCTTCTAAATCAGCTTATGCTTAATCTAAGGCATCTTGTGATTCTTATAATATAATCTTAGATTTAGCTTATTAGGCCAAAGCAGCTTGGATTTACTAATTTAATAAATAATCTATACAGTAGCAGTTCTATCAGCAAATACTTATTTTCTTTCATATTCTACTTCCAAACTTGTGATTTCAGCTTCAGATAATGAAACCCATCCAGCTAATTCCCAAGATGCATTAATTTCATTTTATTTCAAATTCTCCAATGATGCTTCTAATTCACTTTCTAATCCTTCAAGAACTGCCAAGACTTTTTCAGCCAATGTTGATCCATTTCCAGATGATTATTCCTTCAATACTTCAATAATTTACTTATTATTCTTAAGCTAAAGCTAAGAATGATTTGATTTGATGTTCTTAGAACAAATTGCTATATTATTTTAATTTTTCAGCAACTGATTATGCTTTTACTTATGTAAATTCAAATGAATCTCCATTTATAATATAACCAGCAACATCTTATTTAAGAAGTTTGATAACTTCAAGGGCTTCTTGGTTGTGTTTAATTGATTTAACAAATAATTGATTGCTGAAGCATTAATTATCTTATAATGTTTCAATTTTAGCTGCAATTGAATCTCTTCTAGCTTCATTCCAAGCTAAATAATTTTTGGTTTATTATAAGACTTATTCATATTCAGCTCTATTTTCAACGGCTTGTTAGAATAATTTTTAATTCAAGGCTTTGATTTTGGTGAATTATTCAATTGTTCTAATATTTAATTTATTATATTTACTAAGCACCAATCCATTCATCTGTTTCATTCTTTTAATCTGCAGCAAATTAAGCATCAATATTTGATTATTTCAAATCATTTAACAATCCAAACACTGTATCAATAGCATCACTTGCTTTAGTTCCAGTCTATTTGAATAAATAATTCAACTTACTTATAAAAGTGCTAAGATTTAATCTTAAGTTTTTGATGCATAGGTTGTTGCTGCTAAGGCAAATAATACAACAATCATGTATTTCATTTCTGAAAACTTAATATTAAAAAACGATTAATATTAAAAACGAATTAATTGTAAAATCTATAATTATTTTCTTAATTCTATAATATATTATAATTGATTGATTGATTCATTTTATTTGATACACATTTTATTAAATGTAATTAAATTTGCATATTTAATTAAATTTGCAAATTTTACTATAATTAATAATTATTAGATAATGAGATTTATTATAATTAATTTTCCTATAAAAATTGAACTCTTTAAATATATTTATTGTATTTATTAAAAGAATTATAAACGGTTAAATAATTATAATGATTATAATTAAAAATTTAAAATAAAATAGTGTAATATTTTTATTCTTTATTTAACTGATTCCAAAAGTATCCATAATAATTGATTGAAATAAATTAAGAATAAAACTAGTTTTGAAATTGAAAATAACATAAATTAAAAATAAACTATTTTCATTAAATGTTGCTTTTTTATTAATAATTATTAATAATTATTATTTTCTGTCATTAATGTGTTATAAAAATAATACACTAATTAAGTAATATAAAATTTAATTCATTCGAAATAACAATAAATTAATTCATAATATAAAACACTAAATCTTAATTATCTATTATAATGAATCAAAACGATCTATATCTAATTGAAGGATTAAACTTTATCAAAGGCAGAAAGACTCAAATTTACATCATTCCAGAGCCCTTAGGATTCAAACTATTAGTATTTATTAACTTTAATTTTTAGGACCCATTGAATTTGAGTTTCAAATTATTAGTATATTGGAGTGATGAAAGTGTAATATTAGATTGGAATGATTACATTGAAGGAACTTGCTCTAATGGATTATACTTTAGACTCATTTATTAAGGTGAAGAATACAAAATAGAGGGTACTGCTGAATAACTGGACTAGTTGTATAACTTTTGTTCTGGAAAGTTCATTTTTAAAAAAAGTAATATCTTTATATAGAATTCTGTCATAGAGACAAATTCATAATATTAAGTATATAAATATGTTAAGTAAAGCTGTCCCTTATAAAAAATATCAAAGAAAATAAACAGTATATTGAGAAAAGAATATTTTCAAGCTTTATTTCTCCAAGGATGGAGATGTCAAATTCATTTAATACTTAATTGGAGTAAGACAGAATACCAGAGGAGGTGAGGATCATCTAATTACTGAATTCTTAAAAATGTCCTTACATTATGAAAATTGAATCAATCACTTTTGATGGTGATTACTATTCTTTAATCTACACAAACAAAAATTTAATATCTTTAAAGTAGATTTTAAAAATACAAAAAATGGGTTTGCCTCTTTCTTTTGTAATTGAGATTTTAGAATAATTGTTAATTGGTATGATATAATTTTATTGTTAGTTTTAAACATTTTCCATGAGCTTCAAATAATTCATAATGGTATTAACTTGGAAATGATTAATTATTCCCTAGAATCTAATTAAATTGTAATTAGTAATTTTTCTTCATCCACTTTTGAATGTAATAAAGAAATACCAATGTAAATAATTATCATAAGTTTTAGAAAGGGAAATACTATAGGTTTTATTCCTCCTGAGTATTTATCAAATAAATACCTGATTTCACCTTTAGCTAATATATTCCAATTAGGCACACTTTTATATCATCTGTAATTATTATTATTCATATCATTAGGTTATTTAATCAAAATCCTTTTGGTAATGACCCATAAACCAAGCTTTAAAACAATATTTTGGGTAAATATAATATCCTAAATACAAATATTGATAAGAATATCATTGACTTACTCAAATCTATGATGCAAACAAATCCTCAAAAGAGAAAAACACCTAAAGAATATTTGTGCTCAAAGATTTTTAAACCTTAATATCGATCTAAGATTTCTAAAAATTCATTCTTATCGTTTCTTCTCGATAATCATCTTTCGAAAATCGAAGAATTTGAAGTGGAGAATGAAAATCCTATCATTCAAAACATTAAATCTCTATCTATTAATAAAAAAAAGAATTGATATTTGATATATAATTTGTGTTAGAAAGTGGCGATATTACCATAACTAAATATAAATTGTGTTCAATTTATAAATACAAGTATCACTTGAATATCTTTCTTTCAATAAATTTCAGTTTTAATTATGGTTCGAATTATAATTATTCTATAAATAAAGAATAATTCTAAACATATTATTATTTTACTAAGCTGAAATGATAATTATAGATATATAGGTCTAAAATCCATTAGAAATTAAAGTGAGATCACTTTGTTTTTAATAATAGTACCAATCAACAATAATTATTAATTAGATAATCCTTATAAATTTATTACAATTAATTTATAAATAATAAATATAATTAAGTAATTTAATATTTCAATTTAATATAATTTTATATTAAGATCTAAATATCACTAATCTATATTAATTTGATAATTCAAATTAAATGTGTTAATATGCCTTCTTTCCATATTCCTTTAATAATTTATCCATTAATTGTAGAATAAACTCCTTCTCCATCAATCATACCATCATTAAATGTACCTTCAAATTTTTCTCCATTTGTTAAATAAAGTATACCAATCCCATAAAACTTTCCTTCCTAAAATTAACCTTTGAAATATTATCATAAATTACCTTCATATCCTAACCAACCATTTTCAATTCCACTCAAATCTTAATAATCAAATGCTCCATCAATATATTCTGCTTAGAAATTTATTAATTTGCCTTATCCATGATATTAATTATCATGCCAATAACCTTTGTATACTTTATTATCATTTTCATCAATCAATATTCCAAATCCTTCTTTTGTACCTGGTTTATATCCCTAACCTCTATATATATATCCATCTGGATATTAAAGTGCAAGTTCTTATAATTATTATTCTTAATCATTATTATAGGAAATTTACGATTGCTATTATGAATTTTAATTGCTTTAAACTAAATTATCATGCTAAGAATCACTTTAAATTTCATAATCAAATAAATCTGCCAAAAATTTTTTGTGTTTTTTATTTGAAAGTAACCATTTTTATTACTCTATATCTTAATAAGGAATTTATTATGATTAATTTACATCATAATAAGGAATTTATTATGATTAATTTACATCATAATAAGGAATTTATTATGATTAATTTACATCATAATAAGGAATTTATTATGATTAATTTACATCATAATAAGGAATTTATTATGATTAATTTACATCATAATAAGGAATTTATTATGATTAATTTACATCATAATAAGGAATTTATTATGATTAATTTACATCATAATAAGGAATTTATTATGATTAATTTACATCATAATAAGGAATTTATTATGATTAATTTACATCATAATAAGGAATTTATTATGATTAATTTACATCATAATAAGGAATTTATTATGATTAATTTACATCATAATAAGGAATTTATTATGATTAATTTACATCATAATAAGGAATTTATTATGATTAATTTACATCATAATAAGGAATTTATTATGATTAATTTACATCATAATAAGGAATTTATTATGATTAATTTACATCATAATAAGGAATTTATTATGATTAATTTACATCATAATAAGGAATTTATTATGATTAATTTACATCATAATAAGGAATTTATTATGATTAATTTACATCATAATAAGGAATTTATTATGATTAATTTACATCATAATAAGGAATTTATTATGATTAATTTTCATCATAATAAGGAATTTATTATTATTAATTTTCATCATAATAAGGAAATAATTATTATTAATTTTCATCATAATAAGGAATTTATTATGATTATTTGATTGGTATTTATGGATTTAAATTTCTTTAAAGTAAATCTCTTGTTCTATCAACAGCATTCTAAAATTTCTTTTCTAAATCATATTCTATTTAATCAAATTAAAAAAGCACATATTATTATTTTGGTAATGATTATTCAAGAGGTCTCTATTCTGGAACTTATTGAAGTTTTGGTTAATTTGGTGGTTGTATATTTTATTTTTATATGGATTATTAAATTAATTATGAATATTTTGATGAAACAATTTAGGGAGGATGCTATTATGGTTGTCTAGATTGAATAATTGGACCAGGATAATATTCTTGAATTGATGATTTTAGACTATGCAGTGATGATTTGTAAAAGGTTTATTGATTTGCCATTTCTAAGTGAATATAATTTTAATTATTCTAGGTTTTTTTATTTTATTGTATTTTATTTAAAATTAATTAAAAAAAGTTACAAAATATATTCAATAGATATAATTATATAATCAAAAACCGTAGTCAAAACATTCTTTTGTTTATTATCCATTCTTTATGATCTCTTATTTCTTACCTGCAAATGGAATTCTATGTAACCAATCAGATGGAACTCCCTTATAGTTTTTAGGATCCAATTCTATTGGATCTAATTATTATAAATAATTTGGAGGTGGATTTCTATTGATTATAATCTATTATACTTATCATCAAATTATTTCACTTATTATAGTTCAGCAGTAATTTAATTCTTCTACTCTTATTTAGGTGATTGTTTCAATAAGGAAGGATTTATTTCATTAACTTTGCAAGTTAATCGATTTGCTTTTTCTTTTTTCTACTTCATTTCTTCAATAAACTTATTACTTGCCTTATCAGGGATAGCTAAATGATCATCAATTTTTAAATTTGACTCTGATTAGATTTATACCTTTTTATCTATTTTTTTTTTTGAATCCTTTGTTTTCTAATCATTACTTATTTTTGACTTATTCTCATTTAATGACTTCTATGTTCTATTATCCAAAGCTGATTATGGTCTCTTTATTTTCTATTGATTTTTCTAATTCTCTTACAGATGTGATTCACCTTATACACTACCTGCTTCAGAAGCAAATCGTAGAGTATTACTCAAATCAGGTTTCTTTATGCTGAATTCAGGTATTACTTATTTACCTTTTGAATCTAATTATTTCTTTAATTCTTAATAAGGTTATGGAGTCAAAGGATTCCTTGATTTTAAGGCTTCTACTTATTCTGGATTTAATCTATCCTCTTCTCTACAATTTCTAGGTGGTTCTGGTTCTACATTAGCAATAGCAGCTCCTTTTCTTAATGCATTCTAATAAGTCTAAATGTAAAATGGGTCATTCTTATTTCTATGTGGTTAAACATTATGTGATAAGAGATGTTAACCATATATTATTCCACCAACTGCAGGATTGACATTATTATATCCATAAGGACCCCATGCAGGTTTACCAAAATATGTTGTAAATGCTGAATCAGCTATCCAACGAGTTTCACCTTAAAATTTCTTTATTCTTTCCTTTCTTCTTTTTAATTTTTCAGCATCTTCTGGATTATTTGGATCTAAAGTCTTTGCTTTTTTAATAAATTTAGTTGTCATTTTTTTATTTTAATCATCATTCTATTAATCATTAATATCTTCTTCTTCTTCATCAGAACTTATTTAATCATCTTCTTCTTTTTTAGTTTCCTCATAATAGAATCCACTTTATGGATGTGATACTTTGTATTATCCTTTAAAATTTTAATTGTTTTCTTCTAATTAATACATAAGTTCATTTTAATCTTTAATATCTTTGACTTAATAGTTATCTCTATATGCAGATTATTATTTTGGATTCCATTTTAAAGGCAATTTATATTAATTATCTAAATCTTCTTATTATTAATATTATTAAGGTTAATTTGTTTATTATGATTTTATATGTTAACATTCACAAGATTTAGCAATATTTTTGATTGTTTTGTCATCTAATTCTATAAATTTTGTTAAAATATTACTTACTTTAAACATAAATTTAAGAATCATCAACTTTTAATTTTTCAATTTTTCTAAAATTATCTTTATTTTCAGTTTGCCAATGTTAATTTTCATGATTAATTCTTGTTGTAACTTTTTTAGTTTCTGGTTCTTTTTCAACTTAAATTTTCTTTTTAAAATCCCAAGGTTCATCTTATTATAAAGGCCATTTCATAATATCAAACATATTTGGTTCTTCATTTCTTGGCTTATTCTTTTTACCAAATATTTTATTATCATCTAGATATAATTATTTAATACTTTCATATACTTATTTGAGCACTTAATCTTTACTTTTCATATGACTGTTAAATTGATCTTTAATAAATAAATAAAATTTAATATTATTATTATGTAAAAAACTTTAAAGAAAACAAAATAATTCATTATTAATCAACATCATCATCACTTTATAATTTGACTTCATTATCTATTTATTATTATATTTAATTTTCAACAATTTCATCTTATCTTATAGTTTCTATTTATGATTCTTCATTAAGTTAAGGAATTTCAGGCAATTCTTATTTAGTCTAATTCTTTTCATCTTATTATTATTATTTTTCTTCTAATTATAAAATTTCTTTTAAAGTAGATTCATCTTCTTAATTTAATAAATAATTGATTTTGTCTAATTCAGAAACATCAATTGATTTATTTTTCACACTAATATTTAAATATATATATATACTTGAGTATTGGTTATAACTACAATTTTTCTTTTTTCTTACAGGATATTGAACTATGATTTGTTGTATCACGATTAGATTAAGTTAAATTATTTCTAATATAGATTTAAGATAATTACCTAATTGAATTAACATATTATTAACATTATTGATATCTTTAAAGTCTTTACATTAATCTTTTATTTTCCTTATATTGATGAGAATATTCATCCAATTTTAATACAGGTTCTTATTTCATAAGTCTATCAGCTAATTTAATATTTTCATGTTAAATTTATTAAGCTTAGAGTTTGCGAAATGTTAAATTTAAATTATGAGGGTGATGTAAATTTTCATCTTCATATTTATAGTATTCTTATTACATTGGCCTATTGCAAATTTCTGTTATTTTATAATATAATTAACTGTTTCCCTTATTGATTCTTTCTGATTATTCTAAATTTATTAAAATCTTCATTAAATCATACCACTTAAATCAAAACGTCTTCTTTATTGTCTAATATTATTTCTCTTTTCTAAATTTTCTATATGTTATACTCTTGATTATGAATGAGATTTTTTGCTTTTAATTTCATTCAATTTTTTTAGATGAAGATCATAAGACCTAATAAATATAAAGATAATTGATTACTTTTCTCTAGAAAATATTTAGTCTAATTTATAATTATAATTGTATTAATGATTAGTTCTCATTAATTAAAATAAATAATTAATATAATGTCACAACCATCCGACACTAAACAATCAATTCATAGTGGTAGAATGATACTTCATCCATCATTAAAGTTAGATAAATCAGCAGCATTTTTTAAAGATACAAAAGTTAGTTCATGTTCTTATGTGAAAATGAACAAAGGAAATCCTGAAGTAATAAATAATAATATTATAAAAGGCTATTCCATTTTATGAAATTGCAAACAAAACTCCAGCAGAACATGAAACTAAATCTACATACACAACTTCAACATATTCGTAATTTATTCATTTATAATTTAAAGAGATTATTATAAAGTAAAACCTTATTTACATGTTGGATCAACTAATAAATTATTGGAACCATATAATACAGGTTCATTTAGATCTAGATTACCAGAACCTGATGCTCCAATTCTTACTAAAAATGCATCTTAAGTAGAATTAGGAGAAAGACAGTATTCAGTGATAATAAATTTAGTTTTAATGTTAAAAGACACTTTCTAAGTACAGCACATAATGTTTATGGAAATTTTGGTAAATTTGGTAATGTAACAAATCCAGGAATCTTATCAGAGAAAACTAAATGGCATCACCATTTATAATAAAAATGATAAGATAATATGTATAATCATTAATTAATATTATTATCTTTAAGATTGTATAGATATTTAATTTATAATGTATTGATGTAAATTTTTATTTGTCATTTTTCTTATTATTTTATTATAGTATTCTAACTTTAAGGTTTATTCTATTATTTAATTATCATAATTTTCAATTATTTAATTATGAGTAGAATTATGATATATATTATTATTATAATAAATATATGAATTTATAGAATCCAAATAAATTAAAATGGTAACAATAATACATTCGAAAATACAGAGATCTTTTGGGAATATCAAAGTATTATCTAAACGAAGACAATTAGTCTTAGGATTTAAGAAGTTTAACCAATGGATAATCAGATAACTCCGATTTATTTAGATCATATAGATAGAGTATCAAAAAAGAGATCAAAATCTATGAAATATAATGATGAAAGTTTTCAAAGTAGAAATAGTTCATATTGTGTAAATAGAAAATTATCAGAAATGAATTCAACTAAAATATATTCAGCTGCTGAGATGAATTAAATAATAAAACATGCAAAACTTTGTGGGATGTTAGATAATAATTCATAAGTATTATTACATTAATTATAGCATTAATAATAATTATTAGAATAAAATAGAAGACATTTTGAAGAAGTTAGAAATCTATAGAGAAGTTGGCATTACTATAAGATTAGATAAGAAGAATAAAACTTAAAATTCAATAGAATTCCTATGGAATAACATTATTAATTGAAATAAAATCATAAAAGGAGAGATATTAATATATAAAGATTAATTTAAGAATAGAAAAGTGTATTCTTAACTCACAATACATAAACAATCAAATAGTAGGATTTGATATATCTTTTATCTGAATAAATTTAATTATGAGTACAGTAAATTCTGAAATACGAATATTAATATATAAATTTAACATGATAAATAGGAAAACAAATCTATCCTATCTAACCAAAAATTTGTTTAATCAAGATTATGATTAATCAACCATATTTTAATCTCCTTTGAAATCACCTGATAAATCTAAGTAATTTCTAAATTAGTCTCCAATGAAATATGATAGTATTGATAATCTAATGGAAAGTTAAAATATTATTAAGACTTAAAGACCTTCAGAATTTAATCTAAAAAGAATGCTATCTAAAATAGATGATTTTGAAAATGTTTAGGATACATAAAAACCACAAATAACAATTCGTTTTAGAAGACATGATCATTTTTAATCTTAACCATTACTTAAAATTGATGTTAAAAATGATCTTGATGACTTTTTTAATAATAATGATGATTAGTATATTAAAAAACAATAATCAAAAATTAAAGAAAGCAAATTATATCAATTAATAACATTTACTGATTATGTAGAAAACTTATATGGCAAAGATTGGTTTAATACTCCTATAAGAAGACCTCGTAGATAAAATACAATTCAAGAATTCTTTGATACTCTTGAATGATTTTTAATAAACTAATTTATATTTTATATCAATATTTTCATCTTTTATAATAATGAAGAAGTCTTCATCTCAAAGAATACTTGTTACATAAGATGAATTTCTAAGAATTCAATCCTATGTCAATAAATCAATTTAATCTCATTCTAAACTAAAAATCAAACCAAAATCAATACCTTAATAATGTTAATTCAAACCAGAAGTATTAATACTTATATTTATAGATTAACAAATAATCAATTAATTTATAAAGAACAATAAATGATCTTTATAGATGGAATCTAAATAAATTATAAAAAATTAACTAAATAAAAGAAGAAGAAGTAATTATATATCATCTATCTAGATAAGAGAAATCTAAAATAATGCTAATAGATTAACTCATCAAATCACTTCTTCATCTGTCTTTAATAGACTCTATCAAACCAGGAAAACTAGTGCCTACACTATTTGTAATTAGATATATTATATTAGAATAATCCAAAAGAAATACTCATCAAGATTAACCCTATTATACTAAAAACATGACTAAATCTATGTATTAAGAATATCAAAGATAATTCTAACATATCCATAATAATATATAATCTAAATCTAAAACATAAACAACTGAATAATCTTAAATGCAAACACCTATTTAATATGATCTTGATTAAGAATTACCTCTTTCAATTAATAATGTAATAAATCTATATTTATAATTAAAAGATGAAAATATCAGTTCCAATACATTAATATTTTGATCTTAATAAATAAATTCAGAATTCATCAGATCAATCCAATTTATAAGAGAAAGATATTGAAGTTATGGTTGAAAAGTATTATAAAATTATAATCTAGATTGAATAATTGGTAAGCTAAAAAACTAGAAAGAGAATTATTCATTGCTTAAGAATACAATAATTAATAAATATCTGGTCATTCGTAGAATCAACCAAAGAATTATTCGAATATATTTTTAAATATATGATTTGTTTTATCATTTATTACTATTATTTAATATCACTAATTATCATATGAAATTCAATTATTCTATTGTTTCTTATTCATAACAAAAATAATATTAAGAATTCATTTTTATTATATTTCATTAAAATAACATTAATTTATATTAAATTATATTCAAATCAAATTATTAATCATTAAACAACCAATCAGAAATATACTCTTCAAAGAAATTATTAATAAAAATTAATAATATAGATATAATGTTAACGTACTTAAAATTCAATTTTATTTATAAATTTAATAATTATCAATTTTACAGAAAATACTTTATTTTCAATGATTAAGTTTTAATACAATTTCATAAATTTATTTCTTCAAAGTCATTGATAATAATAATAATATCTGTATTATATTTGATTACCAACAATTAATAATTATTTTATTATAGACTATTATGAATTAATTGAAAATGAACAAATCAAACAAAGAGTATTTAGAATTAAACCAAAACATAATTTAATATTTAGTAAGATGATCTCAACAATTAAAATAAAAAAAGAAATTGATATTTAAATAAAGATTATATAGTATTTAATAAATCTAAATAAATGATGAGAATATCATAATAAATATATTCTTATGGATATCATAATAAAATGAAATTATTTTAGAGATTTAAAATAGTATTCAATATAAATGAAATTACAAAATATCAAGTTTGGTGTATGAAAGTAGGACTTCTTTTATGTTATTTTTAGAACTAATATATCTATTTATTTTACATCTCTTATAAATTATGTTAAATGTTTTGATTATCTAATCATATTATTATATTATGATTGTTTTTATCGATATTATTCTTAGATATATTATTCTTGAATATACTCTTAAGTTTCTGCTTATAAATCTGTGAATCTTTTATTTGGAGGAATAAACCACTTATTATATTGATTAGATCGTTTTGGTGATTGTCGTTTATCAGTCTTGATCTTCAATTATAATTCACTTTAAGATTTAGGTAAGCTATGTAAACTATAAAGTGAACTGGCTCTTCTATTCTTATATTTATTATCAGGTTAAGTTGTTTCATGTTAAGGAGTTGAATCATTAGCATTTGTATGAACAATTTTATCAATCCATCTATGTTCATCAAAATTATTAATTTTTTGTTTAGGAATCAAAACAGGAGGTAGTATTGTTAATTATTTAGATTTTAATCTAGAAATCAATCTAGTATGAATTGATTCAGAATTATTCTCATTTTAATTCATATAAAATGTTATTATTAAATAAAATTTGAATAATGCAATTAATTTATCACTTATAATAATGATTGATTATAATATAAAGATCAAGTTCATAATAATATAATAAATTTTTTATATAAGGTGATATATTATTGAAATATTAAAGAAATATTGCTAGATTAGTTAATAATTGAAAAATTTCCATTTATATTTTGATAATAATATAGAGAAATTTGTACTTTAGTATTAAATATATAGGAATTAATTTTTTATAAAATTAAATAAAATGGTTATTAAAAAGGTCTTTGAAGATTTTTATCGTGAAAACTTTTTAATGATTAGAGATAGCTTTTATAGGAATTAGTATTTTAGTTTTGGATTGATATTGTTTTAAACCTTTTAGATATAGGGAATATTTCTTAGCGAAAATAATTTTGAACCATAAAAAGATGAAAAGAAAAGAGGAATAATGGATGCAATAATTTGGATTTTAAAAGCATCAAAGTAATTATTGAAATTAGAATATTAGAATATATCCTATATTTCAATCTGAAACAAACTTAAGTCAAATATATTTTATAGATGTTTGTTTCTTTATTATTCTAATTGTGATTTCTCTTATTAATTTAATTCTTGTATTTAAAAATAATAGTTAACAGAAATAATCAAATTAGAAAATAAATGGATTATTTTCTTTAAAATTTTCAGATTTCCCCATTAAAGTATATAGATTTTATTAATATGTATAGTTGTAAACTAAATAATATTTTCATGTAAATTTTATCAAATACATAACTAATACAATATCATTCTTTTTGTAAACATATAAATATGTGTTCCATTGGATAACAATTTATTGTTCATTAAATATTTTTTACAGTTATATTGCAGATGATCAATAAGCTAATCAAAGTAAGTTCAAATTTTAAATTAGATTGGATTTATACATAAGGTATAATTGCTTCAATATTTGTCTTTTTATTTTTTCTATTCCTTGATATTTTTATAATGTTTCATTGTTTTGATTATAAATTTAAAAATAAAGATTATTTAGGAAAAAAAGAAACTGGATTAGAATTATTATAAAATATCTACATATATGCATGCATAATTATTATAATATTTACTAAACAATAATACCCAAATTTACAATTATTATTAGGACTTTTTTGTAATTTGTTTTTATTACTTTTAAGTACTCTATAAATATTATTTAGAAGACAATAAATTAATACTTTTTAATCATTTATTTTTGGTCAATTTATATTTATTTATATTGCAGAAATTTGTTATATTAATAATTTATTTCCTATAGATTTTATTAATTTATTGGTTTTTATATCATCTCCTATTATAATAGGAGTATAAATAATTATTAGAAGAGAATAACTTAAATATCATTTTGCTGTAAATCTTAAGGATTCAAGAAATCTAGAATAAAAATTAAGAATTATGTATGATTTGATTAAAATGACTTATTATAAGGATTGGAGAACATTTAAAAAACCTATTATTAGAACTCATATTTCTCTTTAATTACATAGTGTAGCAGCTAATCATTTAAGAAATTGTTCAGGGTATTAAATAGATGAAAGTTAAAGTTTACAATATAATTTTACTAGATAATGTTTTTGTAAACAATACTTTTAATATAGTGAATAGAAATCTATTACATTTTGGAAAAGAGATTTAGATCATGAAGCAGAAAAGAAATATTTTGCTTTTACTAATGAAAAATAATTTAAATAATTTTTATTTGATTTAATTAGATATTATTTTGAAAGATTTTTATAAAATAAATCAATAATGGAAAATAATGAATAATTTTCTTATATTTATTTCCTATTTTAAATATAAAAGAAACCAACAAAAGCATTTTATGAAGCTATGAATTTAAAATTTAAAGTAAAAAAATTAAATTAAAAGAGAGCAATGATAATTGAATAATTAATTTAAGATGCAAAACATAATTTTAATTAAATGATTGAAAAAAAAGATTTAAAAAATTAAAAATACAATTTTAAATAAGTTTTTGATTTTGATTAAAATCTTGATACTTCTAAATAAAATTTTTAAATTATACTTACAAATTATAAGAAATGGTATTATCAATTATTAAATTAATAATTATAATTATAATCTATTATAAAAAAAGGAACTGAATTATAATTATAAATTTAAGTCTTAGAAAAATAATTATCCTAATTATATTAATTAAATCCTGTTTCAACTGAATTAGATACTATCATTTATTTATTTTATAAATACTTAAATTTTAATATAAAAAGACCTAAAACAACAAAAAGAAATTCTCCATATGCTAACTAATTTGTATAATCAATCAATTAATAAGTATTTTAAAGAGATTCATGTATAATTTATATTTCATTAATGAATCAAAGAGGTTCAATTTAAAATTATACTAAATCATTCAAAACTCTTATTTTAGGTAATGATTCAGATATTAAATATTAAAATATAAAACATTTCATGCCTGATTCAATTGCTCAACATCATGATATGTATTTAGATAATTTTATTGAATTTGGTAGAATGAATATTGTTATGGCTGAATAAAGATTTTTAATATTAAAAAATAAAGAATCTTTTATAATTCCAGTTTATGCTAAGGTTAGATTAGAGAATTATTCAAATAGTGATTTTGGATCATCAGCATTAATCACTTAAATAAATTAATAAAATTATTATATAGTAATAAGTAAATTTGGAATGTTGGAAGAAATATCATAAAATTTTTATGAAGATATTATAAAGAAAACTTTTAATTGTCCACCTACTTAATTAAAGAATTTAAATTTTCTTAGAATGATGCCATGTTTATTAAGAGATTTATAGAAACTTGAATAAACTTAAAAAAATAATACTGAAATTGATTTTGAATTTTTATAATAGAGTAAAGACAAAATAAATTATGATATTATGAAAGAAGGACATATTCTAATACCTAGATAATTTAATTTAACAGAATATATATAATTACTTAAGACTAGTGTAATTGGTGATGCTCAAACATATTTTATATAAGAATAATAGAAATGTCATCTTTATTATTAGAATGTTTAACATTATTATATGTTTTATGTAAAATATAAAATAAGATTAATGAAGACAATAAATTCATTACATATAATCTTGGATATCTAAAATCTTAAAATGATAAAATCTGAATAATAATAAAAGGTTTTAAAAGTAGTTTAAAATCTTTGTAATATTGATGGTTAACCTATTACAAAATAATAATAAACTCCAAAGATAAATTATTTTAATTAAGATTCTGAATATAAAGAAAACTTATATAAAGATAATTTTGATTTATTTAGAAAATCTTAATCATCTGAATTTTTAGAAAAGAAATATTGTGATATGGATTAGAATTTAATGGTAGAAGATGATGTGATGATTACTTAAAAATAAAGAAATATTGAAGATTATAATCCATTTTCAAAAAGAGAATAAATATCATTAACTCTAGATTCAAAATCAAAAGATAATTAATAATTATTATAAATGGAATTTGAAAATTCAAAATAATATTAAAGATAGAATAGTTTCTAATTGGTATCTAAAAATCATATTGATGATATGGATATTTCTAATAAGAATTCTAAGGATTCAATTGATTCTAGTTCTGATCATAAAAGTAATAATTAAATTGCTATTCATTAAAATGATGGTGGTAGTTCAATTGGTAGTTCTTAATAATAATCAGATTATCTTAGTAAAAGAAGAATGATTAAAGATGTTTTATATTCAGATCATCAATTCTAAAATAATACAACCAAATAAGGTATATTAATCTTAGGATTACTTTTATTAATAATTGTATATGTTCTCAATCTTGTATTTATAATTATTACTTAAGATGTATTTTATTCTATATAAATTAGAAATTAATTTTGATTGAAACAAATAAACATGTTTCCAAAAATATTGAATGTTCATTTAATCTTTTCATTTTATCAAATTAATATAAATAAATATTGAATTAAAATGAAATAGATGTATCATGGTATAATTAGATATAAAATATCTCAATTAATAATTACTAATAATATTTATAAGTCATATTGAATGAATAAAATAGTATAGTAGAGTAATCAAGCTTCAATTAATAATGTATATATTTTATATATTTAAGAAAATATAATATTTAAACAAAATAAATAGACACTATTATTGGATTAATTATTCATATATAAATTGATAGGTTAATAAATGGTTGATTATATTAAAAATGATGAAATTAATAATATTAATAATAATAATAATAATGTAGAATTTATAATTGATAATTATTTGATAATTATAAATGAAATGTTATCAAAATTTAATTCATCAATTACTAATAACATTAATGAATAAATTGACTTTATTTATACCTAGCATTAATTAACTATAATATTATCAGAAGTAACATTAAGTTTATTAGTAATTATATTATTACCTGTATTTTTGGTAATCAATAAATAAAAGAATACTATTTTATAATTCTTTACTACATTCCCATAATCAGAATTATAATAATAATTTGATGTTTATTAAATATTATTGGATAAATTAGAAGAAACTAAATTTGCATAATAAGAAACAAATCAATATGATATTGAAAGTGTTCACATTAAAAAGTTTGCCAAAACTATTAGAGGACTTAAAGATTCTAATCATAAAAAATAATAACATGGAAAATTGAAAACCATTATTGGATCTAGTAAACTTATTTATATACTATATAGATGCCACTCCTTTAATAATATTTAGTATCTTTTTAGTATTACTATTATTTGCAATAGTATCAGCTTACTTTATAACTTCTTATATGATTAAATTTTAATTTTTAAATGAATTTCAAAGTTACTTTCAATAAAATACAATTTATAGTACTTTATAAAATGAAATTTTAAAAGAAAATTCCATCTAAAATATTATTATAAATCATTTAATTAATTAAAAAACAATAGATGTAAATGATAGTACAAGTAAATTTTTATCATATAAAATAGTCTTATAATTGATATAGTATTAATAAGACAATTAAAATATTGCATTAATTTATTATTCATAAGAATTAACAGATATATTAAATAATGATGAAACAAAAATATTTGAAATATTGTCTAATAACTTTTGTGCCATCTTTGATAGTCTATTAATATAGCATTTATCTAATTAATAATTTTTAGATTATTTCTCTTATGAAATTTGTGAATCATTTGGTAATTAATAATCTGGAGTTAGTGTTACTTTGGCTAATTTTATCAATCAAATGAATTAATTTTATGAAACTCTATCAATTTTTTAATGTATATATATATATATTAAATTAATTAGAATAAAATTTAGATCCTTAAAACTTAAATTAGGAAGTATTATTATTGTACAATAAAGAATTATAAGAAATATTTATATATTTAACATTTGTTCTTCAAGTTATATCTGATTATGAAGATTATTAATTAAAAAACATTATTGATAGTCATTTTGTAACTTAAATAATCATATTTGTGGTTGGAGCTACTTTTGTTAGTGTTTTTACTTTTATAACAGAGAAATGTTTCAAAAATTTAATTTCTAATTAGATTAATTAATCAAAATTATTATTAACTTTAATTCCATTTGAAGTATTATAAACAAATGCTTATGTGATGACTTATGTATTACAGGAATCTAAGAAAATATATTTATGATGATATTATTTATGTGTTTATTTAAGTTACATCCATTAATAACTATATATTAAATATTTATTAAAATTATATATATTTAAAAGCCTATTTTAATTTATATCAAATAATCATCTTTATGTTTTAAAGGATTTATTATAGTATCAATCAAGGAAATAAACTTAATAGGATTTCTTTATATTATTCATATAAAGTACACAAAATTATTAGATAATTTTTCTTTTTAATCTTGAACAATTCTAAATAAATAGATTTTTAGGAAACTAAAAAAGTGATTATAAAGACTTTTATTATTTCTGAAGAATGAAAATTTTGTTTATTTTGTAAATGTTTTATATATATATGAAATATTATTTAATTATTTGATGTTTTCATCGATATCAGTTTCTCTTTAAGATTTAAGGGGTTAGAGAATAATTTCTACAAATGGCATATCAAATTATCGAGATTTTTAAAGAATGCCTATTACTAAAACAAATTATAAAAGATAATACTTAAAAGGAGCATCAAATAGGGTTAAATCATTGAAAGAGGAATCTAATTTCATATAATTATGTAGTGATAGAAAAGATAACGAAAAATAATTTAAGTTTAATAAACAAAGTTAACTCTTAAATTATAGAAATTTTCATCTGCATAAATAATACCCACTCACATAAAGGGAATAATAAAATGAAATTGATAGTTTAAATAAAATTAATAGTGGAAAATAGATGTTTAAAAACTCATCATTGAAATTGATAACTGATTCTAATAATCAATTAATTGAATTAGTATGTTCATCTGAACCAGTTATATAAAAAAATAAAAAAACTAATTCTATTTCTAATGTTCAAAAAGTAGAAGAAAGAATAAATAATAATAATAATAATAATAATACTAAGAGAATATCATCTGCAAATAATCATCTTTAATTAATAATTTCATCAACAAATAATAAAGAGGATTTATTAATTAGAAGTATTCAATCTACTCAAAATTATATATCAAAAGTTTTAATTAAAGAAAATAAACTAGATAGAAGTTTGAAGACTAAAATACCAACTTCTTTTGATGGAACAAAAAAATTTTTAAAATAATTTATATGATATTAATATATCTCTATTGTAAATGTGAACTAAATAAATAAATATTATTTGAATTGTATTATATTGTTTTTACTCTCCAATATATACAATATTAATAATTGATTATGTATATAACATTATGTTTATCTGAAAGTCTAAATTATTGATAATAATAATTTATTAATATATATATATATTAAAATGGCAACTGCTGACATTATTGTATTTAAATTTTACAATATAGATTGCCCATGGTATGCCTTCAAAAAAGGAAGTGATTAGCTCTAAACGAATATATCCAGGTATTTTCGAGATAGAATGAATTAGAGCAGCATAATAGAAAGGGTGCAATTCAATTAACTTGGGATGTTTAAGGTGTTTTTCCAAAGATTGCTTAAAAGATAGGAGTATAACCAATAGCTGATGATCCTCCCTTAGTATTTAAAATAATTAAGACTTAGCCACCAAAACCAAAATATATTCCACCTCCATTACCTCAGAATTATGTTCATCCTCCAATAAAAAAACAAGGAAAGAAGACAGGGAAACCATTAATAGTAGCTGAGAAATAAAGTTAAGAAGAGAGCATTGCAAAAAAAACAATCAGATAGAGCAGATAGTCACTTTCTAATACAAATTATGGAAAAGAATATGGTGGTTTTTATAGTTTGGATAGGTGTTTTTTGAAACGTGATAAAGAATTCATTAAAAAAGAAGTTAAAGGATATGGTAATAATGATATAATAGAATTGCAGGTAACTTCTATGAGAAATCACCTGAAGGAAGATTTATGCATGTTCCATAGCCTCCATTATCATACAAGTATTAATATGTAGCTTCAACAGAATTATGACAATATATTAATATCGTTTATAAAAAACTTTAGTATTTTAATGAAAACCTTAATAAAAAACAAAAAGATATTTTATTTTAACATCTAATTTTTTTTAAATCATCTCATGCTTCCTTTAATGTGTGCCACACCCTATGTCAATTACCCTTAACTCAACCTTTAATAATTCTATATGCTTCCTACATCAACGTATGCTATGCCAATCCCAATGAAAGAAACTTGTGATTAGGCTTGTTAGTTTCCTGAACCTATTATTGAATAAGATGCTGTAACTAATAATATGGAGATTATTGCAGAATAAGAATTAACTTCTTTGTTAAGATTTCTCTCTAAGAACATTTCTTTACTACAAGACTCTGTCTTTGAAGAGTTTGTATAAGAAAATTTAAAAGTATTTCAATTTTTGATTAGTTAGACCCTCTCCTCATTTTCTAAAGACATACCAAATATGATCAAAAAGCGCTATGTTTAAGTTAATAAAACAAAAGAGGAAATGACTAAGTTTATTATAAGAAGATGTTTTTTATTCATTAAAAGTCAAATTGAATATGAAGAAAAAGAGGGGATGTCTGCTGAAGAGAGAGATAGACTATTTTATCATTCATTTTTTTCAGATGATAAGGAATTTATGAAGAATCTTAATCAAGAATCAATAGATGACATGATTCCATTTAGAAAAGACTCTAAAATGAAGACTATGAATGAAACTTATTTAAGAAAACTATTTGCATCTGAAAGATTTTCTAATTTCTATACAAAATTTCTATGTAATAAAAATAGTAATATTTTTAGAATCATTTACTGAAATTTGTAATCATGAAAATGATGAAAAAATAGATAATATGACTAAACAGATTATTAAAATTATAATTACTAGAGATTTTGCAGTAATATTTTATATTATATTATATTTAATAGAAAATAAAAAGTTACAGACGATTCCCTTGGAAAGATCATGAAATTATTAAATGTGAACAAAGAGCTAAAGAAATCTACTCCAAATATTCTAATTATTCAAGTAATTAATATTATATATATTCTAGAAGCCAATACAAAGAATAAGTTTCTTTCAAAACTAGATTCACATACACTGGACATTTTGGAAAAATTCTCTGAATCTTCAGAATGAAATATATATATATGCAACAAAAAAAAATATTTATCAATATATAATTTAATTATATTATGAATCAATATTTGGCCACTCATGACTCAAGTCTAAACACTTCTTTGTCTAAATAAAAGTATTCATTCCCAAGAGCCATAAGAGAACCCATTCATAATAAATCAGCGTAATCCTCTTTCTTGATTCATGTAGAACCAATGAATTAAGTTACAAATTGCCTTAAAACTTGGGAAGCAGAATGGCTGGAATAGGATATGGACACAAGTATCTTAAATTCATATATTTAGACATGATTTCTCTAAAGATGCTAAACCAGTCCCAGCACCAAATTTATATGAAATTTAATCGTTTATTGAAAATAATATCGATAAAAAGAAGGGACCCACATTTGCTTATAGCAGAGATTAAATGAAAGCCCATGGAATTTGGGGTTCTTTGAATTAGCTATCTCCAGGTCCTGGTAGATATGCTTCAACCAAATCCCTTATAGATTCTAAATTCACCTTTGGACTCAAACCAGGATCATTGAAATAGTTAAATACTCCTGGTTGTTATATGTTATTTATTTTTAGGACCTGGAAGTTATGAAGCCATTCAAATAACAAATCAAAGAGGAAATTAATTCATCTCAAAATTCAGAAGCTCAGGTGCTGCCATCATAGGCAAAGATGAAAGCAGATTTAAAACATTATAGAGTTTCAAAATTATTTATCAATAGCTATGAATAGTTTTCCTGAACCAGCTAGTTATGATATCTCGAATACAGGAATAACTGGAACAGGATTTTGTCCTAAAAATGGATTAAAATCTACAGTCTAAAATTCATTTCCAAAAGCCATAAGAAAAGGACCATTCGATTTAGGAGCATAGAGTCCTGGCCCTGGAAGTTATAAAGCATATTCAGAATTTGAGTGATTTTAATATAGACATATTAAGTTAAATAGAATAGAAAGAATAATATGAAATGTTTTGTAAATGAAATAATTCTTATGATTAAAGTGAATAAAATTGGTTGATATTCAAAATTTAGTTTTTCCTGTTACAAATAATATTAATTATAAAAATGGGAATTTGTTCTAGCTAAAGTCAAAAAAATCATGAGAAACCAACTGAAAATAAGAAATTTGATTCAACAAAAGAAGAATAATAAAAACCGGAAACTTTGACATAGAATAATTAATAGAAACAAGATAGTAATTGAATTGTTATATTGTCAAGTTTAAGGTGACACCGGAGGTCTTGTTATCACAAGTGCCAAGATGGGAAGAATTACAAGAGATTATACACTTCTTAATCCTCCACTTGGAAGCGGTATATACTATAATTAAAGTATAATAGGAGCATATGGGGAAGTAAGAAAAGGAATACATAAATAAACAGGTATAATAAGGGCAGTAAAAATAATACACAAGTCACAGACAACAAAGGAAGAGTAAGAGAGATTGATGAATGAAGTTTAAATTCTATAAAAGCTAGTAAAATTATTAAAAGAGTTCTTAGGATCATCCAAATATTATAAAAATCTATGAATTTTATTAAGATGATAGATTTTTTTATATTGTTACAGAATTGTGTACTGGAGGAGAATTATTTGAGAAAATTAGATATGAAGGTAGTTTTTCAGAGAAGAAAGCAGCAGAAATTTTGAAATAAATCCTATCTGCTGTAAATTATTGTCATTAAGAGAAAATAGTACATAGGTAATTTTTATAATTTATTGAATCAGAGATTTAAAACCAGAAAATTTACTATATGAATCTGAGAAAGACAATTCATTATTAAAAATTATTGATTTTGGTACTTCTAGAGAATTTGATGTTAATTAAAAATTGAATTAAAAATTAGGTACACCTTACTATATTGCTCCTGAAGTATTAAATAGAAAATATGATGAAAAATGTGATATTTGGTCATGTGGTGTAATATTGTATATATTATTATGTGGGTATATTGTACAAAGTAGATTAGGTTTCCACCTTTTGATGGTAAAACTGAAGAAAAGATTATGGAAAAAGTAAAGAAAGGCACTTATTCATTTGAATCAATAGAATGGGAAGATGTTAGTAAGGAAGCAAAAGAATTTATAAAGAAATTATTGTAATATGATCCAACAAAGAGATATAGTGCTCAATAAGCATTATAAGATCCTTGGATTAAGAAATTCACAAATGCTGCTGAGGTTGAATAACCATTAATGAAGAAAGTATTGACAAATATGAAAAATTTTAGGGTATTTATAATTGTATTAATATAGTAACACTAAAAATTGTAAGAAGCATGTTTTAAATATATTGTTAATCAATTGGCAACTAAAGAAGAGAAATAAGAATTATTAAGAACATTTCAATCTTTGGATACAAATAATGATGGTAAATTAAGTAAATAAGAATTATTGATTGGTTATTAAAAGATAATGAATGCTGATTAAGCTATAGAAGAAGTTGAAAAAGTATTTGCATAAGTAGATAAAAATAATTCAGGAATGATAGATTATACTGGTATATATAATTATTATATATAATTAATTATTAGAATTTGTAATGGCTACAATAGATAGATAATAATTATTATCAAAATAAAGATTATAATTAACATTTAGAATGTTTGATGCTGTAATATATAATATATAAATATAATAGGATAAAAGTGGTTCAATAAGTTTAGATGAACTTAAATAAATATTTGGTGGAATATCAGAAGAAATGTGGAAATAAGTTGTTTAAGAAGTAGATTAAAATTAAGATGGTTAAATTTCATTAGAAGAATTTTGTGCTATGATGAAAAAGATTGAATGAATCATTAATATTTATATTCATAAAATCATTATCATACACCAAAAATAAATAATTATTAATAAATCATCTTACATCTTATTTTTTCAATAATGATTATATGTCTAATCAAGAATTTTAATGTTTTAAATAATGTTTAGGAATTTTATTAAATTAGGAGGCTGCTTAGGCTTATTGAGTTCATCAAATTTATTATGCAATTAAATTAAAGATAAAAATTAAGATGACCAATTACCTCATTTTCATTTTCTTAATGATCATGATTTACAAAAATTATAAAAGAAACATTCAAATTTATCTATTATAGATAGAAGTTATACAGAACACATTCTATCAGTAATTAGAGATGTATAAACAGATTTAGTGGTATTAATAACAATTATTCAAGGATTTTAGAAAAAATGCTGATCGTTTAATTAGAATTCTTATTGAATAAGCCATTTCTTAAATTGAAAAAAAGAAACATGTTAAATAATCTCCATTAGGATATTATGATGCTCATGAATTAAAATTTGAAGATGAAGAGTATTTTTTATTAATAATTAAGAATATGTTTTGTGAGTATTTTAAGGTCAGGAAATGCATTTTTAATTGAAGCATTGAAAATTATGACTGGAGCATCAATTGGTTAAATACTAATTTAAAGAAATGAAGAAACTTCTTAACCATCATATTTTTTCTAAAAATTACCAAAAAATATTAAGGATTAATAAGTCATTTTAGTGGATCCTATGTTAGCTACAGGAGGTAGTGCTAGTATGGCTTTAAAGATTTTAAAAAATCATGGAGTCAAAGAAGAAAATATTACATTTTTAACATTAGTTAGTTGTGAATAAGGATTAAGTAAATTATTTAGTGAATATCCTAAAATTAAGATTATTACAGCTTAAGTTGATCCAATCTTATTGAAGGATATAAACTTTTTGGCTCCAGGAGTAGGTGATTTTGGAGATAGATATTTTGGGACTGTTAAAAAGAATTAAGTTAAATAATGATTATTACATAAAAAAAACCAAAATTATCTATGAAATTCTGTTTATAAAAAAATAGATTAAATAATTTTTCATAGCTACTATTACTAATTAAGTTTATTATAGAATTTAAAAGCTGAGTTCTTTTTTAAAGGAGTAGTATCAAATTTTAATTTACTTAAGCTTAAATTATCTTTAAATTAAGAATGTTATATAACACTTTTATTTTCTGATTTTAAATTTGGTGTTTTTTTATTAGATTATTATATATTTTAATGTTTTGGAGTAAGTAAATTTAATAATTTAGAAGGTGATTCAATTTAATGTTAAAATTAATCATCATATTTAACTTCTAAACATATATTACTTGGACTATTAGTATCATTATTATTATGATGATTTTCATCATTATTATTAGAATTATTAATATTATTTTAATTAGGATCAGGCTTCTCTTTTAGAGGAGTCTTAAACTAATTTAGAGAAGGTAATTAATATTCATCACTATTATTTGTTTATTCATAAATTCTACTTAAATTTTTAGATACTTAATTAGCACTATCTTATTTATATTTATGTAAATAATTATAATAAAATGAAGGTCTTTATGATAAAAAGTCTTTGATTACAGATACTGTAAAAACATCTTAACACATAATCCAAAAGTTTTTTATCCATCTATCAACTTTTTCATCTTAATCATAACCATGAGCTCCTACTTTTTCTTATATGTATTCATATAAATTATTTTATATATCATCTACTTTATCTTCATTCCAAAATATTGAATCAGTTATTTTAGCAGTCTTCTTTAACATCTTGTTTTCCATTTAATAACTTTCTATTCCATCTATTTTTATTTCATTCATCATTTTCTATATATATTAATTCACTGAATTTGGATTTAAATAATTCTGTTATTTATTTGTCCTTCTTCTTGGCATATTATTAGGAGAATAAGATCTAGGAGAAATCTATCCATTTTATTATGAAGATAACAATTTTTATAGTAATTATCTTTCCAAAGAAGTAAATGAATTCATTAATTCAGAATTTTGCATTCCTATTGGATAATTTATTTATAATATACCTCCTCTCTTGCGAATATCTTTCAATCTCTCTTCCATTTCAGGAATACGTTTTTTCATTGCTGAATTCCAATGATTCTTTATTGAATTATCTGTTCTCCCTATTAATTATTTAGCCATTTCAGCCCATCTATTTCCCATAACTCTATGTGATAGAAATAGAATCCATTCTTCATAATCTCCCCAATGAGATTTCTTTATTTATGGATTCAAATGATTATGCCATCTCTCTCTACATTATTTACCTATTCTTCCAGGTAAATGTTCTGCAATGAATGTCCATTTCTAAGGACCATGCATTTAAACTAATTTAATTAATAAATTATCTTCCTATTCTGACCATGGTCTCTTTTTTCCTTTAGACTATTTTAATACTCAAATTTAATACATGAAATAGAATATCTTCATCATCATCATAATCTCTATCTTGTCCATATTTTGGTGTAACTGTCAAAGCAAAATTGGTTAAACTCTTTTATTTTGTAGCTGCTATGTCCTATAAAATGTTCTATTTTTTTTTATCCGTTGGTTCGATTTCATTCACTTCAATATATTCATTCTTATTTCTTAATCTTCTCTTTATTATAGGAGGTGAAATTGACAGATGATTTTATGATTTCATTCTTAATCTCTAACTTCTATACATTTTATTAATTAAATAATATTTTTTGAATTTGAATTTCAAAATTAAATATATATTATATACCTCATAATATTTATATTAATTGCCATATATATATATTTCTAGAGATTATCATATCCATTATTCCATTCCCTAATCCTTTTTTTCAATATTCAATTAAAAACTCACTTCTTATCTTTCAAATATTACTAACTTTTTTTATTCAAATCATCAATCACATTTTATCAATTATAAATCAACTCAATTCTTACCTTAGACTATATTTCAGAGTCAAGGATTCTCCTTACATCTAAACTGAACCATTCTCTCTTATTTATATACTAAAACTAATAGCAATTCATCTAAATCACATCCAAATTCAAATTCTAAACGATAATTTCTAATTTATCACAAATATTTTAAAATAAATAATTTAAAAAATTAATCCCGAATTTTTATTGTTAATAACATATTCAAATAGTATATTGATCAATCAATTATCAAATATCAGAGATAGTATTTCAATTTTTTAGTTTTTAATAAATAATAAGAAATTATACATGAAGCTAAGTATTTAATTGAAAATAGTTTATATCTCATATTATTCATACATAATAAATGTATATCTCATAATTATTTTATTTAATTGAAATTATTATTATTTAAAAAGAAGCATTCTTGATCTGAAAGAGAATGCAATAATAATAAATATTAAATAATATTGAGACTATATTGATTAAATTTACAAATAATATAATACAGTATTTTATCATATATTATGTATTTCAAAAATACTAATTTATATGAGCTAACAGATCTTAGATTATAAATTTTATTTAAATAGTCTCAACTAATTAATTATAGTAATTTCATTTTAGATTTAAGTTATCTTTTTGTTTGATTTTATATTGACATTTAGAGTCAATATTTTTTTAATTTTTAAGGTTCTAAATGAATCAATATAATTCTCAATTAAATATATGAGATTGTGATTGTGTCTTGGAAATATTCTGAGAATTTGATTATTATAAAAAATGAGATATGATTTAATAAATTATTTGTATTTTAGAATAATAGTGTCATAATGTATATGGATTCCATGTGTTTTCTATAGTTGAAAAACATACAATGAAAAGATTAAATAAATTAAATAAAACTTATGGATAGAGCTTCATTTGTTAATTAGATTGATAGTTTCATTGAGACTACAATATTAGCTTAAGGTTATGAGAAGACTGAGTTTCTTTAATATTTAAATAGCAAAAAAACAAATGGTGATAAAATTGAATTATGGAATATGGATGAAATTCTTATAGCAGGAGGAGAGTTTGTGGCCCTAAAATAGTAATAGTAAGTATTATAATAATTCTAGATAAACAAACACTGAGATGACTAAATATCCTGAATATTAGAATAATCATCAGAATGGGAAACTATATCCTGGATTCAATGATTATTAATCTCCTCCTAGTTATATATAATAACCCTAATTTATTAAATAAGGAACTTTAAAAGAGGAATAAGAATGTTTAATGTAGACTCCTTAACCTCCTTTGCCTCAATAAATCAATAATTAATAAAATGTAATGATAACAGAAGTTCAACGTTATAAGGTGTATCCAGGATAATAAATGTAGATAAATTAGAATTCTTTTTTGTATAAACATCCTAACATTGAAGTTAAGATTTAAAGTTATTAAGAGTAACCAGGTTCTTTATTTTCTAAATCATACATATTGTATAATATTACTTTGGATCCATATGGATATTTCATTAGTAGAAGATATTCTGACTTTGACAAATTAAGAGAATATTTGATAAAGAATTATCCAGATTATTATGTACCACCAATTCCTAAGAAGGTATCTTCAAGTACTAAGAATAAGATTGCTGATTTTCGATAATTAGCATTAGAGAAGTTTATGAATACAATAATTAGATAATTTTGGTTTGATAATTTGGTAGATGGTTTTTTTAGTTGTTAAAATGATAATGATCTATAAAATAAGTTAAAATAATAGAAATAGAGATAATATGATATATAAAATTTAACAACATTGAATGGATAAATTGAATGTTAGATAAGTTCATAAATTGAAGGATTCTTTTCATATTAATAAGGTATTTTTAATAAGGATTTGGAATGTTATAATAATATTAGATAAATATCTAAGAAAATAGTTAATTTAAATAAATAATTAAGTTAAGAATATAAATTACTGGCAGATTAGTTTGTTATTTTATAATAAAGAAATAGGAATTAAAATGAATAAATACCTGAGAAAGTTGATGAAATTTATTATAAACATCTTAATTAAATGTTTTTGACATGGAGTAAGAAATAAGAAGATATTGGATTAATTGTTACTAAAAATTTAGATTACTTTTATAAATATTAAAATTAAGTAATTGAAACTCTAAAAGAGAAAATTAAGTATAGAGATTCATTACGTGATGAAACATTAAAATAATTATAAAAGATTGAAAGTAAAATAGATAAACAATTTAAAGAATTGTCTGATAGTTAAATTTAATAAAAAACTTAAACTTAAGATGTATTTACAGAAAAATAATAAAAATAAAGTTTATATCCTAAAGAATCAAAATAATTTGAAAATATTTAAGATAATTTTGGATATATTAATAATAATATTTATTAATAAATCTAAATTATTATGAATCTAAATTAATATTAAACTACTTAAACAATATTAAATATGCAATAGAAAATCACTTAAATATATTTAGATATGACAAAAGAAAATGAATAATTATTTGTAAGAAATTGATAAATATATTTTAATTTATTAAATCATTTTAATATTCGACTTTAAGTTGGTTATTCATCAGGACATTAATCTAATCCTTCCATTAAATTAAGATTATTAACAATATCATGTTATCCTTATATATTTGATAATCTATATGTTTTCTCTAAAAACTCATCAAAGAATTCTGTATCCCAAATTGATTACAATTCATTTCTTTTTAAAGCAACTAAAATTGTACCAATTAATATCGAAGGATATATAAAAATACTTGATGGTATTGAATATGTTTATACTATAGTAGTAGTTATCCAAATGATATAACCAATAATTAAACCCAAACCAGTAAATATAGTATATGAAAATGTTCTTTTATTTTTATCAAATCTATATGTAAATCCCATATATAATCCAGGTATTGCTATACTAAATAATGATATCCATGCACAACTTCTATCATATTATAATTCTAATAATGGTAATTGTAATTCAATTGGACAATTCAAAATCTTTAATGTTAATGAATTATAAGATTATTTAGTTGTAAAATATATTACTGATACAGCTGTTCCATCTAACATTATACATATTATCAAAAATAGTAAAGCACTTTTAAGATTTTTAAATTTGAATAATTTAGCTATTGTAGACATTATAAAAATTGATATTAAATCACTTAAATACCAAGCCTAAGTAAATAAATATAATGTCATAAATGCAGAGGCAAGCATAAATGAGAATATTTCACATAATCTTATTTTATAAAATACTTTTCTTTTCCAAAATGATCCATCAGGAGATAAATTTAATGCCTAAATATATTTTATTATAATACTTCATCTATAATAAATAATGAACATGAAAATCCCATTAAATATGTAGATATCTTTACTACAATAGTAAGTTCTTCAACATAATTTGAATTGAAAACCAAAAAGAATCCAATTGTATACATTACAAAATAAAAGATTGTAATAATTGTATCTATTTTAAAACCTTAAAATCTCCCATTTTATCCTTTTAAACTAAATGACAATATTCTTGAAAACTTAGTCAATAAAGCCATTAATAACATACTTATAGATATCAATATTATTAAACTCCAATCAAAAGTTATAAAATTATAATTTTCATTACAAGTATATGTAAATTAAAATGGAAATGTATGATTTTTATCTATGTTTTCCATTAAGATTACATTTACATAAATAAAATCCCATGCATTTTCAGGATTTTAGATACTGTATTCAGTACAATTTTGATATAAATAGTATTTCATACTTTAATTACTTTATAATGTAGAATCATCATTTGTAAATGATCTTGTTGTTCTAATAATTATAATTTATCTTTTACATTGATTTATTTGTATAAGTATATTACTCAATAAATACTTAATATGTAATATCATCATTATTTATTATTGTTAATATTTCATAATCTTCTTATGTTATGTTTTTATTCTTAGTGTCAATTCTAATCAAATTTTTAGGTGAAGTACAAGATCTTCTTGCCAAAATTGGAGATATATCAAATTCCTTTTATAATGATCCATCATTATAAACTGTATCATTTTTGTCTGAATATTCCATGAATATTGAAACTGGTATACATATAGTTTCTTGGATTATTAAGAATAAAATAAATATAATCATTATTATTTAACTTTTTTTATTGTTTTTTCTAAATAAAACTCATGTTCTTTCTTAGATTAATTTATTTCTAAATCTAATTTCTTCTTTTATATTCTTCTCTCATAATTAAAATTCTCATTTAAATCATCCCATTTGAATCCTGTTAAATATTTTATTGACCACATATAATCTGATAATTATTTATGTTTCTTTTAAACTAAAACATTATTCCAAAGAATTACTAATATTTGTTCCATTCAATGATATAGCTGCCATTTTAGCAATCTTTTTATCTTTAAATTCTACCCATCCTTCACTATAACTTCTATTATTTCCAGATCCTTTACTTTTAAAATATACTCGTTCTATACCATATGGCTATAACAATTCCCTTATTTTACTTATAGGCATTTAAGGTGGAACATTACTTATATAACATACTCCTTTCTAATCTACAACTTATTATATTGTTTTATCTTCAATTTCAGTCATTTATTTATTAAATAATGTTTATCCTCTATATATATATATATTAAATTAGTTCATATAGCTTCAATTCTCTTCTTAAAATAATCAATAGCAGTCCTATCATTCAATTTCTCTTAAAGACCTGTAGAACAAATAACATTTTCCAATATTTCTCTAATAACATCCTTGTTCTACTAAAATGTGTCCACTTTTTTTCTTTTTAAACAAAAATTTGTTATTACACATAATAAATACATTCCAGTTTCATATGGCTGAGATACTGTTTTAATTTCTTCAATTTTAATTTTCCATAATTTCATATTTGAAATCTTCTCTAATTTGTAATAATGAGATTATTTTCGAATCCAATATATTAAAAATTAAAGAAATCGATTTTACATATCAATTCTTTATTAGACTTCATCAATTACATCATATTCCTAAATCTGCCAAGATCGAAATATTTATTACAATGAATTAATAGGCAATTTAGGTTTTTGATAACATAAATAATAATGACGAATAACTAAATTCTATACATCTATTATTCCTAATGAATATTCATCTACTTGTCCTTATTTTATTGGAAAATAAATGTAATCAAAATTAGATAAATAATTCTCATATCTCTATTAAGGAGCTTCTTTGCCTGTTCTTTATTCAAAAATTAAATTATCAAAATCTGCTATTTGCATAAAAGCTTATCTTTCATTACAAAGAGTAGAAAATTCTTGTAGAAATTTGAAATAAAAGTCTATTATTTCAGATCTCACTCTCCCATTTCTCAAATCATATAGTGCATCTCTTGATATCTTATATAATTATGATTTACCTTGATTCCATATTTCATAGCAATAAGATTGTCCTTTTGAACTGTGACAAACTTTCCTGGTGGCAATTTTTTACCTTCCTATCTCATAATAGGATCTATAATAGATTAATAATTTTATTCTTATAATTATTTCAAGGTCTCCTCTTTAGATTTTGTCTATAATTATAATCCCAAACCTTAGAATAATTGAGAATCAAATTTTCCTTATAGAATTTGAGATGCATTTTTCAATAATTGATTTTGACTAGATTAATATAGTATTTGATTTTATTTTATTTAATCTAAATTTTAGAATTCAGTTTCTAGATCTTAATTTAATTTTTTCATTTTAATTTAGAACATTTCTGAAGTTAAGATATCATTATCATCACCTATACCATTTAAGACTTTCAAATAGGATATTCTTTCATTCAATAAATTAATTTATTGTTCTCTTTCTTATTTAGATTTAGGAGTTTAAAGTCTAACTTTATTTAATTTTTTAGGTTATAATTGGGCAACTCTTTACTTTCTTAATTCTTTTAATGCTTAATTCTATTTTAATTTCAATATATGTTAATTATCAATTTCAATTTATTCTTAGAATTCCTTTTCAATTTCATCAAAACCAAAACTTAAAATTAACCAGACTGCTCTATCATGACAAATCTTTTCATCATATTCAGATAATTATATTGTATCTATTTTAATACCTTAAAGAAATAATAATATAAAATAAAAGTAATATTATGATGCTTCAAAATTGATAAATTTCTAGATTAATCTTATTTCATAATCTAAACCATCAATTAATTAATTAACAATCATTTTCATCTATTCTTAATTATTTTTAGAATAATCTATTAAATATATGACTTCATGATATAATACAATAAGAAAGTATTTCTTTATCAGTTTCACAAGTATAATTTACTTTTTAGCATCTTCAGCTGTAAGGGTTTAAACTATAGAATCAGTCTCATTCTTTAAATTAATTTTATTGTTCTTAATATCAAATTGTTGCTAATGATTGATATCAAAATTACAATATCATAAAATTAAAAATAAGGTAAGTCTCTACCTTAAATAGTTTCAGAAACAACTGCTAAATAATTTAAATAGAATATCCAAAGAGAAGTAGAGATTGTAGATTTTTTAATGAGTGCATCAATTTCTTTAAAAGTGATAGGTATTTCATAGAAATAAAAAAAATGCTATGATATAATATTCATTACATACATTTTCATCTGAATTGAACTTATTGAAATCATCTATTAAATCAATTACTTCTTATGTTGTAAAGTTATCTAGATCTGGAAATTAATATGAAGACATTATTAACAAAAATATATTATTTTGAGTATATAGTTTTATAATTATTCATAAGAATGGATTATTAGCTATGTAATTCATTTTCCTATAATAAATCATCCCAAATATGATGAAGAGTATTGAAAATAATGATGACAAATATAAAGTGTAAGGTTCCCATTATTAATCAATAATTTTAAATATTGAAATTGTAGCATACATAAACAATGCCATTGTAGATAACTTATATGAACTTATAAAATAACGTGTATATCTGAAAATCATTTCAGAATTAGTTTATTTAATTTCAACCAAATATCTAATGAAATAATTAATGATGATTACTTAAATTTGTGAGTGAAACATTATAAAATTGAGAGTAAAACCAAGAAAACAGTATCTCCTAATAATATTAAAGCTAAATATTCCTTATCTATTTATTCAAATGATGAATCAAATCCAAAGTCAACATCTACAGTTTAAGGTAATTTATCATATTCAGATACAAATTCATAAAATGTATATATAAAGAGTGTAAGAGTACAAAGATCTATGAATATTTCTATTTTAGATAAAGAGGGACGATTATATATTATAGGTATTGTTTTGTTTGGAGAATCTTAGATACTGTAAGTTTCTATGGGATTTAATTATTAGTTTAATAATGAGTCTTATCTGACTATGATGTAAGCATTTGGATTTTTATTATCTGGAATTTCTTTTTCATTAAGTTCCTTTTTAGATAATTAAGATGCCACAGTTTTGGGTCCAATGATGGGATGCATAAAATTTATAAAATTAATTAATATAAACTATATGTAGTGTAAATTGTTAATTTTATTGACAATTCTAACTCTTTCATTTTAATTTGATGAGGATATTGATGTACATGATGAGATAGAGAAGGTTATTATTATTATTAATATTGTAGTTAAAATAAAGTTAATTTGGATAAACAATCTTAGACACTGTTTAAATATAATTATCTGGGCCTGAACCATTATAGAATTTGATAAATATGCTATAGAATTTGAATACTCAATTAGAAGGAGAACAAGACAGAGATGATAGATTACATGAGAGATATTAATCATAATGTGAAAACGTATAATCTTGCAATTCATTTCTTTAAAGGATTTGAGCGCCTTGGAAGATATCATAAATGAATCAACAAGTACATCAAAATTGCTTAAGGGATAGATTGACTAATTAGAACCAGATAAATAAGCTAAATTGACAGATTTAGCAAGAACAGAAAATGAATTAAAAGAACTCAAAAACGAATTAGAATATTAAACTGATAAAAGAAAAGAAGAATAAGTTAGATATGAAAAAACTTTAGATAATTTAGAATAAGGTTTATATGCTTTAAATGAAGCCAAGAAAATGTTTAATACATTTCTTAATGTTCTTATTAAAAACTAATAAAGATTTGCTAGTCTTATTCAATTAGAAAATTAAGACAAATTTTTAAATAAAAATTACTAAACTAATGATGAAGATGAATTAACATTAGTTGAAATAGCTTAATAGATTAATAAAATTAAACATAATGTAAAAGCAGAAGGAATCAACTTTTTATTACATGGAATTTCTCATATTGTGAATCTCTTATCTAAAGATCCAACAGCAGAATAAGAATCAATGAGTAGAAAAGTTTTAGAAATTATTTCATAAGTAGACAATTGGATTTAAAAATAAAGAATTTATGAAGATTTATCTGAACAATAACGTAAAGATGCTTTTGGATCTTTAGCATAAATGTTGGAAGATTAAATTATATTAAAATAAGAAAATCTAACATTCCTATAAGGTATTTGATTTATAGAAATAATCATTTAGGATCAATTGAATCTCTAAATTCTTAAATCACAAGTGCCAAAAATGAAAAAGCAGAAGTAGATGTGAAAATAGAAACTAAAACATCTTAAAATGATGATCGTGATACTGAATGTAGAAATGAAGATTTGGATTATTAAAGTAGCAAAAATAAGAGAGATAAAGAAAGAGAAGAATTAGGACTTGTATTAGATTTAGTAATCAATAAAATTGGATAACTCAAAAAGGAAATATTATAAAAATGATAATGATTATTAATATATCATTCATACACTATATTATTTTTAATTCTTTTAATAAAATATATGTCATATTCTCAAAAAAACTTTTAAAATTTACCATTTTATTCTCCAGCTAAATTTGAAAATGACTAAAAGGATTTAATGATATCTTAATTGAAAGCTGAGAACTTTGAATTAAGATAGAATGCAAGAGATTATTAAGAATTGGTTTCTCATTTGAAATCATTAGAAAATAGGTGAATTAACTGTTAAAATTAGATATAATACATTACATGATGAAAAAATGAGAAATGAAATTGAATATAGAAATAAAAGTGATTAAACTTTAAAAACTATAGCTAATCTAAGAAATGAAATAGATAATTTGAAATCTTAGTTAACAGAAAAACATATAGAAAATTAAGAAATGAAAGCTGAAAATATGGCATTCAAAGAAATCACAGATCATAGATCATAAGAGAATTAAAGAGTCAAAAATGATTTAGCTCAAATATAAGAAACAAATAGAAAACTATATGAAGATAAACTTAGATTGGAAACTGAATTATAAGCAGCTAAGGATGAAAGAAAAAGGTAAGAAATATTAAATATAAGATAAGATTATTGAATGATAGAGAGATTCTTAATAATACTTATGAAGATGTTTTAGATAAATTAAATGATAAAGAAAAATTATTGACTTAATTATAAAATGATTATGATAATCTTGAAAAATAAAATCAAATTTATAAAGCAGATATTGAAAATGTAATTATTTAATATTATTATTTCTTGTAGATTAATAATGAATTAAAAACAAAAAATGAAAATTTGAAATATACTAAAATGTAATATCAAGAAGCATAAAATTATATATCATAATTATAAAATGATTTAGAAGAAATTCATAAACAAAAAGAGAAATTTAAGTAAGAAAGCCTTTTATACTAAAAAAATTATTAATCTGAAGCAGACACATGTATGGAATTGAATGCCCAAGTGATTTAATTAGATCAAACTGTTAAACATTAAGAAAAGACTATTATAGACTAGAGAAATGAGATAGAACATTTAAAATCATTAAATATGGAATGCTTAGAAACTACAGAAGAGTTAAATCATGAATTAGAACAAGTAAATCGAATGAATGATCAATTAGAATATTAACATAGAGAAGTATTTTATTTAACTTAATGTAGGTTATGGAAGAACTTGACAAAATGTCATTGACAGAAGAATAAGCAGCTATGGCTAGAGCTAGTAAATACAAAGAATTGAAAACTAAATTAATCATGGGAACTAAGCATTTAATGTAGTTCCAATCTCCGTTTAAGAAATTTTCTACTAACAAAAAGCCTTAGATGAAACAATATGAATTTTGAAAAAGTGGTTTATTACTATTAATATTTTAATTTTTTAACAGCTTTTGAGCATGATTGAAATTAGACGTCCTCTCTCAGAAAAGAATTTGGACAATAGATAAAGTAAAGAATTGTAAAGACCAAATTCATCTAATTAGTCTAATTCATAATAAAAATAGACTTTATAGACTATGAAAAGTTCAATACAATTATAAAAACAGAATCAAAATTTTTATTCCAAATATTTTAGTTCAAAGGATTAAAAGGAAAATATTGAAATAAAATCAAATTAGGAAAGAAATCAATCTGCCAAAATTAAATAATCTCCTTAAGAATATTAAAAACTATAAGACAAACTACTCTATTTAGAGAATAAAATCACATCCATTAAATCGAATATAGATAATAGTTAAAGACAAACTAAAAATAATATAGCTTCTAAATTTTTTGCATAAAATACAAAAAGTAATTAAACCTCAACTTCAGTTCAAAAAACAGTTTCAATAGATTTTACTACAAAAAGAGAAAAAGATTATTAATAATCTAAAGATAAAAGAGATTATACACCATTACAATAAAATAAGTTAAAATCAAGTACTCTTTTAAATAATAATGAAAATAAAATTGAAGGCACTATCATTAAAAAACCAAGTCTATCAACATTTGTTACTTAAGTAAAGGCTCCATTAAATGAAAATAAAAATAATTTTAAGAATTTAAGACCATAATCAACTAAATCTAGCAACACAATAAAAGACAATTTTAAAAGAAAAACTTCATAAGAGAAAAATAATGATATAGCATTTTTATATTACATCTCTTCAATTATAAAAGGCTATATGCAAATTGAAATTACAAAACCAATTCAACTAATTAGAGATCATCTATTATAAACAATGTAAGCTACAATATTTTAAAAATCAGTCAAAATAGTAAATAATTATGAAGACAAAAAAATAGATTTACCTTCAACTATTAAAAAAACTATAGTTTTTGATTTAGATGAAACTTTGATTCATTGTAATGAGTCTATTCAAATACCAGGTGATATCATTTTGCCAATAAAATTTCCAACTGGAGAAATAATAGAAGTAAATCAAAAATATTATTATTTTTAGGCATCTATCAATATTAGACCATATGCATAATAAGTGTTATAGACTTTAAATAAATACTTTGAAATAATAGTATTTACTGCCTCTCATTCTTGTTATGCTAATGTTGTAATTGATTATTTGGATCCTTATAAAAATATAATATCACATAGATTTTTTAGAGATAGTTGTATGCAAACAGAAGAGGGTGCTTATATAAAAGATTTGAGAGTTATAGGAAATAGATCATTAAATGATATGGTTTTAGTTGACAATGCAGCTTATTCATTTTGTCTATAACCTTTAAATGGAATTCCAATAATAAACTATTATGATAACAAAATGGATCAAGTATAATTGTAATTTATATTTTAAAGGAATTGCTTTATTTATAGAATTATTTGATGGCTTTAAAGGGAGTAAGAGATGTCAGATCCTATAATAGTTAGAATTTAAGGTTGGATAAATATTCCTAATTTTCTGATCCTATTGAATTATTGTAGTAACTTTACAAAGAGTACATTCCTTGATATATATAAAAACAAATTAACTAATTAATAATCCTGAATACTTAAGTATTGTCTGTCAATTTAAGATGACTGCATTTTAGATGACATTATTATTTCTATTTATAATAATAAATAATACTTTATCATATGAATTAGTTTAAATTATTGGATATAAAGATTGGAATAAGCATCAAAATTTCAGGGAGGAATTAAAAAATAAATTTCAAGTTTTAATTGAAATAAATAAGTGATATCATTTTTCATTGCCTCCTTTATGATAATAGAAAAATGATCTATACTTGAATATAATTGAACTAGTATTTATAATTTGACTCTAATATTCTATTTTTGTTTTATTTTGAAAAAATACTTAATAAAAGATTTTTATTACAAATGGTATTAATGTTATATATATAGTTTAACAGCCTATAGCATCTAATTCAAATAAATCTAAAAAGTTGTAAATGAGTAATGATGATAGAAGAAAGAATTCACTTTTTTTAAAAGAAGCTAATAAATTTAGAATTGGAAAAGATGGTCAATCTAAAGTGTTTTTATGAGATGATGTCATTTATATTAGATTAAAGAAGATATAATTATAAAGAATTAAATAATGTATAACTATTCATTAATTTAGTAGAATACTTAATAAGAATCAAAATAATGTATATGAATTATCATTATATTTAGGTTCTAAAGTTTATTCATTATTGCGAAAAATATACTCAAGAGACTTAGAGTGAGAATTAATAAAGATTCATTTAAGCAGCAGAATTAATATAGCTAATTAAAAACGTACTCTAAAACAAATAAATTCTTAAATTTGAATTGAATAATGTGAGTACTTTAATTAAAACAAAAAGGAGGCAAATTAATACTTAGAGCATATGATGTTGGCTTAATTGAATTAGTTGTTCTATTGACTCATTTATGTAGATGATAGGAAGTTCCTTTAACATTCATTAAAAGTAATATTCTTAAACATGTTCAATTAGATAAAACAAGTTTAGAAGAATTTATTTATGAAATAACAGCAATTTGCATAGCTTTAATTGAAATTAGAATAGAAGAGGATCAAATAAGAATTTTTTTTGAATTATTTTAAAAAGGCTCATCATTTAAGATAACATTATAATGAGAACCATGAATTATTGAGAATAATTGGAGGAGTTAAGTTGGAATTAAGTATTAATTAGAGGCTCTCTTTAGAAATAGAAGAACTGAAAAAAAACTAGCTTATGATGTAACATTATACATAAGAAAAAATTAACATATATATATAAGGGATATCATTTTTATTTCTGATGTTCTTATTCTAAGAAATCAGAATGATCTTCTGCAAAATCGTCATATCTACTTTCTTGGAAAAAATCAACAGGTATTCTCAATAATTCGTTTTTCAGACAATCTTAAATATATGTACTCTTCATGAACATTTAATCATAGTATTTGAAAAATTATTCTTCATTCTTTTTAGGTGGATTAATAGTTTTTAAATCTCCTCCAATTACTAAGTTTTTAAAATTCAAAGCAACATTTTTAGCAACGTATTTTTACATTATTTGTTTATTAAAAATATTATTACAGATAAATAAATTATATTGTAATATATATATAGATGAATTCTATGTGAAATCAGAAAGTAATACAAATTATATGGATATCTCATTATGATTAATTAATAAATAAATAATATGTCATATTTATTTAATCAATTAATAAATAATAATACATATATATATTATAATTAGATTATTTTTAAATCAAACCTTTTAAATATTATAATAGTAATTGTTATCTTATAAAGTAAGAACTTTCAAATTTAATTCAAAAATTTATGCAAATCAAATTTAAGTAATGATCCTTATAACCAAATTTAATTAATATTTTAAAAATCTTAATTAAGTTTATTTATGTTATGTACAATATTGTTATTAACTTTTATCTCTTCATTTTATTTTAGATTTCTTAATTAATAATATTTGGATTATAATAAAACAATCTTTGAAGAACTACTAAAATTAATTACATTTGTTTCATTTCCAAATGTATGCTAATATTTATTAAAGATTTATTTTAATGATATGAATCTATCCCTCTACAATTTGCTATAAAGGATTATTTTCCTCTAAATATTTATTTCCTATTATCTTACTAATATATAATTAGATAATCTTAATTTCTTGTTAAATGATAATATTGAAAAATTAGATTATCTATTTTATTATTATTTAAAAAGTGAATTTCTTTATTATAAAAGTTTCAATGGAATAACTTTTGTGATTGTGTAATATTCATTTAAATCCTTCCAATCTTCAGGTGGTGTTATGTCTATTTATCTTATATAATCAATCACCCTATTTACACAAAATTAGAATCTCTAAAATACTATTTATTTGTTAAGTTAAGCTTGTCCTATGATTTTTTATAAAAAGTTATAATGAAAAGATTAATTAGTTTATAATTGATTCTCATCTATCTTTTTCTTATTGAATTTAGGTGAAATGTCGTTGTCTTAAAAAATGATTAAATTTTTTCGTTTCAATCTTTGTAACTCAACTTTTTATCTAAATTAATTATTTTTATACTTTTTTCAAGTTTAAACTATTAAAGTATCAATTACTTTCTTCTTGCATACAATTATGATACTTCAAAATTAATAAGTTTACTCTATTTAAAACATTAAATAAAGGATTTAAATTAAACTATTAAAATATAAGATCTCTATTGAGCTACAGCATAAGTAAATCGAGGCTATTCATTTAAAGCTTCAAATTCTCCAAATATTGTACCTTACAATATTGTTAATAAATTAAATCTTTTTTTTGAAAGAATTCTCACATCACCTTTGATTAAATAATAGATTTCATCAGAGATTTATCCTTTTCTATAAATTACTTCGTCTTTCTCATAAGTTATAAATCTACATGATTTCAAAAGACTTTGTGTATGATTAACATCTTATAGAAAGAATTGAATTTTAATACATAAATCTAATCTTACACTTAATGTGAAATATGTTTGAATATTTTTGTGAAATTCATTTACCATAAAAAGTATATCCTATTCCCAAAATTAATTGTGTTAAGCATTTGTTCTTATATATTTTTAGACTGAATCTTTTAGATCATCTGGCATTTTAGTTTAGAATGCTAAACGATCAAATAAGTAATATTAATTATCATCAATAGATAGATTAGATTGCATTAATAATTTAGCAAAATCACCAACTTTGACTGAATAATATCCAATTGAAATTATAATCCAAATAACTGATATTGAATAATTCTATGGTATATCACCATAACCTACAGTAAATAATGTTTATGAGGACCAATATACTCCAGTAATATAATCAAAATCTGAGTCATTAAATAGAAGAATACATCCAAAAATATGTATAAGGAGTAAGGCATTCAGAATGATATTAGATAGAAATATCCATCCTTCTGAGAAATAATAATTAGTATCTTAAGAGAACGAATCTATAATATTGGTTGTGTAAAAGATTTATCCTTTATAGTTTTTTTAGGGTTTTTTAATAAAATATTTGATTAATCTAAAAAGTTTAAATAATTAAAGTTCTGATTATTAAATGAATAATTAATATTAAGGTAATGATATGAGATCAAAGATCATCCAAGTTTTAAGATAATTAAGTAATATTAATTTAAATTCTTTAACTAAATTATAATTTTCATCTATATATGCTGTTATGAAATTCATAATTATATCAATTGCAAAGATTATATCTATTCCCAATAATATTTAATCTATATTAATTTGATTAGACAATTATAAAGGGAATATAATTGCATATAAGAATAATAGTAATTAAATGAATGAATTCCATTTTATTATAAAGTATTGATCAGGATAAAATGGTAAGATATGTTATTTTTTTTATTTGAAATATTCAATACGTTATCTTAGTTATTCCTTTGAATATTATGAGAGTGATTAAAAAAAACTCATAATTATGATCAATTTTTTTGTATTTAGTTTAAATTTTGATCTATAATCAATCACTGGTTTAATTTTAGAAATACTGATATTATGGGAATAGTAGGATGAACTTCTCTTATTCATAAGTTCTTATTTTTTTAAAGCAAAAGGACTTAATGAGAATTATTTATTTGGAATTTTTCTTCTTGATAATTGTATGTTTTATGATTATTCAGCTGAATCTGTTGTTGAAGACATCAAATCTCTATTTGTATTTGTAGTTATCATATATATTTATATATATAAAATAAATTAATTAGAAACAATTCATTTATAATTATTCTTCCATTTCAACATACCTTCATAAACAATCTCTTTTGGAGGTGCTTTTTTACCATGCAACTTTGAATAAGTCTTCAATTCTTTAGCTTATTAAATACACTTATTATTGTATAAAATATTTTTACTTTAATTTCTTAATTGGACATTTCAGTAACTTTAAGGGGTGATTTTGGTTTATTATTAGTTGTATATTCATTAGTTGTACAATCTTTTGCATTTCTAACACTATCATGTGCAGTCCAATCTAATTAAGGAGAAGCTGATCTAACTCTTTAATTTAATTTAGTATCACCACATTATCTATCAAATAAATCAGAAAAATTTTGATTTTGATGTTTCACTTAATTATTAGGATCTTCAACAATTTTAGTTCTACTCTCACATACTTATTTAACTTTCTAATAACTATATCCAGGTAAAACATTTGATGTATTCTAATATAACATTCTTTATCTATGATCTAAATTTGGAGATTTTGGTTTATCTTCTATACATTTAGGAGGTGATCTAGGAAGTTTAGTTGGTTCATAAAATATATTTGATCTCTTATCTTATATTGATTTCTCGTGTGCACTTAATTGAATTAATTTCATATCTTTGTTAATGTATTAATTTGGCATTATTTTTGGTCTCATGGGTGGACTATATCTATGATATGTATATTATGAGTCTTCGCTTATTGGAAATAAAACATTTCGATCATGATCACGTTATTTCATTAAAATTTAAATATAATATATATAATATACAGAAAATGGAAGTAGAAAATATTTAATACGAATAATGTGAATTTTGTAATAGAAAGTTTTTTGAAGGAAAATTGAAAATGCATTTAAAATTATGTAGCAAAGAAAAACCAATGATCTTTATTGCAAAAGGAAAAGAAGAACTAAAAAAGAAAAGATCAAAATCTATGGTTAAACCAAAATCTTTGGGACCTAAAAAAACTAATAGAGAAAACAGTTCATTAGATAGAAGTTATATAACAACAGCAGAATGTCATATATGTGGAAGAAAATTTAATCCTCGAAATCTAGAAAGTCATTTAGAACTTTGTTAAAAAAATTAAAAAGAATTAATGTATAAAAAAATGCTTATTGAAAAATAACTTAAACAAAAGAAAATTAGTACTTACCATTGTAAACAATGTAGCTATGAAATGGAACAAGATCATAATTTCTGTGGAAGATGTGGATTTAAAAGAAAATGATCAACAATTTATTAAAATGAATTTAATTATCTTACTTTATAAGTTTGTGTATTATATTATTATCTCTTTAAATATATTAATCTTATAAAATATATATATTATAATGATTATAACTTTTACTTAATATTTTTAATATATTCTATTTTATCCATAAAATAAGATATCATATAAATATTGATTAAGAATTTAATTTAATTTAGAATAATGAAAAGAGAATATATAGAAATTAAATATATAACATATATCATAATGTTCAGTTTTTACTACATATAAATTTTATGATTCAATTACAAAAGGTATTTCTAATACGATATAAATGATTAATATAGTCTTCATAAAAGTAGGAATGATTGTTATATTAAGACACTTTTCTTATCTTATTGATATCTTTTGTATAATAATCCAAAATAAAAAGACTTAGTTTTAATTATCAGTTTAATAATTATAAGGGAATTGATACAACAATTGTGTAATAGAGATTAAAAGTTGGGAATTTTAGTTTTTGAAAATGATGAAAAAAATAAGAATGGAGTTTTAAAATATATTATATAAAATAAATATATAATGAAATAAAGGCCAACAACTGCGAAAGTTCCAAAAACCATAGATTAAAGGGAAATACAATAGCTTCATGATTTAGATAGTAATTAAGTAGTTAGAATCTAGGTCGTTAACATTAATTAATCGGTAGTAATCTCTCTCAATTTACAATTTTGAATGAATTAGGGAAGGGTTCATATGGAGTAGTTTATAAGGTGAAATCTAGTTAGGATGGAAATATTTATGTGCTTAAGAAGATTAATCTTACTCATCTTAAATCAAAGCATCAAGGTATGTGTGTTTCATATTAAAAGCTGAGGCACTCAAAGAGGCATAACTTTTAAGGAAACTGAAACATCCAAATATCATAACATATTATATGAGTTTCATTGAGTAAGACAATCTTTGTATCATTATGGAGTATGCTGAAGGAGGAGATCTATAGAAAGTAGAAATCAAATCCCTATTTAGTTACTCAAAGATTATAAGGAGAAAAGAAAATTTATGTAAGAAGAAACCATTTGGGAAATGAGTAAGGAACTTAGTTCTGCATTGTAACATCTGCATGAAAACAACATCATACACAGAGATATTAAAACACTCAACGTATTTCTAACAAAGGATAAACGTGTGAAATTGGGGGATCTGGGAGTATCCAAAATATTCAATTCAGACACTGCACTTCAAGGAACTAGAGTTGGCACACCTCTATATTTGTCCCCAGAACTAGTTTAACATTAACCCTATGATTACAAGGTTGATATATGGGCTTTGGGATGTGTAGTATTTTACATGGCTGCATTGGAACCTCCCTTTTAGGGTGAGAATTTAATTGCCTTAGGATATAGTATAGTTAATAGAGCTCCTAAAGCATTGCCACCTCAATATTCTACAAGTAATAATTTAATAAGAAAAATTATGATAGGATTAAGTCAATTCATTTGGAAATTACTTGAAAAGATTCCAGCTTTGAGACCAAGTATATAAGAAGTCAACACGATTTATTTCCAATAAAGGATTTAGCCTTAGAGAATTTCATAGTAGATTTTATTAATTACATAGACAATTTGATTAAGCATTGCCTTAGATGTAATATCAATAGCACTAATAATTAAGGCCATAAACATCAAATCCTAAATCGTATGCAATGTAGGCTTAGGAGACTGAGAAGATGAAGAAAACTAGGAAACCATAATAGTAAGACTTAATTAGTAATGGATCTGATACAATCTATATGGGAGATGTTATAGATATGACCTAAAAGCAAGTAGAAAATGAGCAAATATCGAGAGCATTATAATATTAGTAGTTGTTGAAAGATCAATAGGAGAAATTAGAAAAGGAACGAGTTGAAAAAGAGAGAATAGACAGAGAGAGACAAGAGAGAATGGATAGAGAGAGATAAGAAAGATTGGAGAAAGAGAAATAAGAGAGATTGGAAAGATTGGAAAGGTAAGAAAAACTTGAAAAAGAGAGAATATAGAAATTAGAAAAGGAAAGATAATAAAAAGAATAATAAGAATAAGAAAGGTTAAAATAATTAGAATAATAAGAATAAAAACATGTTTAATAATAAGTTTTAAAGATTTAATCTAATCATGTTGAATTATACATTCAAGATATTGATGATAAATAATTTTAAGAGGAAAGAAAGAATTCATTTTCATTAGAATAAGCACCTAAATTTAAACTTGAAATTAAACACTCTAAACCATAAAATAATTATAAATAGAATGTATAAATTAGACCTTTATCAGCTTAAGCAAGAGGATCTTCATTTGCAAATATCTCTTGCAGGGCTAAATTGATTCCTGTATAATAAAATTAATCAGTTAAAGATGTCAAAAAATTCACTATTTTAGATTTGAATCCAAATTCAAATTAGCCATCTATGCATTAAGATTAACCTATACAATAAGAACCTTATATTAAATGCCCCAATAGTAATGGTGGTTAAAATACTGTAATTAATAATGTTAATAATATCTTAAATAATCAACCTAATAAAACCAAAGAAAATATTCGTATCAAAAGTGCTCTTATTTTATAATACTCTAATAAAAGATAATAACAAGATCAATAATCGAATTAAATTGTTAAGCATTATACATTAAAGGATTTAGTAGAGTCGTGATATTAATTATTTATTTTTTGGATATATGATCATAAATTTGTAATGATATTTGTTTTGATTCTATCCTATATTTCTTAAATTTGTTTATTTATTTAATTCAATTTCTCAATATCAAAATTATTAGATCGACTCAATCTAATAAAATTTTTATTGATTAAATAATCAGAGAATTTGCTATGTGACCATTCATCATTTAATCTATGATTATTTAATAATTTACTTAAAATATTAATAAGATAAATATATCATTCCACCTGTATTCAAAAAATAACCTATAGGTTCCATTACATCCCAATTATAGTATACATATATACCAGCACCCATAAAACAGAAATGACCACATAATACTAAAAATCCACCAAACATTTAAATCTTAGCAAATTTAACTGCTGCATCCATAATCTCCTTCTTTTTCTCTTCTAATTATTCTTTAGTTTTTTTTAATTCAAAATATTAAGTATACATATCAGTTTCATGATCTGATTAAGTGTTTCTCATATTAGTGTAAGAATCAAGAATCACTTTCACCAAATCATTATATTCTATCTTCTATTGAGATGAAGAATAGTTTTTGAAAAAAGTTGTCTTGAAATTTTATTATAAAACATAATCCATTCTAACCAAGTATTAGATAAGAATATTCTTTTCTAACATAGGTACATGTTTACGAGTAAAATATGATTTACTTAAATTAATTAATTTGTTTACATATAAGAATAATCGTCCTTATCATACCCTGATAATTATTTAACAAAAAATAAATGTTGATTATTTGTCAATAAATAGAAAGGTTCTTTTATTACTTATTCCATTGTATTAACACCAGCTAATGGTACTTTGTCAATTGAATATAAAGTAACATTATCTTTTAACTAAATAAAAATGTGAACTTATACATATTCCTGACAATTCTCAACAAACTCCTTAACAGTTAATTCTGGATCTATTTAAAGTTCTACATTATTTGTTATATTCATTGCATCATCTGTTTCATTGGGACTTTTTGTAAACTCTAAGCTTAAAATATATTAATCCTTTAATTATTCAAGATAAGCTGTCTTAACCTTTAAAAAATTAACATGTTTTAAATCTACAAGGTCTTTTGGTACATTTTATAAGATCGAGCAGAATCTTTTGCAAACTTTTAAGAGTTGCATATGATATTAATATTTATATTTATATGATTATTAATTTATTCTTATTATATATCCATTTAATAAAGATGCATAAATAATATGTAAAATAGCAAGATTTTAGAACTATTTGTTTATTAAATTGATTGAATTTTCTATTTTTATTAACAATAATAAATATCAAACGAACAGTTTTTTCATTGCTTAAGCCATCACTCTATCTTATTTGGCTTCTTTGATTTGAATCTATTTCAATTAAGAACTGATATCTATTTGATTATCCTGTTTTTGAACTTCTAACAATTATTCTCTAGCTTGTTCTAGATTATTTAATTCAATATTGCATATAGCTAATCTAAACAAAACTTTAATATTATTGCATATTTTTAAACTATTCTAAGCTGCTTCCATTCCTTTTTCGTATTTCTGTTATTTTATATAGACTTAAGCCATATTTCCATATGTTTAGCATTTTAATTATTGGATGATATTACTCTCTTCCTAATTTACTAATTAATTCTAAATTCAAATGACATTATGATACCTAAGAATATTGTGCCAATTCATCTTCTTTGCTTATTAATCCATTGATATATAAAAATACTTTGTGATAACATGTCAATGCTTTTTTCCAATCCTAGTTTTTAAAATGTATATTTCCTTCTTCTTTATACTTTTAAGCCATCTATATTTTCTCTTAAATTGTCTAGTTTTAATTTTGCATTATTTAATATAATAATAATAATATTAATATTAATACTAGTAATAATAATAATAATAATAATAATAATAATAATAATAATAATAATAATAATAATAATAATAATAATAATAATAATAATAATAATACTTAATTTTCTATAATTCTCTATCAGATTTCAAAATAATATCTTTATAGATTACATTTTTTATGTTAAAAATAAAGGATTTATAGATACTAGGATGCATTTTTAGATGGAATTTGAACAATTTTAATTATTCATATTAGAAAATAATCTCAAAAATTAAATAGTATGGTTTTCTAATAAATTGGTTGCTCTTACTAATTAATGACATAATTTTAAGTCAAGAATATACATATTTTGATTATTATAAATAATTAAAAAATTTATAAAAATAATATTGAATTTTATAATAAATTTAATTAAAAGTGCATCATATTATTATGACACACTATAATATTACATTATGATATTGTAGTTTATGAGGTTTTATAATAATTAGCAATAAGATATAATTTATTCAAAAAAATATTATAAAAATAATGGAACAAAGAGATGCATAGTCAAATGTTTAGACTAATGGTGCTGTATTAGCAACAGAGCATGGAGGAAGCGAACAAAATAAATTACTTCCCAAAATGAGTGAATCAAGTAGTCCTATGAAGACTGATCTTTAAATAAATTAGAACAAAGAAATATATACTGATGAAGAAATGAAAAACTTTACTAAGAGAGGAATAATCTCATTGATAGGAGGTGTAATTTTACATTTGGAATTGGGAACTTTCTATGTTTGGGGATCAATAAGTAATAAATTAAAAATAATTTTTTTAGGTCCATATGTTTGTGCTTGGATGAGAGAAAAAGATAAGGGAGTAACATTAAATTTCATGGCTATCATCTTTCCAATCCTTGGAGTAATAACAATGTCAGTCCTTTCATTTGGAATAAAAATAGCTGAAAGAATTGGATTTAAAGTTACAATAGGAATAGGATCATTCACTATTGCACTTGCTTTCTTGATAATCTCTTTTATCTAAGAAATAGGAGGGTTTATAGCAGTCTATTGTATAATGGTTGGGATATCTGGAGGTTTATTATATATGCTTCCAATAATTTGTGGATGGAGATACTTTCCTAATAGAAGAGGATTAGTATCAGGGATGACAATTGGTGGATATGGATTTGGTTCATTTATCTTCAATTTTGTATGCAAAGCAATAGCAAATCCCAACAATCTAAAGCCTACAGTAGTGGAAGTTGAAGATGGAAAAGATGTGAAATACTTCGATAGTGAAGTAGGAGATAAAGTACCATTAATGTTACAAGTCCTTGCTGCAAGTTATCTTGGATTGGGCATTATAGCTACAATAATGATCAGGTATCCATCTGAAATAGATCCTGATAAAATGTTGGCTACATTAGATGCTGAAGAATTAAAGAAGAGAAAGGAAGGTGCTCCTGCTCCTGCACCTCCAGTATTACCAGCTCATAAAGAATGTGTAGAAATGTAAGATATAATAATTAATATTTTAGTGGTCGAGGCATGAAACATCCATCTTTTATAATTCTCTAATTAATTGTTTTGATGTCATGTACTTTTGGTATGTTGATATCAAATTGTTACAAATACTATGGTTTAGAATTGGGAATAGATGATGCTACATTAACAGCAACTGGTTCTGTTGCTGGAGTAATGAATGGATCATCTAGATTCTTTTGGGCTACTTTAACAGATAAAACATCATATAAATTCACATTTACTCTAATTTCAATACTCAATCTAATTACAACTGCCATTTTGCCATATAATAAAGATGGCATTGGTTATCTTTTGTTGATTGCTGTAGTTTACCTTGCTGAAGGAGGATTGTTAGCTACTTATCCAGTTATTTGTGCTAAGATATATGGAAAGAAGATAGGAGGTTTAATGTATGGATTCATGTTCTTCTTTGTTGGAGTATCAAATATGATTGGATATTTATTATATGCTTTTGCTAGAAAAAAAATCAAATGGGAAGGGGTATTTTGGATTTGTTTTGCATTGAATGTTATTGGAATAGTTTTGGGTTTGATTCTTAAGGAAGTTGGATATGATTGGAGAGATTAGAAAGTCATAGATGCAGAAAAGGAGAAGGAGAGAGAATTAGAAAATAAAGGATAATTGGCTATAAATCAAAATTGATTTTTAATATTAATTTACATTACTATGATTTCTATTTGTAATATATAGATTAATAATTCATTGTAAAATTAATATTTATATTGTAAAATGGATAGAAATAGAGAATCAATGTTCACATCTAATTTTTGGAGAGAAATCAATGAGTAATTTTTCATGGTTCTCTCTCCTATCAACATATCTGATATTAGACTCTTCAAAAAGAAATGTAATCATTTTATTCATAAAATAGTTTCTAATTATGTAAACTTAAATTGTCATAAATTATTAGATAAACTTCTTAGATAGAATAACAGATCTAAATTATCTTAATTCAACATTATCAATTTAAAATAAAGAATTTCATTACTCTTTCAAGAAAGATAATAACATTCAGAACCTATTTAAAATTTAATTGATGAAATGATAGACCAAATATGTTTTACTTAACTTATCGAAGGACTATAGCAAACTTAAGATCTTATTAAAAATATGTCCCAATTATCAGAATAACAACAATAAATAATTTATCATTAAGAAAATTAAATCCTGACTAATTTACATCAAATGATCGATTGTCAAGATGAATTGTCCTAACATATATAATAACTTGAATAATAACTAGAACAACTTGATAATTCAAATTCCATTCAATAGTACAATTCCCTTCTTAATATCATAGGCTTGAATAACATGTCAATGAAATCAATCATTCTCTCCTCTACACTTATACATCCTAAATCCTTCAAGAACATTCCATTAAATTAACTAGAACTAGAATAAAAAATCATAAATAAGAGCTTTCTGTATTGAAAGACTTAATTATATTACATGAAGATTATCAAGTTGCTGAAAGCATTGGAAAAGCAACATTTAATGAATCAAGTAAATTTAATCAAACTTATTATATTAAGGTAATACAATAACAGTGATCTTTGATAAATATTTGAGTTAAACTTAAATCGATCTCAATTTGGAACACTTTGCAAATCTTCAAAAATTAAGAGAAGTACCTTATGAATTTCCTGATTAATTACCTGGACTTAGATCAGATGTAAATAAATTGAATTTATTTAGGATGTATTTGAAATGTAAATGTGTCATTTTTGTAAATTAATGGTTGATGTTAAAAATCTGAAATAGTGTTCATATAATCATTATTAGATGGGATTACATGAATACAATGAAGATTTATTAATTTGTTAAAGATATTAAATTAATGCCAAGTCTTAATAATAATATTTTTTAGATCTTTATTCTACAAATTACATAATTGAAAGTACTTTAAATTTTGACATATTATAGATTAATAGATCCAATGTAAAAGATACTTTTGTTTAAAATGTTTAAAACATGAATTTGATTCATATGAAACTACTTAATTTATGTGGATATGTCCATTATGCAAAGTAATTATTACTTATAATTAATATAGGGATTATGTTCTTGTATTAGATGTTCTAGAAATGATACTATTTATAAATTAAAGAGACAATATTTAGAATTGAATGGAAATTTGGAAGATATTTATTAATCATCATATTTTGAGATGCTTGTGAAAGAAAAACGAAAATTAATTAAAAATATTCCTATTGAATTTATTAATTTAATTAAAAACAAATAAGAAAATAATGAAGATACTTTAACACCTAAAAGTAATTTGAAAAATAAAAAATCAATTACTAAAAGAGTGATATAAAAGAAAATGAAAAAAAATGATTAAGCATAAAAATCACATAAACTAACACATATAGAGAGTTCCTCATCATCAGTAAAAATTAAGAAATCAAAGGAGATTAAAAAGAGATCTTTATTTTTTAATAATAATAATAATCAAAATGATCCTTCTAATTAATAAATCTTTATCTAATGATTTTGTTTATGATTAATACTCTTTATCTTTATATTTATTATATATTAATATTTATTAATATATATTATATAAGAATCATATAAGTTAAAAAATAAATTAATTTTTTTATTAATGTTTAATTTATTTAAATATACATTTTAAGACTTAAAAACAAAACAATTGAATATAAAAATAAAGAATAATATTATTATATAATTATATAATATTATTCTGTAGAGTGATATTTGATTAGTATTATAAGTTTGTGTTAATGAAATAAATTTATTAGAACGAATTAATAATGTAATTGTATTAAAATGTTAAATAATGAATTAAATGAGTTTGTTAAGAAAGCTTATAAACACAATTTATTGAGTAATATAATTTTATATATACTTCAAAGCTCCTTTAATAAGTAAGTTAAAGATAAGAAGTTAAATAACAAGTGTATCTGTAAGTAAAGATTAAAGTAAGAAACAATCAAGAAAAGAAACAAAAACAATTGAAAATATTTAACAATAAAAAATTAGTGAAGAATACACTGGTAGAAGTAGTTCTAAACTATCCAGCTCTATTTTGATACGACAAGAAAGAAGAAATACATAATCACCTTAAAAATTGATGAGAATTTTATCAATTTCTTAAGAGGATGTACCTCAATAATTAGCAGATGTTTTGGGGGAAATTAGTAAAATTGAAATGGAAACAGATATCAAATTAAGATGTAGAACAATATAGGTTAGAAATATAAGGATAAAAAAATAATAATTAGTTAAGTATTTACAAAGACATTACCCTGATATCATATGTGATTAAATTGCAAAAGTATTAAAAATACCTCAAATTCTAAGCTTTAATTAATATTAATAATGGATATAGAAAATAGAAAATTTAGATTTAAAATAGTAAATCCGTCTATGTTTTCTTGTTTATGATATAAATAATTAAGGAGAGATAACTACTAATAATTTAGTTGAACTATTAAAATATAATACTAATCCATCAATTGAATTAGATATCCTTCACATGATAAAATAAACAAAAGCTTAGATTTCTAATCAAATAAATAATGATATTAAACAAATGAATTCTTATACTTTGCCACTTAGTGTTTTGAGAGTCAAATTAGATCAAAGTGTAATTTTATAATAAAGAAGATAATCTGTAATATCAAATGATGGTAGAGGTAGACTTTTTGGTAAAGTAAGTTAAAGGAATTCGTTTGATCTAAATATGGAAATTGATTAGGATTGTTAAAATCATCCTAAGAATACTCCTACAAAAAAGAAGGTTATGTTGATTACTTAAATTAATAATAATGAGTAAGATTATGCTTTTTAAAGTATAATATAATATAAATCTGAAAAAAAGAAAAAAAAAAGTAAGATATTAAAGGATGAAAATAAAATTAGTATAGATTTGAATGGATTTCTTAATATATGGTTTCCCTAAAAACCTAATCTATTTAATGATATAATGAGAATTTTAACTGCTAAACCATGAAATATAATATGATTTTGAATGAAATTTATATATATCTGTTTATTTTATATACATTAAACTAAAAATATAATCAATTTTTGAATTATGGTGATTCAGCTAAAATCATTTTTTTTTAATTATTTTACATTAACAATTAAGTAAATTAAGATGTCTTATCTGGTATTCTTATAATTTATTAATCTTTTATAATAACTTAATCTTCATCGATTGAATTATTTGTTTCACAAGTTTAAAATAAAGTATCTTGTGTATATTTATTATTATTTTAAGTATATATATGAGTATTATTATTATCTTTCAATTCATAAAAATCATCCTTATTTTAGAATGAAATAAATAAAGATAAATATGTTTAAAAAGATTATGATAATTATTTACATAACAATTAATTTTGTTATGTAAAATTATCATGCAACTTTTAAAACTAATGTATAACTAATTCTTATTAAGTTAATTATTAAGTGAAAATAGAATGTTCTTAAAATCTCTTCTAATAAATTTGCATAATTTCATTAAATGGTCCCATTGTCATATATTCAATGATATTAAATTCATTAGATAATATATCATCTTCCATTTTCTTTAATGAATCTATAGTTGATCTAATTTAATATTATTCAGCATTTAAACATTTCTCAATTTACTTTATGACTTCATTCTAATTTTCATAAAACTATTTAATACTTTTAATTAAAGCAATGGTTAAATTGTATTATCAAATATCTTATCTATAGATTACTTAATATCTGATATTTTCATATTTTCTAAACATTATTTAGTCTATTAGATTAATTATTTGAATGATGTAATTTTCTCTTATCTCATCTCTTTCTCTCTAACTTCAGGACTTTAAGTACTCTAATAATAACTAAATTAATATTACTGTATAAGTAGATATTGAGATTGTTTTGGACTTAGGAGATGGCTAAACAGTTTGATTTAACGAATTGTATTAATTTGTATTCATTCTTTTTTCTTCATTAGCTTATTTTTATTAACTTATTATATTACATAGGTAATTATTAAAGTTCAATTTAATGCCAGCATAGCAATTCTATTGAGTTAATATTGGATTTGTTCTATTTTATATTTTCATTAATTATTTCAGAATTTACCCTTCTTTATTATATTCAATTTATATACAATTATGCAATTTTTAATCAGAAGGTTAGGTTGATATAATTTTTTTAGGTTAATTAGGAGTTTGGTTTTAAATTTCATTAAGTAATGATCTATTAGAATTCGAATTCTTTTCTAAGGAAACAGTTTTTTATTTGCTTTTGCTTAAATATGTTGGCCTTTAGTTATTATTTAATCTGAGGTTTTCCTTAAGAAGTGGGCTTTTGCGCATTAATATATTTTAACAACTTTTTTTATTAATTAAATATGTAAATGGATTTATATAAAGAAAGATAATAATCTAATGAAAATTCCTATCAAGCTAAAGCTGTAGAAGCATTCTAATCATTAATACAATATATGAATGAATTAACAGATATTATGAATAAGATTAAATTAAAGAATGAAGCTGAATTCATAAATGCTTATCAGAATCACATGTAAAAAATAAAAGCAGAATTAAAGGAATTACGAAATAAAATAGAAGAACAATAAGGAATTCAAAATTAGAATAAAATAAAAGTAACTAGTGGTGATAATGAATTAGTAATCAATATTTTAAATAATAAGGTTTATTTTAGAGAAGAATGTCTTAAGTTATATTAAAAAGTTGAATTAAAAAATAAAGAAATATATGAATTAAAGTATAAATTGGGAGAACTATAAAAAACTAATGAATTTTTAGAATAATAAATCAAATCATTAATTAAAAAAGTTAAATAGACAGAAATTGATAAAGAATTGTTACCAAATATATAATTAGATTAAACATTTTGTACTACTACTCCTGCTAAATAATATAGTATAATTATTATATATTTATATAATAGAATCTCATAAAAGAAGATTAACTGATTATTAGTCTAAAGTTGAATTGAGTTCATCTTTATCTAAACATCATTATTCTTCTATTAAAGAAATGTTTCCAACAGATGAATTGAAGAAAGATGTTGTTAAATATGAGGATTTTTTTGATAAAATAACTAAGTATTTAAGAATATTATTAGATATATAACCATAATTGAATAAAAATATTAAAATTAAAATAGAATCCTAAATGAAAAAGTTTAAAAACTTCTAATATCTTAAAACAAGAAAAGTATAATTAGAAGTGATTTGGAATACTTTTTTTTAGAGTGTGTAGAAACTGTTAGAAAAGATATATAGAAAAAAAGACCTTTGACAAATTTTTAATAATATCAATCTTATTTAGATTCAATGCAAGATTTTTCTTAATTCTATAAAGAAGATAAAATCAAGATTTTAGAATTAGTAGTTAGTAATGAAAAATTATTAGTTTTTATCTACTAGAAACTATTTCCTAATCATGTTAATTTAGTTCTTTAATCTATAAAAGAAGATACACATCTTAAAAGTTTATTAGATTAAAATCCTAAAAATTCCATTTTAAATAATGATGAGATTGTTAATTTAAATTAACTTGTTACAAATTATAAAGTTGAAGCACCTAAGACAACAAGAGAAGTTAGATCAGTATCTTTAAATAAATAGTTAGAAGTGAGAAAAGGAAAATTATTATTTAAATAATATTGAAACATTGATTTACTTTATTAATATTCTATTTAGATTAAGTCTTATTTTATATTAAATTTTTATAATAATTATTTCAATTATTCTAGGATAATATTGATATTAATTTATGAAGTATTTTTCAGTTAAATATTTAATATTAGTAACTGTTATAGATATATTAATTATTTTAATGTTATAGAATATTCTTTTATATTATGATCATTAAATAAAATAATAAATCTTATATATTATAATGATTTAGAGTTGTAAATGTGAAGATGGTGGTTAAAAAATTATTGGGGTTTGTACTGCATTAAATTGCTAATCTAAAAGAGCATCATGTGTTGAATGTTTGAAATAATTACATTTACAACATGCTAATAAATTTTTAGATTTAAAAAAATTATAAGTATTTTAGGAAGACTAAATGAAAACTTTTAGTTATTTAAAAAAACTTTAAAATGACTTTAATAGATTAAAATCAATTTTGGATAATTTTATTGTAAGTCTTAATATAGAAGCACATGAAAAAAATATTGAATGTTAAACAATATCACAATTAAACTCATTAACCGATAAATTAGTAAAGTTAAATTATATAGAATAATCTGGATATCTAATTAAATCCTTTTAAAATCTAATTTAAAATATGGAAGATGCAAAAAATAATATCTAAAGATTAAAGATTGAATATACATTGAATGAATTTATATCTCCATCTCAAAATATTTGTATATCTGTCAATTCCTCTTAATTATAAATGTAAATCATTCTAAGTTTATATAGGTAATAAAAAAATATGAATACCTTAGTAATAAAAGAAAAAATACGATTTTCATAATAATACAAGACTGATAACATTGTTCTTAAGGATTAAGAAACTATGGTATAAACTACAGATGATAAATTTGGTTGGGTTTTATGTGAGCCTGGAATTATTTAAAATTAATTTGTAAAAAATTTTGCTTTTGAGATTTCAAAAAATGATTGGTTAGCAATAGGAATTTGTCATAAAGATTAATTCCTTAAATAAAAAGGTAATTTTGATATTTGGGACAATAACAATCATGGGTAGAAAATTTATTTATAAATAATTTAGATGTTATCTTATTGATTAGTCTGGAAAGGTTTTTTCTCAATTAAAAATAGAAGAGAATAATAAATCCAAAAATTTTAAGATCAATAATTAAGATATTATTATTATTATAGTTGATAAAACTAATAAAAAAATTTAATGGATAAATTAAACATAAAATACTTAATTATGGGTAACAATTATTCAAATTATTATAGATTATGGAATTTGATGCTAGTTAAGACTTTTATCCTGTTGTTTGTTTACGTAAATCTAGCATAAAAGTTATTGATTTAAAGTGAATTACAATTTATTTAATATCACCTATTTAAATAAATTTATTGTATTTTCCTATCAAATATATATATATATTTTAGTAGCTTAATATTGTTATTATAGTTATTAGATACTAATTGATCAATTATTATTATGATATTACAGAGTTAATAAATAAGCTATATGAAGAGCGAGTTGAAACAAAATAACAAATTGTAAATGTTTAATAATTAATATTGTTAATATATTGATTATTATTGATTATAATATCTATATATATATATTTATTAATGACTTGTCACGAATTTCAAAATAAAATTTGTTAATTTGATTCTTCTTAACATGAATTTTAGCTTTGTTTTTTCGGTTAGAATAAAGCCTTATAGTGTTCTTGTACTAATATTTTATACTTTTATTTTTTTTGTTTTTTTCTCTTAAAGCTATTGCGAGCATTTATAAACCAATTTAATATCTTAATTAAAAATATTTAATACTTTCTTCTTCGATAGTTGTGTTTTATTGATTAATTTTTTGATTTCCATCTAATTTGGGTATGGATAACAATAATTATGTAAATACCATTTCTTAAGTATTAAATTTGTTTTGGTTGGATATACTTTTGAAAATAAGTCTTATAATGTATATATATGAATAAATACCTTGTGAACTTTAAATAAGTTTAAGTTTTAGAATGTCCTAATACAACTTTGTTTTATTATTCAATTATTCCAGAGCTTCTTCGAAAAACAGGTTTAACTATTAAGAAGTCATGAAACAGATCGATTTGATATTTCCAAATTATTCACGAAGTTGGGCAAAGTATTAAGTAATGTATTTTTCAAATTGTTCGAATTATAATAAGTCCTTATTCATATTTTGTTCATTATCATGAAGTTGTGAATTATCAGTTTGTAGTTTCTCATTTTATTACATTTATTCTTGTTTACTATAGTTTAAACATTAGAAAAATGTAGATTCGAGCTTTTATATTTTGATTTGAATATCCTCATACTTTCCAGTATTTATCTTCTGAAAAAGATTGAGATTTATATGTTAAGGATTATCATCAACTTGAATCATTGATATAATTAATTTACCATACGAATCAATAATACAATTTAATATAGAGGTATAATTTATGATGAATCTTTATAATTAATTAAAGTGAATCAAAATAGCAATTCATAATAAACTCTATCTCCCAAAGCTTTAATATATCAATTTCTAATTCAATAAAGAAGACTACTTCAATTTTATTAAAAATAAATTATTGTTTTATCATACCTCATTATAATTTCTCATTCATTAAGATCATTCTCTCATAATCATCATACTAGACATATCCTAAAATATTCTCAAAACTCTAATTAAAATGATAATAAACTTAGTCAAGATTGGGTAGCGTTTCATCTTTAATTTGATTTCAGAGAATTGATTACATAAAAAAATATAAGTATCAAATATTATGGAACTAATACACAATCAGAATTTCAAATCTCTTTAACGAAATCATTGATTTTTAAATCTTATTATAGTTAAGATCGAAGAATTCAACATAAAATAAATAAGATATTTTCAATAACTAATATAAAAATCTCTTTATTAAAAATAAATAATTATATATTTTATATTATTTATTATATTATCATTCTAAATTTCGAATATTGAATAAAGTCTTATTATTATATAATATATAATTGTTCTAATAGAAATTATATTATTTAGATTATAATATATTGATATTATGAAAATCTTCTTTATAAAGAATAAGAATTGTAAAATAAAAAGTAAGTCTTTAGCCAAAATAAAAGGTTATAAAAGAGATAGTTAATAAATAAAAATTATTATATATTTTAATAAATTCAATACATGTCCTTTACTTCTAGAATTCTAATTCTCTTTTATTAAGTTGGTTATTATGGCTATTATTGTTATTATTGTTATTAATTTTATATTGGTTGTTAGGATATCACTTATACTTATGGTTTTAAGGTTTATGGTTTTAATTAAGGAATAGTTTGAACTGAATTAGTCAAATTAGATTATTAATTTTAGATGAGTTTATTTTCTTCAGCTATTGGTGATGTTTATTTTATTGGCTTATACCTTGAATAAATATATTTGAGATTCATTTATTTCTGAAATTCACTTTAGCCTTAAACTCTACAATGATTTTCTTTTTCTATTGTATTCATATAAAATTTATATTATAATTATATTAATTAATTTATACATTTATCAAATTAAATCCTCATCACTACTATCATCATCAACATTAAATTGTTTATCCATTAATTGTTGTAAATTTTCATCTTATGACAATGACAAATCATTTCTATTAGGTTATAAAATACTAATCTGAGATTAGCTCTAATTTTGGGAAAAAGGTACAGAATTATTAAAATTTGGTTAATATGATTATTAAACCTAATACATTTGTGATGATGAACTTATAAATTTAGGTAATTATGGTTGTTTTGTTTGAGGTTATAATTATAATTATTGATATTATTACATTTATTATTATTATTATTACAATTATTAAAGTTTTTAATTGATCTATTACTATTATTGAATCTATTGTTCAAATTATTATTAAAAATTCTACAAGGGTTAAGGCTAGAAAATATTACTAGATGAAACAGAGGATGTAGTAGATTATTTATTAATTGGACTCATTGTAAGCATAGGTTATTATTGTTATGGGAATGGCAATGGAGGTTTAGATAGAGGTTTTATTTATTCCTCTTTTTATTAAGACTATTTCAATATTTTTGATTATTATTCTTTTTATTTCTTTTATTCTTCTAAAAGTCTTACTATTAGATAAATACTAATATATACTTCCTTCTTTAATTTATATATAGTCTTGTTATATAGAGGTCATTGACTTTTGGCTAAATTATGGGATCAAAGGTTTTTATTATTAAGGTTAAGGTTAATCAGATATTACTTTCTAACTGCCAGTTTCCTTAATTGATATTGGAAGACATTATTATAAAAATCTGGAATATTAATAATATAACTATACTTATCAAACCCTAAAGAAAATAGCTTTTCTTATGATAATAAGTAATAATATTCATTGAAATCTAGTTTGAATAATAAGAATTTTAATTTTTCTTCATTTTAGAGATGCTTAATCAATTCTAATGTTTATTCTCTATACATTTATCTCAATTATAATAATAACTTAATTATTTCTTATCCTTTAAATTATTTATCAATATTAATATTATATGTTGGTGTAGTTTTATGTGATATTATTGAATCTAATGATTATTCAAACTTATCACTTCTATCTTATGCTACTAATTCTCTTACATATAGAAATAGATTTTCTAAATTTTATTTATATCTAAATGAAATTTCAAATAATTTAAGTAAAATTATCTGAATTTCTTCTTATTTTTGATGTAAGAATGTTTTATCAATTATTTCATTTAATAATTATTCATGTAATTTTATCAAATGATCTAAATTTTCTATTTAATTAATTTAATCCATGAATTTTTTCCATGGAGTTTCGATTGCATCTAACATCAAATAACTAAAGAAATTTTTAATAAAATGAATCATTGAATTCATGATTTATAAACTTAAATTAAGAGCCTTATTTACATTTGACTTTGCATTTAAATGATATTTGTTTTTAATTTATTACATCCATGATTAAATAAGAGTATGTTCAACTCTTTTAATACGCCATAAATAATTGAAAATTTTATAATAATTTAACATAGTTCTATGATTAAAAATAGTTTTTAAAGGTTCTTCAAATTCATAATCTAAACAAAAGATATCCCAACCTATATCATTTTTTTAAGCTTCCAATAATTTAACTGACAATCTCTATTAGATAATCTAATTTGCATTACTCAATCTAAGTGTAGATTCAACCAAACCAGTTAAAGTATGTTTATATACTAAATGTGCATTTTTTGATAATTCTGTATAAAGTGTTTCAATCAATAATTGAGAGAAATTACCATTACCTAATAAGAAATATTATTTAATCATCTTAAAATGATCCATTAATTTAAATTTATCAAATAATAAATTGACTAATTGTGTATTAGTATTTTTATTTGCTTAATTAATTAATTAAGATAATTCCTTTGTTTAAAGCATATTAATAGTCAATGGCTATATATCTAAATACCAATTTTTATTATCACATTATTTTCTTAACCAATTTATAGCTCTGCCTGTATCATATATTTTATATGCTTCATCATATGATATAACAACTGGAACTTTATCATAATTAATTCTATATTATTTTCTCCACAATTCTCCTTAATCCTTAGTTAATACTTTTTAATCATCTCTTTCTATAAAGAATTCATTGGCTATATCTAAGAGATTACCTTCAAACATCCATTCATTTATGTACTTCATTAATGGTTAACAACTTGCCTATTATAAACGTACAAATAATTCTGCTGTTTAAGTGCATCCATGCTTTGAAAATTACTCTAAAACATTTATTATTAAACAAGATGTAGTTCCAAGGGGAGTATTTGTTTATATTATTGAAAGCAATTGATTTATAAACAACATATAATCATATGAAGATTAGAGATGAAAATGAATTCTTTTAAATGTTATCACTAAATAATAATGATACTTATTTTACATTATGAAGATAGTATTAATCCTTCAAGATTTGCTATCAATTTATAATATTCAGACAATTCTAATTTGATTACATTTTAAAGTGCCTATACTATTAGATTTGATTATTATATTTAACAAAAAGATGAGATCTTTTTGAATAACCATCCACATTCAGAAATCAAGTTTACTATTTATCGTACTGATATTGAAACATTAAGATCTTTTCTTAAACAAAATGAATCTGTAGATGCATCATATTAAATATATTAACCCTCTATACCTTAAAGACAAAATAATAAATCTTTCATTAAATCTCTGTCATTAACTTCTTAAGCAATACTATTCTAAATTTATATAATTTATTACTTGTTATCTTTCTACTATCATACTTTTTATTAAACTATTTTCTATCTTATTAATTGTTTGATTAGTTGTCTATTGATTTTCAATATCAATTGACTATTTTAAATGATTTGAATTTTCAAAAATTGGTTTTATTTAACTATTATTCAATATCTCTTATTTTCCCAATTAACTTACTCTAATTACAAAGTGAATTATTTCTTAATTTTTTTGAATTGTTGATTTTTTGAATTTCTATATGCATTCTCTTAATCTATTTTAAAGTACTTTCTATTTTAATAGTATATTACATATACATTATCAATATCATTAATTTCCTTTTCTATTATCATATCATCCATTTCTTAATATTTAGTTTTTAGATTCAAAATTCTATATAAATATGTCTTGTAATTTAGTAATGTACTTTCTTCAGTTTATTATGGAAAAGATAGTCTGACTAAATCAAACACACTTTTTTAAGCATTAAATTCCATCTTAATAAATGAATAATTTATATATATAATGTTATAAAAAAATGTAATATTTGGCTTCATAATTTAAATTATTATTAATTAATACAAAATATGATAATTTATACATTAGAAAAGAGAACAATTTATATATTAAGTATAATTTTGATTGATAAAAAAAATATGATATTTTTTAATATTCATTTAATCACAATTTTTCTATGAGTAATAAATTAATCTTTCTCTTATTATTATTATTGACTATGTCTTTCAGTAAGAAAATTCAGACGTTTATTTTCTATTTAATATATAATGTATTATAAATACAAAGTTCTTCATCTAAATGAGGTTCATTATTATTTAAGTTTTAAAGATTCAATTTGAAATCAAATTTTTTATGATTTTATATAGATTATGTTGCCAATTAAATGTACTTTTTAACAATATCATCAGGTTTATTTGTGTTAATGTTTAAAACCTTAGATTGACTATGATTTCCCTATTATTAATGTTATGATTTAGTAGCTAAATCTAATCCTGTAGTTTTCTTAGTGTATTAAGATTTGGCTTTATTATTATTATTGCCTAGTTTGAAAGTGGACATTGCATTATATTATGATGGTATCATATAATTAAATTCTGGTTTTTTCTATTATTCTGCATTCTATGAACTTTTAATATTGATATCATGTAATTTACTAAACAAATCTTCAGATATAGGTAATTATTTCATATTTCTATCTGTCAAACATCCACCTTTTGTTATTCTATCTAATTAATTTTAATTTATTTTCTTTTATTAAACTGGTTAATATACTTTTTTTAATTATTCTTGTCTTTATGATATATTTTATATACTACCATTATTGTTATTTTGATCTTATTTAATACTTTTTTAAGAACCTTAAAATCCCTATATAAGAGTAGATGTACTTGCAACTAATAAATCTTATGAAATTGTTGATTTTAATTATCTTTTCTGATTACCCTAATATTCCTTAAGCATCTTTTAAACAGTAATATTATCATTCTATATTCGAGACATCTTATTCTTACCTTCTAGATCAGATGGATCAATTTATCCAGAAACATAATCACAAAATTAATCTACTTATTAATCAACTGAATCTTTAATCTTAGACATCTTGAAACTTGATTAAGAATGTTTTGATTCACTCTTAGAATTAGCAAAAATAGCTATATAGAATATATTAATTCATATACCTTTTTTCTCTCTAAGGTCCATATTATTGGTCCTTCTTTTGACACTTTTCATTGCATGTAGATCTTTAATGAGATTGGTTTATATGTTTTATTAACTTTAGGGAGGAGATCTGATGTAAAAATTTGGAGGCAGTAATTTATTTTTGTTCGTCATTTTATTTATAATTTAGTATTATTTATCTAACATTTCAAGAAATAAGTTATTTTCTTCATAATTATTGAGTAGACTTATTCCTTTAAAATCAATACGATTTTATTTCTATGGTTAATCTTCAGAAGAATAAATATCGTGTTCTATAGTTTCATAACTGATTTGAGATTTTGATGATAGTTTTGAATTGAGTACATTATTAACAACAACAGGATTCTAAGATTTATTCGAATTTACACTCTCTTACATTCTCTAATAATAAAGCTTATCAATTTTCTTATTTCTTTTACTCATTAAAGTATGACTTTCAACAACTAGTAAATAAGGGTGAACATCTTTATAATTTGTCACGTAAAAGTCAGTCAAAATGTCTAGTCTTGGTTTGACTTCGTCTTTCTTATAATATCTACATGTTAAGGAAGTTCTACTACCTTTTCATGTATTCTTATTATTCATCTAATATCACATAATCCTTATAATAGATTACATGAGGAGTATTAGCAATTTATGATAGAATTTCATTTATTGGCTTTGCAAAGTAAAAGTTGAAAGCTTCAAAATACTTTAATTGTAGTTTTTTTAAAATGAGCTATTGTGTACTCTATCCACACATATTGCAATTCATTAATTTTACTCTAAAATATAAATTATATCAAATCTATGAAGAAATTGACTAGTAAACTATAAATTATAAATACAGATAATTTTAGAATTTCTAAACTGACATAACAAGTACTTAAATATTGCAATAGAAAATAATTTAATCTAATTGAATAAATTAGATTTATCTTATGAATATTAAGATGATTATTGATTCAATTAAATTAATTAAGTTAAGATCATAAAAGAAATCTTTAATAATTTTAGAAAAACCGATTATTTTAACTTAAAAAAGACTTTAATAAATAGTTAAGATAATATATAATTAGAATTAATAATATATTTTATTATTCTGAGAAATTGAGGTTTTGTTATATTTTAAGTAAAATTGAATCAGTATTTTTAGATATTTGTGACAATTTATTTTAAATTATGCAAAATTCTCTTTGATGATAAATTATTATTATATAGAAATCAAATGAAAATATATAGAGATTTAAGAGTATTTAAATTATTTACTTAATGTAAACTTGAAGATTAAGTAAATAAATTTAAGATTTGCTTGAAAAATATTATTACTAAATTTGTAAATTAGTAAAGGTTAAGAAATATAATGATAAAATAATTGGAGAATATTTTGAATTATTTAAAATAAAAAGTTACAGATAAAACAGCAAGTGTTCAGGTTAAACATAGATGATGATACTTATAGCCTTTGCAATTCAATAGCTACAGTAAATAGAGGAAACTAATATATAAAAGATAATGGAAAAAAACAAAAGATAAATACTTGAAATATAAGTTTGATTTAATGTGTTTGAAATTATTTATAATTAATTCATACATATTAGAGTTATAAAAGGTAAAGTTTGATTGAGTAATATGAATTTAAATAGATAATTTAACATATGATAAGTATATATTCAATAATGTCAATAATTAATCAGTAAGATTTAATTTATTAAAATTAATATGTAGTTATTGAATAAATTAATCTCTCTTATGTACATAATTTATATTTAATTAAATAAGAAATATATATACTTTTGTTTAACTCAAATATTTATTTAGTTTAATTATTAATTTATTTACTTATATAATAATGTCCAACAGAATAACAAAATCAAAGAGCCCTCAATTAAATAACTAATACAAAATTGATAAAGATCTAATGAAATATCACATTTTATAAAAGATCAACAAACCATAAGTTCCAGAGAAATAAATAATTAAAACTTAACCTGATGAAGAATAAGAACCTGAGGATTTTAAACAAGAGATTGAATTTAAGTACTTACAAAATCATTTGGTAGATATAAGAATTGCCAAATTAATCATACATTTATATTCCCTAAAGAAGATTATGAATCATCATCTGATAATTCTCTTTAATCTCTTAAAGATACTACAGTTTATAATCTTAATTGCAACAATATAGAGCGTTTGACTGATGCCACATCTCCTTATTTTATGAAGGCTTTAAATGAAAAGTTATTAAGATTAGCCGAATCTATTGAAGATGATTATTCCTAATAAAATACTATACAAAAATTCAATACAACCAATCCAAAATAGACAAAGTTCTTATTTTTATATATAAATAGCTAATAGAAATCTCATTGTTAAAATTAATCAAGTANAAATTATTTACTTAATGTAAACTTGAAGATTAAGTAAATAAATTTAAGATTTGCTTGAAAAATATTATTACTAAATTTGTAAATTAGTAAAGGTTAAGAAATATAATGATAAAATAATTGGAGAATATTTTGAATTATTTAAAATAAAAAGTTACAGATAAAACAGCAAGTGTTCAGGTTAAACATAGATGATGATACTTATAGCCTTTGCAATTCAATAGCTACAGTAAATAGAGGAAACTAATATATAAAAGATAATGGAAAAAAACAAAAGATAAATACTTGAAATATAAGTTTGATTTAATGTGTTTGAAATTATTTATAATTAATTCATACATATTAGAGTTATAAAAGGTAAAGTTTGATTGAGTAATATGAATTTAAATAGATAATTTAACATATGATAAGTATATATTCAATAATGTCAATAATTAATCAGTAAGATTTAATTTATTAAAATTAATATGTAGTTATTGAATAAATTAATCTCTCTTATGTACATAATTTATATTTAATTAAATAAGAAATATATATACTTTTGTTTAACTCAAATATTTATTTAGTTTAATTATTAATTTATTTACTTATATAATAATGTCCAACAGAATAACAAAATCAAAGAGCCCTCAATTAAATAACTAATACAAAATTGATAAAGATCTAATGAAATATCACATTTTATAAAAGATCAACAAACCATAAGTTCCAGAGAAATAAATAATTAAAACTTAACCTGATGAAGAATAAGAACCTGAGGATTTTAAACAAGAGATTGAATTTAAGTACTTACAAAATCATTTGGTAGATATAAGAATTGCCAAATTAATCATACATTTATATTCCCTAAAGAAGATTATGAATCATCATCTGATAATTCTCTTTAATCTCTTAAAGATACTACAGTTTATAATCTTAATTGCAACAATATAGAGCGTTTGACTGATGCCACATCTCCTTATTTTATGAAGGCTTTAAATGAAAAGTTATTAAGATTAGCCGAATCTATTGAAGATGATTATTCCTAATAAAATACTATACAAAAATTCAATACAACCAATCCAAAATAGACAAAGTTCTTATTTTTATATATAAATAGCTAATAGAAATCTCATTGTTAAAATTAATCAAGTACATCTATAGGAAGACTCATAGATAATTATATTATTAATATGAATACAATGAATTAGAATGCTAATCAAAATAGAGATAGTGTAACTCATAAAACATAAAAAAATTAATATTTTAGAGCTACTCCAACATTATCATCTGAAAAAAAGAAATAATCTAAAAAGATATTACAAATCTTAAAAATTGCTTAATAACGCAAAATCAATAATTCTACTAATAAGTATATAAAATGTAAATAATTATAGTAATGCTTTCAATAAAAGAACTACTTAAATTAATAGTTACTCTTTTAATAATACACATAATATATTTTTGAATGGAAAAAGAAATGGTGAAAATATGAGAATTAAAACAGAATCAGATGATTTTGAAGGAAGTTTGTAAAAGTTTCAAATTATTCCAAAATCAAGGTAAGCTTCTGATTATTAAATAAAAGATCTAAAGTTAGAGAACATGTAACAAAATTCAAGAAGCTTGAAAGTTCGTAGGAATATAAAATACTTAATTATACTATGGATAATCATTTATTAGAATAATTAGGTGTTGGAAGAAATGCTAAGAGTTAAAATAGAAGTTATAAGGTTTGATTATATATTATTTTTACTTCTATTTATTTTTCTCATCACATTGTTATAATTTTAATTTCTGAATAATTAATTAGAATTAGAAATTAATTTATGAATCCCTTTATTACTGATACATTATCAATGGCTTAGATTAAATCCATCAATTCTAGAACTATTAAAATAGATAATGCAACCGATGTACCTAAAAATATAAAATCCCTTCAATTAATATAAAATTCAAATGGCATATACATATTATATGCAACATAATAAGTATTCATTATTTATATATTTTTAGGAAGCCTAAGAGGCTTAATAGCAATTAAACACTTAAAAATTTCATGCTACATTAATCAATGAAGTTGAATAAGAAGTTTATACTATTAGTGTTCTTAACATTCCTAATACAACTAATGTATAATTATAATAGGCCTTTTCAATATTTGGCGATATTGCTTATATCACTATTTTGAAAGATGATGATGGTGAATCAAAAGGAGTTGGTTATGTAACCTTTCAAAATAAAGAAGCATATGATAAAGCTATCATAGCCAAGACTTTAATTTTTGAAGAAAATATTTTGACAATATTATAGAAATAACCTATTCATATTATGGAAAATAGATTCAAATAATTGAAGCTTAGAAAACAATAATTAGATAAGAAAAAACTTAAACATAATAAAATAGATAATGTTTAAATATCATAAGTTGAAGTTAATTTAGTAATATTTATTAATAAAATTAGGATTTGGAATTAAAGAATGAAATGAGAACAAGTGGAAGAGTAATCAGAAAGAAAATCAGAAAAATTAAATCTAAAGTAGGTGATGATGATTTCGCTTTAGTCGCAAAAATGAAATAATTTAAGAAAGGAATATAAAAGAAATAAGATTAATTCTTTAGAATTCCATCATAATTAAAAGCTAAAAGAGAATAAAGAAAATTAAAAATGGAATAAAATAAAAAAAAAGCAAACAAATTACATAAAAAGTGATGTTTATAAATATTTAAGAAAACTTAATTAAATCAGCCAATAGATTTGTATATCTATTAATCTGTTTTATTATCAATTTATTAGTCATCTTATCTTTAATCAATAATTTCTTCTATAAATATCTATTAAGGCTATTTATTTATAACTGATTTATAAAATATTGAATTCATACTTAATATGTAATAGCCATATTTATCATAACCAAGAAGTAGGATAAATATTATAAAAGGAAAAGTATTAAAAAATATTATTATTAAATTATCATAAATTTACATTTTATATCACAAATAAAAAATATCTATAAGTATATACTAAAAAAATAATTGATAATCTAATCATTATAATTAAACAATAAAATCATAAATTAAGATATACTTTCATCCACCTTCCTCATTTTATATCATTCTCTTTCGAATATGTTCAATTAAACAAAAAAAAATAGTATCCAAACAGTAATAAACTGATACACAATGTATATTTGTTCAAATATGGGGATAAATTAAGATATTTTGTATGAAAATCTATTCCTATAATCACTTCTAATTAGATCAGTAGGATAAAGAGAAATTTATAAATTAATTTAAAGGATCTTTAACGTCTCTTTATTTAATTTCCACTTTCTTAGTGTTAAAATAATTACTAATTACAATATCATTAAGTTTGTGAAATCTAGCTAGAGTATCTATTTATTAAAGAGATTCGTTTTTAATTTATTAAATAATTATTTGACCTATTTATTAACAACCTTTAATATTAGTAGATACAGAATGATTAATTTAATACAAAGGATCAATAATGATGATTGATTTAATCTGTTTTTCTTCATTTTAATTTAAACAATATTTTTGGTTAAGAAATCTGAATATCATCTTTGTTATTATTTTCAATTCTAATGTCTTTAATTTCTTATTGCTAAATTTAGCATAAATAGATGTTTTATCGATATTTAATTATATTGATATTCCTTTCATAAATTAGATAATTTATTCTTGATTATTATTAATTGGTTAAATATACTAATATATTGATATACTTAATTGAATTAATATGATAAAATGAAGAATCTAAAAGGTTTTTTGTCATAATTTTATTTTGACCTTTTGAATTAATTGAAATGAAGTTAATTATTTAGGTTAATAAGTTTAGCTGATTATTATATATTATAATATAATATGTAAAATGTTAGAGTAAATTGGGTATCTGAGATAGACATTTTTATTAATTGTAATTAAAGATATGAGAATTGAGATATTTATATGATTAAATAAATATATATATATAATTTATTTCTTAGATAATTCTTTAGTTAGAATAGTGAAAATAATGAGGTCTGTCAATAATACAATAAGAGCAGCTAGTTAAAGGTATTTATGGTTAAAATAATAAATAAAGTAATGGGAAGCATAGAATTCTGAAAGTTCCTACAAAAATCAAACATCATGTGACTCTTGCGCCAATAAATAGATTCATTCAAATTAAAGATTGTGCTAAGAAGGATTGTCAATACAAATTAGGTAAATTGATTGGTTCTGGTTCAAATGCTTAAGTATATCAGGCTATGGATATGGACACAGGTGAAGTTGTGGCTTGTAAAAAAGTACTGTTCAAATTCAAGAATCAGTAAAAAGTAGATGTAAGATATACAAATTTAATTAGATTGAACTGTAATTTCTTTAAATTCTATAACACAAAAACATAATCAAATATATATCTCATGTTTCAACGAAAGATAGTTTATTAATATATTAAGAATATATGCCAATGGGTATGATTAAATTAATTTATTATAGGTTCAATTTCTCAATTATTAAATGAATTTGGTCCAATGACAGAGTCAACTATAAAAACGTATACTCATCAAATCCTTAATGGATTAGAGTACTTACATAATAAAGGGATATTACATTTAGATTTAAAATCAAGCAACATTTTATTAGATTCATGTGGTGATATTAAAATCTCTGATTTTGGTTGTAGTAGACATATTAAACAAAATTTATGTCAGAGTATACTATAAGGGAGTGTTCCTTGGATGGCTCCAGAAGTGGTTAGATAAGAAGAGATTGATACTCCAGCTGATATATGGTCATTTGGATGCTTGATTTTAGAGATGTTAACTGGGAAGCATCCATGGTTTGAATAACTTGATTTTGATAATGTTGCATCAACACTTCTCGCAATTGCATTTAATCAAGAATCACCAAAAATTCCAGACAATGTTTCTGAAGAATTAAAGAACTTTCTTCTAATGTGTTTCTCATAAGATCCATTATAAAGAGCAACAATATAAAAACTTAGATAGAGTGCTTTTTTATAATGAATTTTTTTGTCTTTATAATTTGTAAGTGAATAAAAATCTTTATTTTATAAATATAACAATGTTCTATTTATGGCATCTGAATGAAATAGTTAAATTATATTAATAACTATCAGATTTATGAATCAATCCTAAGAGTAAATTCGATCTTAATAAGTTGACTTAGAAGTTAAGTACCATAAATTTATCTTAGTTTTCTAATGAAGTAAATCGAATATGTTTGTTCAATTTTGTGTGCTAATTATACATGCTTATATTTAGTTTAAAACTCATATGGTTATTTGATTCTAAATACATAATTATATTTGCCTGGTTTATGGATTTGATCACTTTTATTGTAATATTATTAGATAAAAACATAAACAAAGTCATTTCTTGTATACATTTTTTAGAAAAAGTATTGAGTATTTCATTTAAAGTAAATTTCATAATTTTTTAAGATCACAATAGTTATACATTTTGAAGTTAAAGAGATTAATTTATATTACATTCCAGCAATGTAAATAATTGTAATTATTGGATTATTTCTACATTAAGTATTACAATAAGACCAATCTAAAAGGAAACATCTTATAGTATAATTTAATTCTAAAATAGATTGCTCATTCCTATGGAATTCTATATATCTTATAATTATTATTATTATCTTTGAAATGGAATAACTTCTTTGTATACTCCTATTATCAAACCTTTATCATTACATGGACAGCTTTGGGAGTGAATACCTTTTTAATTGTCTTATTACTTATTACTTTAGTGGAAAATTGTTTTATCAAAGACATACCTTAAATTGATGGTAAAATATTATTAAATCAAGGATCAATCATAATATGGCTTATATATTATATTATTGGATTAACAATAATACCATTCTTTCTTTTAAAAGAGATCTGTTAATTTTATGAAAAAGATACTATATAAATAAATATTAAAATAGCTGGTATTGCTATTGTAATTTCAATAATTCTTTATATGATCTTATTTCTTTTCTTTACTAATAAAGTGAGAAAATAACTAATGTATCTATATAATTTAATTATTAAAATAGAATTGTTTTATAATTGGAACATAGATAAACTTAAACAGAAATTAGAACTCCAAAATCTCCTTAATTAGAATCATCAAAAAATAAATGGTCTAAACTATAAATTCCAATTTTATTTATTAGAGTTTCTGCTTCATTTTATAAATTAATAACAAGAAAAACAATTAATGAAATAAATAATAGAAATATTAGTTCAATTCCAATTTGTAGTGATGTCTTAAGACCTGATTCTCTTAATTTTAGATAATCTCCATGTTTAACTATGATGAAATAAATGAAATCAATCCCAAAAGATTAAGATTCTTGTGATATTTGTTTAATTTGTTTTGAAAATGAACCAGATATTGTATTACATCCATGTAATCATGGTGGTATTTGTACTATTTGCTCTGAAAATATAATGAAAACTACTAAATAATGTTTTTTATGCAGAACAGATATAAAGTACACTTTCAAATTAAATCAAAAAGTAGGAGATATCTTAGAAGTTACAGATGTATAAAAAGTTTGAAATATTAAAATATTCTATTATCAATCAGTTATTCATAATTTCTAGATTTTCTTATGTTTTTATTTTTATCTATCTTTTAATTATTATATTAATTCTTCAGTTTATTTAATCCTTTTTAATTATTCATCTTCATTTTATCTTTCAACTTCTTTTTTAATACTAGGTAAAAGTGGTAATAATGGTTGTCTATCTTCATGTATATTTTTAGGACTATAACTAAAATAAAATAATATTTTTTACGATTTTATTATTAAAGGTTTAAGTTCTCCTTCTAATTCATTTTTTTTGTTTGATTTTAAAGGTTCATGTTTTTAAGATTTATTCGAAATTCTTTAATCTTTTTTCCTAGGTTGGATACCAACACCATATATTTAATTAATTTAATTATTCTTATTGTTATCTAATTAATTGTCATCAACTTTTTTATTATTTCTTGAAACAACCGAATTATCAAGACTCTCTTCATTCCTTTTATTAAGACGAGGTAAAAAATCAACATGCATTGAATGATTCTCCTCCAAATTCTCTTAATTCAACTTCTAAATAGCCAAAGTCTAGATAAACTACTACTTATCAATTCTAGTCATTCTAATTGGATTATAATTAGGTTTAGGCAATCTATCTGTTAAATAGTGCATATTTCTTGGAACTCTAATTGTTTATAATAAAAATTTAGCTCCTTCTTCTTCAATCAGCACTTTATCATCTAACCTATTGACTATAGAAGACAATTATAATATTTTATCACAACTGGGTCTCAAATGTGGTTAGACTTAGAGTAAAGCCCTAATTACATTGCTTAAATCTTAGCTGTAGATTGTAGGTATTTTTGGATAATAACCCTTGACTACTTTTTTGTACAAACCGCTCATATCTTCAGCTCGAAATGGTGGTTTAAGTGTTGTCATTTCATATAAAACACATCCTAATGACCAAATATCTGATTTAGAATCATAAGGTTGATCTTTCCAAACTTCTGGTGATGCATAATAAGGTGTTCCAGTTTATGTGTAAAGTAATATTTTTCGAGCTACTTTGGAGACATTCATATCTCCCAATTTAACAGTTCCATCTATATTCATAAAGACATTTGCTGATTTAAGATCTCTATGATATATTTTCATATCATGCAATGCTTTTAAACCTTTTACAATCTTTAATGTTAATATGGATTAAGAAATACTTATATGAATATATTCCAAATATCATTTTCAGACATAAGAACTCCCTTCTTTTAACATTCTACTATTTTTTAATATAGATCTCCATCATCTGCATATTCCATTACGATACTTAAAAATAATTGCATATAAATAGTTACCATAATGTTTAAGATTATTCTTCCAAAAATGCTTCTTTATATTGAATAACATTAGCATGTCTTACACTTGCCAAAATTCTTACTTCATTAAGGGCATTTTATTTCTCTTTATCAGAAAGAGATTGCAAATTAACCTTCTTAAGAGCGTATTCTTATTAATCTGCAATTCTTTTTATTTTAAATACTCTAGAATAGGCTCCCTCACCTAGTTCGCATATTAATTATACCTAATTCTTGCAATATTTGAAAGTCCTTTAATGACATATAATAAATTATTATTAAAATAATCACATAGATGTATGTCAATATATAATTTATTTTTATCTATCATTCTCATTAATCCAATACTACTTTTGTTTTCTATACTTAAATATTAAACCCATATATTACATGCATAAAATATAGAATCTATGATCCCAGCTATTGTAAATACTCCTCCTAAAATAGCACAAAGTTGAACTATAAAATGATTAAAGGTCTCATAATATTTTGTAAATTGAACAGTCACAGGAGATATATCATATCTAAAATAAATAGCAGGCATTTATGTAGTCTAAGCTTCATTTGTATTTGCTGTGAATTGATTTACAAAATATTCTTTATTATCAATATCAACATAGAGTGTAGGTACAATAGAAATATAATATTGATGAGTCACTCCTACATTTTTAAGTTCCTAACTTTTTATTCTACTTATGCCATCTAAAGGATTGAGTAATCCTTATTTGAATTTCTCTCTAATTACTTATAAGTCATTTTAATTTCCAAAAGATAAATGTTTAATTTTATGTGATAAGTCGAATGTTTATAATTCCACAAATGGCAATACAATATCAACTTATCCTCCATAAGGATGAGCAGATATATGGAAATTTCCAGGAACTCTACTAATTATGATATATCCAGATAGATCACAACCTTCCTTTTATTCAAATTCTTACTAGGCCCTCTCTAAATTCAATGACTCATTAGTTGATAACTAAATTATTAACATTTAATTATACATATTAATCAATGACTTTTCCATTTAATATTCTCGTTTTATATAACTCACCTTATAAATTTTGTAAATGAGTGCCAATTACATCTTATTAATCAATGCTTATAAAATCACATGGCATGTTAGGAAATGAGATATCCATATTAACTAAAAGTGTGTCATCCTTATTTTAATCAATGTACATCTCAGTTTATACTTATTAAGTTAGATAGTCCTTTCCTTATGACTTTGAATTACCTAAAATTCTGTAATAAATAATAAAAACATCAAAATCAAAGATGTAAATGATATCAATGCACCTGATTTTGAAGGCTCAATTAAATCCTATGGTAACTTTCTATATAAATCAAATTTCAGCATTTATATTATTATTAATATATTTATTAATTATTATTATATTGACTACTATTCATAAACATACTTCAAATTTGTAATTATAATCTAATTCTTATAATAGAAAGTATATCAGTATATCATATAAACTAATTTATTGAATTATATCAAATAAAGTAGGCTAAAATGGATTCATTTCTTTGTTATAATGAATTATTATCTCAAAAATCAACATTTAATTTCTGTTATTTTTCAAGAAGTCCACTAAAATAATCAATTCAAATATCTATACATCTTATTTCAATTTGATATATAATGGGTGTATAGATATATAAGTAATTAGATACTTGAACATATAAAAAAGATAGTTATGTTCATGATATCAAATAACCCTTTATAAGTAAAGAAATTCAAATTTTTTAATGAGTTACTCATTTATTATATGATTTTATAGTTTTAGTTTATATAAACATTTACAAATTATGAATAACAAATAATTCAATAAGAAAAGAATACATGAAGTTGATTATGCACAAAAAGTATTGAATACAATCAAACCTGATATTCAAAATATCAAACTAAATCAAAATTTGTTTCATGCTCAACAAGTAGCTAGACATTCATCAACTCTTATTAAGAATATTCAAAAAGATGTTAAATCAACTCTTAGAAAATATGATTCATAATTAAAACTTAGTTAATCAAACAGAAATTATACAATGAGTGATTCAGCAAGAAAATATTCAAGTGAAATACCTCGAAAAACATAATTGTCAACTGAAAAAGAATTAGAATCGTTAAAACAATAATAAAAAATATTGATGACCCTTTTGAATAATCTATAATAATAAGAAAAGCTTATAGTTATTTAACATCAGTCTTCTGAAGAATAATAAAAATAACAATGTATTGATAAATAATGGTATTAATAAAAAGAAAAGTAATTATAAGAAATAAAACAAAAATAATATTAAATAGGCTAAGCATAAAAAAAGAAAATGTAGGAAACTGATATTATTTAATTAGACATAAGTAGACTTAAAAGATCTACTCATAATAAGTCTAATTCTTCTTAAAATTTTTTCAGTCCAATCAATAAAGATAAAATAAATTAAGACATTCCTATTCTTAAGATGAATAAAAGTCATTCAAAATTTCATCAAAATAACTTGGAATCTCCAAAAAAATGGGAATAATATGGAATGATAAATAAAAAAAATAATTCAAAAAATTAATAAAGAATTGAAACACACTAATATATTAATAAAGATTATTCATAGTAAAACAGAAAATAGAAAATAGAATTATAAATTAGGTCTGGTAACTTAAATTCAAGAGATAGTCATTAGAGCAAATAGTTATCAGATGATTTAACATACTTAATCAATGATTTGAATGAATTTAACAATAAATCTAAAAGATTTTCTATTAAAGAATGAATTAATTTTTTTCTATTATAATGAGATTGACAATCATTTATGAATTATAAAGACAATTGTTATTATTTAATATTATGACAATTTTTATAAATAATCACATATTAAATCAGAGTATAAAATTTTTAATTAAAATTTTAGTATAAATACATAAGTTAATTAAAGAAGATTTGAACAATTTTTATTAATCTCTAAAATATTAATGGTTTTCTGGAATGAAACAGATATTGGGTTGGCAGTCATTGGTGGAGCTCTAATAGGCATAGCTACATCACTCCACTATATAGTAAAAGGAAGAGTAACTGGATTCAGTGGAATATTATACAGCATTGTCACATATGATCTTCCATCGTTTTTTTGGAAGGTTTCCTTAATGATGGGAGTTATGATGGCTTCAAGTATATTTTACTTAGCATATGGGTATGAATAAATAATATTTTTATAGAACAGAAAAAGCAATTATTGATGGAGGAACTCCTGCCTATGATGACTTATCAATTTTGACATAAATAGGATGGGGAGGAGCAATCATAGCTGGATTTTGTGTGGGATTCGGTACTAAAATGGGTAATGGATGCACAAGTGGACATGGTGTATGTGGATTACCTAGATTGGCTCCAAGATCAATTGTTGCAGTTAGTTGTTTTATGGGAATGGGTTTATTGACTGCCTCAATTAAAGAAAACTTTAGTAATAATATTAAACTAAATTCAAGTTCCTTTGGAACATCCAGAACCAATAGATTATGATCATGAAGCTTGTGCCATAACAACTTTGATTTTAGGATTTGTAATCATACTCATTATGGCTGGATTTTAATATGTTAAGAATAAGGAATTATTGATTGACTTGGTCGTTGGAACCTTAGTTGGATTTATTTTTGGATTAGGTTTAGCAATATCTGGTATGGTGAAAAGAAGCAAGATTATTGGATTCTTAGCAATAAATGAAAGATGGGATCGTAATATTAATATGTATATTTTAGCTACTCTAATTTTTGTGATGGTAACTCCAGTGGTTATTAATTTCTTTGCTTTTAGAGCAAAAGAGAAACCATATTTAAATACAAAATATGAAATTCCAACTAATAATGTTATAGATTGGAAACTAGTATGTGGAGCTACAATATTTGGATTTGGATGGGGAGTAGGTGGATTTTGTCCTGGTCCTGCATTTGCACTCTTCCCCTAATTTACAGTCCATATAAATATATTATTTATGGGAACTCTTGTTATTGGATAATTGTCAGCTAATTATTTTGTGAAATGGGTAGATGAAAGAAAAAAATATGATCAAATAAAACCTTAACAAGAATAATAATCAAAAGAATAATAATAAAAGGAATAATTACCAGATATATCTAAATAACAACTTGCAGAAACTCCAAGTGATAGAAAGAATGATGCTCCAGATAACACTGCAAAAATAAATTGATTTAGAACTTTATTTTATTTTATTAATATTAATTATTATTTAGAAAATTCATTTTATTTAATTATATTATTATATATAATTATATTAAGATAATTCAAAAAAGTAAAGATAAAAAATAATCTAAAATTTTATTTAAAGTATCTAATTGAATATCTTGATTATTAAATTCTCAAATTCATTATTAAAATAAATAAATGAATTTTTTTTATGAAATTGCTTAAGAACTTATAGGATTTATTTAAGATCTACATAACTCAATATTTTATAAAATTATAATGGTTCAGATTTCATCTAGATCAAGCACTGGATAATCACCAACAATTAATTCATTTGGTCTCACAAATATTCCAAATTTTTGAGGACATTAGAAATATTGAAAGCCCTAAATGTTTCCATTATTTGTTCCTGTAGGTTCATCTAACTCTATTCCAATAAAATAGCCTAATCCCATCTAAGGAACTTATCCAACTTAAAATTTAATTTAATTTTTACCATATCGAACAGTTCCTCTTCTTTCTCCTTATAGTATTTAACAACGAGAGCCAATAGCAATTTACAATGCTTCTGCCTCTTAGAAATTATCATTAATTTCAGGTTTATTTTATCCTAAATTTCCTCCAGCAGCTTATTATTACAACACCTATTATTTGAACTTTCTCATATTAACAGGTAATTTATCATAATCCTCATCACTTATTGTATACTTTTAAACTTTATTCACATCTTCTAATCCATTTAGAACACTATTAGGATTATTATCTATAATATAGACTTCATATCCATCTTTTGCTCCATAAGTCCCTAAAAATTTTACATCATCATTCATATATGTAATAAAGTTTCCCTAGAATATTTCTAATTTAATACTTATTTATCCTTTAATTGCAATTACATAAATTTAGGATCACTACCATACCTTTTTTCTATTGATTCTTTAATGCTGCCAATAGTTTACATAAGGTCAAATCTGATATCAATCATTTTATTTGTAGATATATTATGAGTCAGAGTTAACTTTACAGTAGAATCATAGGCTAGTGGTTCAGCTAACATGAAATAATAAAATAAATATTATCCTCTTAATTAACTTAGAAATAAGACATGAAAATTATAAAAGAAATTTTATTTATCTAATGAATTCTTATATTATTTATACTCAATTCATACAAAAAATTTTAACAATTTAATTATTTTGCTAATCATCTCAAATTTTATGTGATTGAGTGATTTAGAACAAATAGAGATTGAAAAAGAAAGTATTTTTAAATATGGATTTGTAATAAAAAATTTATACATATTTAAGTAACTAAAATAAAAAAAACATTGTTTTTTAAATCTCCTAAAACAATCAATTATAATTGACTACTAACATTAACTCTTATAAAATAATTAACCCAATAAATATTTAAAAAAATTATTAATACTAATATTATTAATAAATATTATTCAAAAATATTTTGTTTACATAATTCACATCAAATTTTAATAGTTCAAATGATTCTAACTTCAAAGTTTATTATTAAGGAAATTAAATATATATACATAACCTAATTTTTTGTACTATTTAATAAAAAAAAATAAAATTAAGGTAATTTGGTTTTATATATATATATATTAAGATTTTAATAGATATATTTCTATCAATATTAATGTATTAAATCGATTTAAGTAGGGGATAAAGTATAAATTTATTAGTTTTTTTATAAAAAAGACTTAATAAATGAAAGTTAAGTTTAAAGTTGAATATGATTACTATATTTAATTAAATAATATTATAGTAAATTGTAATGAGAGATGAAAATTTAATTCAATTATTTTCTAATATTATAATCCATAAAAAAATAATAAGGATGAAATTTACATTTTAATTAAAAATAATTATTTATAATTAATAATAATTTATTAATTTTAATATATAATTTGGATAAATAAATAAATAAGTTTATTAAAATGTATTATTAATTAACATAACTCAACCATCATTCGAAGCATAATAAAATCTAGATCTCTTTGTTTTCATCTTTCCTTAATTATTAATATCAAATGCACCAGATTGTGATCTTTGATGCTTTCTTTTCTATATTGGGTCAGGACTATTGTAATCAGAATCCAAATTCATATTATTAAAATTTTATTTAATGACATCAATAGAATTTACTGAGCTAGTTGAACCATTAATTGAAGATTGAGCAGAAACACAAACTATTTTTTAGACTTTTGGTTCTTTATTTGAAGATGAACTACTATTTTCTTCTTCTTTAATTTAATCAGATATCAATTTTTCTGATCTCTAAGAGCTAAGAGTTCCAATTGAATTTGTAGGGGTATTTTGCTATGAAGAATATAAATTAAATTTAAATTATTATTGCTATTATTATTATTAGATAAATTATTAAGGAAAGTATTAGCCTTGATAGAAATTAGGAATCATAGATTATTATTATTATTATTATTATTGATGTTGAATTAGTTATTATTACAATAACTATTACGAAACCAGATTTTGATGTTGTGGTATTTATATATTGATATTAGGTTATTATGGAGGATATTATTAAGGTTGACAATGTATTTATTATTATAGAGGATTAATTTATGAAGGAACTTATGGAATTGTGGAAAATTAAGTAACTTACTATACTTGGGATAATGGTTGCAATTATGGTATTTGTGGAACTTGCTAAAATTATTAAAAATAATATTATTAAGGATTCATAAGTAAGTTATATTGATGGAGTTATTAATATGTCTATTCTTAACTGTAAGTATTATTATCTTACTGATTTTATTGAGGCTATTATAATTTTTCAATTGGCTTTAATCTGTTAAGAATTGTATGAATTAGAAATTATGTTGCTTTATCTAATCCATTTTTAAGAGTATCTTAATTTAATTCAGAAATGACATCTTAAGGTATTTAAGTTATTTTTTTTTCTTTATTTATAAGACTTTTAAAACGATTTTTAACCTAATTCTCAGTTCTATTCTTTAATTTCTTTGAAATATTTGACCATCTTAGTCCTTCCAAAAGTGCTAATTATAATAAATTGAAATCATCAAGTTCTGTCCATATACCTCTAAGATTATTCATAATCTTTACCTATTTACTTAAGGATTTAAATAATTGTTCCATCTTTCCCTATATTATTTTGCCTTTCTAAAATAAAGTCCTTAAGATTGGATAAACATTTCGTATTGTACTTCAAACCATTTAATATTTGGTTCTTTTGTCATTATTTTATATAACAATTAATCCTCTTCTGATGTCCAATTTTTACTCACAGGCAATATGCGTAAATGAGAAAACCATTTAAATTAACAATTGAGTTCGTCTTTAATTGCTATGATCTCAGAAATATCATGCCAATCTTAAAATTTCTATTGTAAAATTATTATAATACAAAATCTTCACTATTTTTTTATTTAATTACGCAATATTGTTAAATAACCCATAATAACACTTTCCATTCTTCATCTGTCCAATTACGTGAACTATGCATCTTCAAAAATTCCCTATTAATTAATAAAACTTAAATTACTATGATTCACAATATTCATAAAAATGAAATATTTCATTTAGTGTAATACATGTTTATTGTATTTTTATGTCAATTGTATTTTAGAGCTTTTAAATATCCACAGAAGAGTTTTCTTCCCCAATACTTTATATAAATTACGAAAGTTTTGGTAAAAGTGATAAGTGTGTTTTATTCATTAATATTAAATTAATTTATAAAAATAACTAATCAATAAGCACATTAATGACTACATACTGAGTAAAATCATCAATTAATATTGACCTCAATAATTTAAATATACCTTTAAAATCAAAATAATTCATAATATTACTATATTTTTTTATAGAAATAAATTAAATTATAACTGATATGGATTTGTTCATTTATATATAGTTATATATTTCTTCTAAAGAAGTACAATTACCTTTTCAAGAAATAAACTTTTACATTTAATTCTTAATTTTTTAATTATCATAAATAAACATTTTACCTATTAATATTTTAAATATAATTTTACAAAAATCGATTTTTTGAATCTTACTCAAAAGTTAACTAAATTGTAATAGATCTAAGTTTTTTCTATGTTTTTAATTCTTTTTTCAAAATTAAATCAAATCATTATTATCAATTCCAAAAAACATATATTCCTTCCTCTTATGTATTAACTATTATCCTTAACTTTATGGCTAAAGGGATTAAAAGCTATTGAAATGATTTATATTATTAAAGACTTAGATAATTCACAATATGATTTTCTCATAATCCAAATTAAATATATAAAAGATTTAAATTTCCTAATTCAAAAATTTTCAGAAAGGTGAATTAATATTTTGCCTTATTTAAAAAAATGATTTTCATAGCAAAAACAACATCCAATATGTAACTCCAAAAAAAACATATGATATCTTTGATCAGTAAAAAGAATTAACTTTTTGATTGTAAATTTATCTAATTTTCAATTTTTTCAGATCACTATTCACAAATCAAATCATCTATTATAAGATAGACTAAATACATATATTAAAGTGATTATAAAATCAAGAATTAATACTTAATAGATGTATAAAAAAGGTAATTATTTTAATATTAAATAAATTATGTTTTTCATTATAATCAATTTATTTCAAAACTCATTTTAGTGTGCTAACAACAAAAAGGTAGTTTTTTTAAAAGAAAATTATTTAAGTATGAATAGAAAACAATTTTTCAACTAATCCAATATTATAAATTAAATATATAGAATATTTAAATTGATGAACGTCTCATTAAATTGAAGATTAAGAAAGGGCATTTATACTATTTTGTCATTGAGTTCTTACTTTTTATTGAAGCATTATGTTATAATAGTTTTCTATTCAAACAATATAATTACCTCTAAAACTTATTTTAATTTTTTAATCATGTATTTTTTTGCACCCCCGGTCATTTTTTTATCTGGGTTTTTAAAGGTGAATAAACAAAAAATAATAATTAAAATAATTTGTTTTCAAAAGAATCTCTCTTACTCTAGAAATCATTATTGCAGCCATGACGACCTTTTGTGTATTACTAAATTATAATTTTTGATATCTAGCAAATCGATGATGTTTTTTAAGTCCATTTAACTTCAGATTAAGCAAGAGTGATTGCAAAGAGATTACCCCCTGGGTTTAGTATTAATTTAAGCAGATAATCGAAAAGAGATGTTAAAGTTTGCTAATCAAATAATAAAATTTTAGAAATTTCAATAGGATATTTCATCAGATGAGGAGAATAAAGTTACTAAAAAGACATATGTTGCACCTTATAGAGCAGAAAATACTGATGAAATGAAAAGATGCTTAACATTACTATAAAAATTAAAAAAACATTAATTAGCAGCACCATTTTTAAGGAAATTAGAAAATGTCAATTATCCTTAAGAATTGGAATACGTTGACTTATAAATTGTTGAATAAAATCTCAAAAATAGTATTTAATAATTTCAATAATTATTTTAGATGAATATTTTTCTGCCACGTAATTTTGGGGTGATATAAAGAAAATTTGGTAAATGTCCTATGCCATGAATAATAAAGGAACATAATTATATGCTATGACTCAAGAGTTAGAATAACATTTTAATGAATTATATAAAGAATTAGATAAACCATATCCATAAAAGTAAGTAGTTGAGCAAACACCAAAATAAGAAAAATAGAAAAAACCACCTACTATCTAATAAACTAATAGTAATAGTAATCACAATAATTAAAATAATAAGAAACCAATGTATAATAATAAAATAATTAGAAAATAACCAAGTTTAATGGAATAACCAATGAATATGCAAGAAAAAAGAGCTTTAGTATCAAATATAAATAGTTTGCCTCCAGAACATCTTAGAGGGGTTTGGGAAATAGTATCAGATGGACTTAAGATATAAGAATAAAATGATGAATTAGAATTTGATATTGATACTTTACCTGTTAAGAAAACAAGATAGTTGGAAAAATATGTAAACACAAAATTAGAATATTTAAAAAAACAATAAAGTAAGAAGGCAGCAGAAGATAATAAAAATTAAGATAAAAATGATAGAATTGTATAAATTGATAATTAATTTAGATACATGCTGCTAATAATACTTATAATCATGCTCCATAGCCAGTTTCATAATTAAAATAAACTGACACTGGAGACAGTTCATTTAGCAGTGATGCTGAAGAATCTGTTTGATTTTTTTTTATTTTTGTTTTTTGATATATTTCATTAAAAATTAAATTAAATCAATTGTTTTAATTTCATTCTAATTTATTCAAAAATTATGATATTTCATTTTTAATTTATGATGTCAAATTAACTAAATTAGTATCTTTTACTTATAATAATTTATTTAATTTAGGCAATTTCATAATTTTATCAAATTGTAGAATTAATGTATCATAAGACTTTTGTCTAATCTAATTTTTGTCCTAAACCTTATTTTATGGTTATTTTTTTGCAGTTTTATATGATAAAATATTCTATTTAAATAATATGAAAATATTACATCCTTAATTTAATAAAAACAAAACTTAATAAATTCTAATCCTTTAATAACTTAATATGAATATTTAGAATTTAATATTATTATAACATTTTCTAACAATAAGATAATATCTTCTGCTTATATTTTTCTCTATGCTGGATCTAATTTCAACAATGCAAATAAATCTATAAGTGCAGAATTATCATTACAACTATATGAATATATTTATAATTGTCTTACCGATTTATTTATTAAATGCATTACTTCATATCATTTTAAGAGTATAATTTTATAATTGGTTTTAATTTTTATATTCTATCGTTTAAAATCATTTTGATTTTGCTATGATCATTAGAAATTTCTTATATAATTTCTAATTATATATATTTATCTTAATTTGATTTTGTATAAATAAGTTAAGAAAACTTAAGTGAAAGTTTTTAAGTTGTAATTATATCATCAGAAATTTAATCCTCTTCTTCATAACTTTAGTCAAAGTTTTCTTTTGATTAGGATGGATAAAAGCATTAATCAAATTACATTAATTATGAAAAGGGAATTTAAATATCTTTAATATCTTTTTAATTATCTTCTACTTATTATCCATTTAATTCAAGTTAAAATTTATGTAATTTTAATATAACATCTCTATCTTCCAATATTTTCACAATATCATCTTCAATTTTAATATCTTTTATTCTTTACCAATCCATCTCAATTGTATTCAATTATAATAATTCAGTATTAAAAATATCCAAATTATCTTATTATGCACAAATTAAGATATCTTATTAATAATCAAATGCCATTTTTTAAATTGGTTATTAAGTTAATGAAATTCTATTCTTCTATAAATAAAGGAAATACTTAAGTTTATTTATTAATATCCCATGATTAAATCATAAATTTGTCTCCACTTGTAAATAATGTATTTGTGTTTTTGATCATCAATAAATTATTTACTGAATCTTAATGGTCAAGTAAAGCTTAATATTAAGAATAATTTCTGAAATCCCAAACACTTATAGTTGCATCTTGAGACCCACAAATAAATCGAAATGTATCTAAATCTGTAACAATATCATTTATTTATTGTTTATGTTATTTAATTTAAGCTATGGGCTCATTTTATCTTAAGTCGTGAATCATGATTACTGAATCTTAAGATCCACTTAAATAAGTATTAATATCATAATTAGTTAAATTTGTAATGATATCCTTGTGGGATGATTTAGTTTCCTATTCTAAACAAATTAATGAATAATATTACAGATTTATTGTTCTAAATTAAGAATTAGAATTTTCCCTTATTAAGTTCCTTCCAATATCAAATTATTTTATTAACTAAACTCAATACATGAAACCTTAGCAGAATTGGATAATGTCTAAATAATTATAAATAATTATATACCATAAGTGGTTAATAGACTTATTCTGACCATAAAAATATATTTTTTTCATTGACACTTATAAATTGATTTTAATTTGGTGAGAATTTGCAACAAATAATTTAACTTTCATTTTAGTAATCATCTAAACTTAAGATTTTTATTACATGTTGTATTTTGTTTCATATTTTCTTTATTAACTTAAAATATAATTATTATATTAAATAATAAATAAACTAATTCTACTTATTAAATCATCAATTCATTAACCAATCTATAATGTCTATTTAAGTTATTCAAATAATTCTTGTTATTCATTTGTGGATAATTAAGATACATAACCAAGTACTGTCCCTAAAGTTACTGCCTTTGGTAATACAATTTGATGTAAATATAAATAAGAAAACATTCCTGTTAATATTTAACAATCCATTCTATCAGTAATTCCTCCATGTCCTGGAATTGTGTCACCAAAATCCTTAATTTTAATACCTCTCTTAAAACCAGATGCAAAGAATCCACCAAATGGTGAAACTAAACTTGTAAATAAACTAAACACCATTGCATGAATTTAAAAATCACTAAAATAAATTGAATCAATTCCAAATATTGAAAAAGGTAATTATCTTTAAGTACTTATAAAAACACTTGGTATTTCACATGTTAATGAAGAAAAAGGAGAAAAGGGTAATTAATGTTATGGACATGTCAAATATTGACTTCCTTATAATAAATAAGCAAACTATATTATAAATATATTATTACACAAAAGGATGCAATTAATGTTGAAAAGCCACCTCCTATAAAGCCTTCCCATGTTTTTTTAGGTGATAGTTCAATTAAAGGAGTCTTTCCAAATGTAACTCCAAAAATATATGCAAATATATCATTTGTTATCACCAAAGAACATGGTAATATAAACCAAACAATACCTAATAAATTTATATTTTATAATACCTTCAAATATATTCATAATCATAACTGAACTTTGAGCAACTACAAGTATTAATGTAATATGAGTCCATCCAAACATTCTAAATTGATATCTATAATATCCTTTTTTAAGTGATAATGTAAACATCAAAAATCCTGCTACCCATAACATAAAAGTTATAATATTATGATAATTTAAAATAAATGACAGCATATGCATTCTAAATGCGTATTCTGATAATTTAGATTAAAACAATTTTCCATAACAAAAAAATGTGGCAATTCCAAAGAAATACCAATTTATAATAGGTGAATACTTTACATTCAATTCTTTCTCATAATTTCTTTTCAATCCTAAAATTTCCTTAAATATCCCAATATTAATCAATAAAACCAATCCTATTATATAGATATGGCCTGCCCATAAAACAGCCATAAAACCCAAAATCATTACAATTGTCCAAATTGTTCTAACTACAAAGTTGTTATTTTTAATGATTATAGGGACATTTCTTTCTAAATTAGGCAATTTGTTTTTAGAAACTATCTTTTTTGGAGGAGGACCTCTTCTTCTTACTTATGTATCAGACATTTCAGAAAAATCATTATCTGTATTAGATTCTTCTTATTAAGAATCAACTTTAGATTTCATTTGTGATTAAGAAAATATATTAATAAATTAATATCAGCAATCTTTATTTGAACCTGTGTCGAATTTTAGTAATTCTTTTTAAATCTTATTTATCTTTTTCATATTGTAAGTTGATTGCTATTATGTAGGTTATTAAAAGGGCATTGTAGCAAAAGGGAATCCTTAATTGCTGAAAGCTGGTGAATTAAATAATCTTAATAAGCAAGGCACATCCTATTAGGGAGCACTCTAATCCAAATTATTTGTAGATTTCATATATTCATCAAATAACTGCAATTGGCCAGAATAATTTTTGTTTCTTATTTCATAAGGAGATGAAATATTATTGGGACTTTATTCTAATCATACTTTCTATCATTTACATATCAAATAATGTAATGGTGAAAAAGGTAACATAGGTGAGTATACTGGTAAGCCAAGCATAAGTGGTTATTATTATTATTACTATTATTACTATTATTATTATTGTATTTATGACTATTACTATTATTATTATTATTATTATTATTATTATTATTATTATTATTATTATTATTATTATTATTATTACAAAAATTACTATTAAATTTAAAATTACTATTATGATTATTCTTATTGATGTTCCTCTTTTATTTCATTCATTATATTATTTTCAATTTACATATATGGCTAATCATTATTATATAGTACAGTATCTTTGTTATTACTATTATTATTATTATTATTATTGTTGTTAATTGTTTTTCTTATTCTCTTACTAGTTAATGGCACTGGACCTTCATAATCTTTACCTTATAAATTAGCCAATAATTTATGAATAGCTATATCTTCATTATCCAATTACTAATGCTAATCTTAATTTATACATTCTATCTCCTATAATTGTTCATCATAGAATTGTATTAATTTTTTACTTAATTTTCAGTCCTTCCCTAAATACGTTTGGAAATTAAAGACCATCTCTTTCCTATTTCCTACACGAGCAACAATAATTATAATTATTCTGGTTAAGACCATTCAGATCTAATTACATATCCTTATAATACTTTTTTAAGTCTGGATTTAAATAATTATTCCATCTTTCTCGGATCTATTTAGCATGTCTAACTGTTTTTGCTGGATTTGCCCTATTAAAATCAATAGTAATTTGAGTCCAATTCTTATTTTCACTTGGATCTGTAATCAATTTTTGCAGAACTTCATCTTCCTCAGCATTCCAAGGAGCCATTTTTAAATTAGTTTTAAGCATACTTATCCATTTTAAATTCAACAATTATTCTGTTACTCCCAACACTGAAGATAGATATTACCAATCTTAATCAGACTATGCTATTAATAAAACATACAGGATTGAGATCAGTCTTATTTGTTAATTCAAAATATTTCAATACAGTCCAAACAAATAGGATTTTATCTTTCCTGTGCCACTTTGTACGATGTTCTTCATTTGTACGTCTACTTTTATTGTAAACATCTACTTTGAAAACTCTTAGAAATAATAGTTCAGGATATTTTTGCAAGGTGGAAAGCTTTTCTCATTTATTTTCAGAACTTTTTTGATTTATTTCAATTTAACAGGTCTATCTTTGAAATCACTGATTTCCTCCAGAAATTAAGCAAAATTTGACATTTGTTATTAATAAAAAAAAATAATTATTCAATTCTTTTAATAAAATCCTTTTATCGATAGCTAAAATAATTTTGAATTGTGGAACAAACATGATTTAAATTAAATAATCAAATAATTAATATCTTAATCAAATTCTTTAAATTTAATGTTAATTTTATTTATTTATTTAACGACATAGACTTAATTATTTTTTTTTAATAAAGATATTTCTCTAATTATATACTTAACCTAAACTTAATCTTATTTCATTTATCAAAATACAATAAATTTTAATAACATAAATCATTATAACTCAAAAGGTTTTTTTATTTAAGGTAATCTTATGTTTGAAATCCCCTATTGCTTCACTCTTTTATGTAATATAAGGCAACTCAATCAAATAATCTAATGGTTCTCCATTTTAAATGCATTCTTTATCCAATAATTAATATATATCTTCTACACTTATTTCACCTAATTAATCTTATGTTATATTATAGAATTTTGATTTTATAAATTAATATTAAGTACTACCAAATTCAATTTAAGAAATGATATGTATTTTATTATGAATAATATCAATATCTTTAATAAATCCTAATCCCAAAAATGTCCCATCTTACTCTACAGCTACTAAATTAAATATAAACACAGAAGCTATCTCTTCTAAATCATAATAATTTTTTTTTTCATTTATCACTATAAATTAACATTAATTTGTATCTATAATTTTAATATCTGTTTATGAACATAATGTTAAGTAATTTAAATTTTCTACACCAAGATTTTAAGCAATCTTTTATGTTCGATTATATTTTCTTATTTATGGTGTTTATACCTAAATAGTTTAACCATATATTTCAGAATCAATTTCTTCATGAACTATTTATAATTATGATTTAAATGTGTCAAAATTACTAATAAAAGATTTTTTAGATAATTAATCATATAAATAATTTGATTTTTCCATAATTTTTTTATGATTATCTCTAGAAAGTAATATACATTTTGAAGGTTATAAAATATTCATTAACTCTTAAATTATAGTTATTCCATAACTAGTTATGAAACCAGCAGTATTAATTAATAATGGATAATCCTTTAAAAGTTGTGACTAATTGTAAACATCCAAAGCTTAAGTTACTTTATGAAAATAAAGATCAAAATAATTAAAAACTTAGAATTCACCAACAAATCCTTAAAATAATATCTAGGGTTTTGATAAAAATAAAGGTAATTCTAATTTAATAAGAGTAACAAAACCAGGTAAAATAATAGCTTAACCTAGATCAGTATCTAAAATAAAGACTTGATTAGAATTCATTAATTTATTTGCATATAATTACAAACTTGTAGATTTTCCTACTTATTTTTCACCAATAAACATTACACTTCTATCTTAACAGTCAAAAAGGTCCTATTTTTATTCAGTCAAAATATAACCAAAATCACTAATTTCATAATGACCATAAATTAATAAAGTTAATTCTTTTGGTTAATTTTTTAGAATGAAATTCATAAATTCCAAATATATTTCAGATTATATTTATGATGATTGAAATTTTGTTAAATAATCTTCAATTTTTTAAGGTACATTATGAGCAATTACAGAGACAAACTCATTACTATTGAATTCATATATTTAAGGTTTCCTTACTTCATATAAATCCATTTCCAAATATCCATTAACAATTACAAATTAAAATTGACCTTTAATGTGAATTTACTAAAATTTTAATGAAAATATAATACTTCTTTATGTGTTAGCTTTATTTATTAAATTGTTTCAGATTCAAGCTAAGTTGTTGATTATTTTCTTTTTTTTGATGATTTTAACAATCTTTTCTTTTTTAGGATTTTTTTAATTGAATTCATAGCAATTATTTTAATATATTTATAAATCAAAGTTTGGCTAGAAACTAGCGAAGTTAATCTTACTTTAGTGTTGCTTTCTCCATAAATGATTTAAATTCATTCCAAGTTAGCTAATTTAATCATTTACATAATACAAACAACATCTAATTTTAATTAGATTGATAATTTTTTTCTCCTTATTGTAATGATTTAACAATTTCATTTATTAAATCATCTACCATTTCTTCAAAATTTTTCTCAGATTTTAATTTCTTAAATATAGAAAAATTACTACTTTAAAACTGATTCTTAAATCTTTCATTGAATTTTTTAATAAATCTTTTATATCTTGAATCGATAACATACCATTATGATCTTTATCATATTCATTAAATTAATGTTACAAAGTTCCCCTAAAAACATATTTACCTTTTTCCATTACACAAAGATATTTAATCCATTCATCTCTTGTAATTCTTCCTGATTAATCCATATCTAAAATTTCCATTTCTGTTTGTAATCTATAATAATTTGGTTTATCTCCTTCATATGCATAAATTAAATATTTCAATTCTGACATAGATACTTCATTATCACAATTAATATCAGAAGCATCAAAAGCAGCCCAAGCATTCATTACATCTTAATATGCTTATTTAAAAATCCATCCATCATTTTTTTAATCTAAATAAGCATTAGAAGAATCTTATAAAGTCTTAAATAGCAATTCCAAAATTTCTAATTATTAATTATTGAATTCATTTAAAAATATTTGTTTAATAGATTCTAATTCACATTATTCACATTTATCATTACCAACTGCATTTATAAAAAAGTTTTCATATAGAATTCTTTTCTCTTTATATCTCCTTCTTGCATTTTCATATGTTTAGATTAATGCATACTTTAATAAAAAGTCTTATAATTCAAAATTTCCAATTATCCACAATTTAAATTCATTAAATGATATAGTATAACTATAATCTCTATCCAATTCTATAAATAATCTTTCTGCATAAAAATCTATATCTTTTATTGAAGGAGCAGGTAAATGGACTAATTTACATAAACCACGTATGCATGTTTCTAATGCTACTACTAATTCAGCCTTTTCAATTTCACCTGATTTATCAGTATCAAATAATTGGAATATAAACTATAATTTAAGTTCTTATTCTTCATCACTAAATATTGTCTTTAAGTTAATTCATTTAATTACCAAAACAGCTAATGATTCATAAATATCATTAGCTCCTTCTAATGTAGATTTAGAAGACAAGAGAGAGAATACAGGTTATGTCCATATTTCTAAGATTGGGTTGAATACATCACAATAATCACTGTACTCTAAATACTTTGAATTTGGAAATTTAGTATTTACAACTTCAATAGCCTATTTAAAAATATCTCTATACTTCATTTATGTGTTAAAGTTTACGAGATTTAAGAAATTCAACCATTTCTCTATCAAGTTTATATTTAGGTTTGGTTTTAAAATAGTTTCCCATAAAATTTATGTTAAAAAATTTATTAAAAAACCTATAAACTAAATGTGATTATACTTTATATTATATTCTCTTGCTTTTTTACAACTAATTATTAATATAAATTTACTTAATAAATTAGTGAGATTACTTAAATTTAATTAAATGACAGATTTTTTTTTATATTTTATTAATATTTCTTGTCTTGTCTTATTTTTTAAATGAGTATTTGAATTATCTTTATATTTTATTTATTGGGGTATATTATCAATCTATTGTTTAACAAACATACTATATTTATAATAAAGTAAAAGAGATATCATAATGTTATTATAATAAAATGTATAAATTTTCATTATGGAAAGAACAGTGGATACATTATAATAAGAATGTCTTCATATAATAAGAATGTCTTCATCTATAAATAACTTTCTTATTTTTATGATATTTTAAGAGACTAAAACCTATGTTTTTAAAATTAAATGGGAGATCTCTATTATTCATCTTTAGATTTGAAGATACTTACATAAGATCGATATATTTTAACATTTAAGTACATTTAGTTTATTTAAACAGAATTATATCAGAATCTTCAGTAATAAAATAGTCTACTTAAATATTATATTATAGATTTTTTTTATTTAGGTTTAAGATATAAAAATTATAAAAAATAATATGATTATAATTAAGATCTATTTTAATGAATATTAAAATGGTTTGAATAATTATCATTATCTCAAAATCGTTTTTACTGCATATCATTTCATCTTGCATCCACCAATTATATATATATAATTTATATACTCTTAGTTTTCATTATAATGATATTTTTATAATTAATCTATTTTTTAATGCCTCCTCAATATATTATATTTGTTTATATTACTTATATTTTTTAATCTTTATATTTGATTTGATTATAAATACAATAATGTTTATATATGTAATTTTCTTCTAATTTTTTAATTTTCATGTTTAAATTCATTCTTATATATTAATTGCATTTCTAAATGTTATTATTGTGTCTTATTTTTCATAATTTGATTGTGTTTTTCTTTTGATTTAATTTTTCTCAACACATCTTAAATAAAATACATAATTAAAAATATAGAACATATAGAATTTGTAGAATTGATTGCATATAAATAAACTCAAACTTATCTCTAATACTCTTCATTAGCTTTTGGTTCATTACTAAAGGCCTAAATGTAATTTAATAAGCCTAAGATAATTAATCCTACTTCAATCCACCATGTTGATGCAATAGTATCATAGCCATCTTTATACTAAATTTATATAAATGAATTACGTATTTAGCCCCAACTATCATACCGATAAAAACTAATACAAAACCTAAACATAGACTACCAAGGATTCCAAATTTCACATATCTATGTGGAAAAAAATAAGTTGCTATCAATCCCATAAATGCTAACATCATAAAAACTTATCCAGAAATTGCGAATCTCACATAAGTCAAACTTTCATTTCTATGTGGATGTTCATTCATATAAGAATATTCTGATAATAGAACAATCTCTATCATGAGAAGTGCAAGATTACTAATTGCTAATTACTTCTTTGCATCCCTATAATAGAATATATGAATTCATTACAATTCAACCATTAAATTTGATATATATATAAAATAATTTATTAATAAGTTCATACACCTTATTATTATTATGCGAATTACGATTCATTATTTCCCATCATAACCATTTAACTTTAATTTGATTAAGTTGTTGTATTCTATGCTTGTTTCTTTGAATCATCAATTTCCTCTTTCTTTTTATTTGTATCCTCATTCTATCCATTCCCCTCTAAATTTTTTAAATTATGTAGATTCACTAAACTCATAATATATAGACATAATTGTATGAACCAAAATGCCAAAGGTGTATTATAGGGATCGGCTTATTTTATTAACTTGTTTATCTTAAATCATATCTTTTGTTATAATACCACATCTGATATAATTCCCACTCCCGCTATCAATAGAATTATAGAACATGTATTTATTCCAAATATCAAGTATAAGATTTTTGGATTGTATTTATAAATTAGCATAATCTATAAACCCAAAGTAATCATCATAAGCAGACTCCCAGTAATAGATAAACCTTAAAAAGTTTAGATCTCACTCTCATAAGGAATCTCAATCACTGTCTTATACTATTCATAACCAGTAGGTTTACTAATATAAATATGATTAATTACGTTCCTACATCATAGGCAGCATAATATCCTAACAATAAAATTTCAATTATACAAGAGCAAACCAATCCAATTATTTTATGAACATTATCCGATCTATTATTCATAATACTAAAATGCTTACAAATTAAATGAGAGCTTCATTTTATTCCTTTTAATTCCAATATTTATTTATAAATAAATTCAAAATCATTTTATTCACCTAAAAAATATTATCTACATTGAAATTTATTATATATAATTAATTAATTTTAATATCTATTAATCTTTATTCATTTCATTTCCATTTCTATAGATTTAAAAAACAATTAAACATATAAATATTAATTTAATTATTTCTATAATATTTTTCAATAAGATTAATGACATACCTTATTTATTAATTTTAAGATTGAAAAAGGGTTTGATAATAACGAAAATAAGTATTTCTTAATATTTCTATTTTATAGAATATCTTTTAAATTTATAAATAATTTTTTACAATTAACTATTATAAGTATTATGATATTATTTAAAAAATGGAACATTATTAAATAAAATGACAAAAAGGTATCTTTAGATTAAATTTAATGATTTTATTAAGTTATTTTAAATAATTATTTAATAGTAAGTATATTTAATAATTATTTAATAGTAAATATAATAATCTAATCCCCTTTCAAATAAAAAAAAAGAATTTATTCAGAATAAAGAAATGTTTGAAACTCTATAAATTAATAGGATTGACAATTAATATAAAGTCTTTTTGATTTAAAATAATATAATAATTATTGAGAGTATTATATAACTTATATTTTATTATATAAATAATAAATGTCTGAAAATGATGTTATATTAGTAACATCATCCTATGATCATACATTTATATTTTGGGATGCTACAACAGGACAATAAAAAGAGGATATAAATTATGGGGAAAAAGTGATTGTGAACAGAATTGACATATCTTAAGACAAGAAACATTTGGCTGCAGGTGGCAATTTTTTTGCTTGTTATTATGATGTGATCTCTTAAAAGAAAGTGCCTGTTTATGTTTATGATGGATATAAGAATAATATAACAGGAATAGGATTTTTAAAGGATAGCAATTTCTTTTATACTTGTTCTGAAGATGGATTTATTAGAATCCATGACCTTAGATCAAATAGTATATAAGTATAATAATTATTTAGATCTATCAAGAGAATACTAGGAAAAAGAGCCATTAAATACAATATGTTTGCATCCAAATGAGACAGAATTGATTGTTGGAGATTAAATGGGAAATGTGAAAATATATGATTTCTAATAAAATAAGGTGAGATTAAAATTATCACCTTGTCCTGAAGTTGGTATTAGATCTATATCGATTGCCTATAATGCTAGTCAGATTGTTGCTGCTGATTCATAAGGACAATGTCATACATATATGATGAATAACATGGATCTTACAGAATAGAGTTTATTATATAAATTTGAAGCACATCAAGATTACATACTTAAAGCTTCAATATCTGCAGATTTAAGGTATTTAGCTACATGTAGTGCTGATAAAACAGTTAAATTATGGACTTTGAATGAGAAAAATTTAGGTAATGACAAGTATCCAAAATGGGAATTGTTTTCAACACTATATGGTAATTAATATTAAAAGATTATTTTATAGGTCATGGTAAATGGGTATGGGATTGTGCATTTTCTTGTGATTCAGAATATATCATTACAGCTTCATCAGACTTAACTACAAAAATATGGCAAACTGATAGTGCTGCTGTGCTAAGAACTTTAAAGGGACATAAATAGGCTGTTACTAGTTTGTCAATTAATGATATTGCAATTGACTGATATTAAAATTATCACTTTTTCTTCTTCTTCTTCTTTTGTATATTCCCTTTTATCATTGACTTTTTTTATTCCATTAAATATAAATAATTAATTCAAAAACATTATTATTACTTTAATTGTAAATCATACATATATGATTAAAATAATTTTTTGATTACTTAATAAACTTCTAATAATCAATGTACAAATCTGATAAATATAATAGTTAGTTTTTTTAATATAATCTATTTATTTAATACATAATAAATATTATAATAATGAATATGAATTTGAATAAATTTATTACTCAAATAATTATATAATTTTAAATTTGAAATGGAAATTTAATCATTTTCTCCTATGTTAGATAGAGTTATGGCTCAAGAAATATAATCAGTTAGTTGGAGTAAAACTATGGATGTTTGTGCAATCTTATATAGTAATAACTAATTAGAAATATGCAGAGTAAGTGAATAATTACAAAGAATGTTCATTATTTAAGAAGATGATACCATCAGTAATATTATTGTGGACAGTATTTACAATTCTATAATTAGGTACATTTCTGACTTATAATGTTGGAAATAAATTATTTATATATCAATTAGCATCTCATCAAAAAATTATTCAATCTACTTTAATTAAGAATTCAGATAAAATCACTTAAATGCTTCTTGTTTAAGTGAATGTCAAAATTATTAAAGAATAGGAATTATAACCAGCTATAATTCCATTATCTACTACAAACTTGTAATATAATTTTAATATTAATAGAAAAAATTGGTAAAATCTTTGTTTTTTAAAACAATCATAAATAAATAATATCATATTCTCTTTAACTAATAGATAGATTGCTTATAATTTTAATGGGATTTTTAATTTAGGAGAAATAGAACATAAAAATATAGTTTAATTATATCAATTAGAAAATGAATTGCATTGTTTTTCAAATTCAAATGTTGAAATTTATGATATTAGTTTAATGAAACATTAATAAATTTTAGTATAACATTTATTTTATCTAGAAATACATTTAATAATTAAGTTATTTAAATGAACTATTTTGTTTTTTAAAAACATCAATTTTATTAATAAATACTCAATTACAAGATATATTCAAATGCTATCAATTAAACATAATAGGTCCATTGTTAGCATTTGGACCTTAAGAAACAATCAATTTCAATATTTTATAATTTTATTAAATAGGAAATTGTCCACAAGAACTTGTTCAATTTTTTCAAAAGGAATTGTACAATACAAAAATTTTATAAAAAATGGATGATGTAAATAAATATAATTAATTTAAATTAAGAATATCACAAACAGTTTCAATAATATATAAGAAATTATTTAGGATTCATTGATGAATGTCTTATCAAGAATTTTAATCATTCTCAATTTCTTTATTTAATCAAAAAATATGTAAAAAATAATAAATTGATATTTTATTAGGCCCTTTTATTAAGATTTAAATAAAACTCCTTTTGAAGAATTATAATAAACAATCTAAAAGATTTAACAATTATATAGCAGATTTTAAATAGAATGTCATTAAACTAAATTACATTTAAGAAACTTTTTTGTTTGGTTAAATTTATGTGCAATAAAAGCAGGAAATGAATAAGAAGCTGAATGTGAGAATGTAAACTCACCTCTAAATAAAATAGAAGTAGATCTATCAAAATTATTTGATTTTTTAAAAGATAATCACTTATTTTAATTAAGAAATTTGTAATGTTTCTATTAAGGAAAAATATGTATATTACAAATTTGATTTAAATAGCACCAAAAACATTTTTTACTAAAGTTGTTGTATAGAAAAATATAGAGTTTAAATAAACAGAAAATATTACAAAGATTTTATAAAATATATTTAAAGATAGTTATATGGAATAAATTTAATAAAATAAAAATAAAATAGAATCTGAAGAATCTTTTGAAACAGTAAATTCATTAGTTAGAGAATTGTAAAATAATTTAGATAAAATTGCTATTAATTTGAAACCTCAAATTATAAAAAAAATCAACATTAATCTTTCTGGTTAATTAATTAGATTTTCTGAAGAATCAGAAAATTCATATTTTGTATCAGTCTTAATAGATAATACCATCATTTAATATACTTATTAATAAAAGAGTTTCTTCCAATTAAATAAGATTTAACTCAATAATAAATATATTAAAGAGTTATAATATTTTTAAGGAAAACTAATCATTTTGAGTACAAATAAATAAGAAAATTAATAAAATCTATTAATGAGAACATAATAATAAAAAGATGAAGGATTGTTTAATTAAATTTAATAGACAGCATATATTTCAACAGAAGATTTGTAAACTCAAAACAAATTTGATTGTCACTCAATCAAAGATCTCAAAGTTAGTAAAAAAGGACTAATATCAATTATAATAGATTCTAAAAAATTGATTATTCTTTCCATTTGAATATTATATATTTATTTAGTAATATAAATTTATTGATTTATGTAATATCAATTCTATTCTTATTATGCTGCTTATAACTTTAATATATAGAATAATGTACTTCTTTTTTTAAATCAGCTATTTCCCTCTTCAATCTAATATTTTCATCTTTAAGTTTTTCATATTCTAATTTGAGTTTGTCAACATCTATATCTACAGGTGATCCTAAATACTTTTTAACATAACTAAAAAATCAATTGAATAAATACTCAATAGCATTATTTGGCTTTTCTGGTTCTTCATATAATCCAACTAGAACTCGAGTTAATTGATCTATAACACCAGCCTTTTCTAAATATTTTCTGAATTCTTCTTTCTTAGAATCAGTTGTCTATCAGATAAAACTCTAAATAATTACTTAGAAGCTCATTGAATTTATGATAATTATATTAATAATAAAGTTTTATTAGAGACAATCCTATCAAATAAAATATTAATAACCATTGCCCAAATTTCTCAATGAAATATATATTTATGAAGATGACTATTTGATTAATTGAAAGAATTAATCTAAATTATCTAGATCATCTAATTATTAAAATTATAAAAATGGACTTAAGTAATGAACAAATAAACTTTATAAAGGTATAAGCCTTATGAATGAGCAGTCAAAATATAATAATTATTTAGAATAGGCTTATGTTAGAATCAATTATGATCCAAACCCAAAATTGTTAAAATAGGTTGGATGTAATGAAACAATTTACTATATTGACAATTTTGAATTGAGAATAACAATTCTTCTTTTTTTTGCAATAGAGTTTAATTAGAGAAAATTATACAATTTAAATAATGTAGAGGGATTCATTTAAGATTTGATTTTGAAGAAGATTAAGATTAATGTAGAATATAAAAATAATAGTTCTTATTTGATTAATGGAATCTGTATAATATTAAGGAATAGAATCGATTAAGATTTATTATATATTTTGAAAGATTAATAAATGTAAATTTGCATATATAATTATTATTAATTCATTATAATTTTTATATATTATTTGTTAACATATGATGTTGTCCTCCAGTCCATCTATCTTTCTATTGTCCGTTCTAATAAGTGATAAAGGTTGGTATGCTAGTTACTTATAATGAATCTGCTATTTCTCTGACCTTAATTTATAATAAATTTAATGCTTACCTTCTCAATATTCACACTATAGAAATTGATGTGTGGATTTTCAAGAGATAATTTATGAAACAATGGTTTAATTGTTTTGCATGGTCCACACCATTCAGTATAAAAATCAATAATACATTAAGGACTACTTTCTATCAAACAAAAGTAGGATTCTGAATCTTCAATTGGTATAACATTAGTATCTATTTATTAAGGCTATTATTGTGGTTATTAAGCTGCTTATACTGTTTAAGACAAGGGAACATTCAATTGTGGTTAAGGTTATTATTAGTTTATTATTTAGGGATTTATATTTTAAAAATTTTATAGTGCCTGTAATTCTTAATTGTTTAGATAATTAAAATGTTCAGTCTAATCAGAAGCCTATTTATTAGTGATTTATTCTATAACTGGTTTAAGCATTTAACCTAATTGAGTATTTAAAAATTCTTATGGCAATCCTAATGTGAATAGAGATATAATGATTTACCTGTAATATTTTCAGGAATTCCTTTTCCAACTAAAAATTAAGCACATTCATTAGTAAAATTATTGCAATTATTTTTAAATAGATCATATTTTTCCATTGTATAATTTGAACTTATACTCCTCAAGAATTCTTCAAATGTATTCTGTGGTATTTCTGTTTCTCCCAATTCTCTTTCCTAATTCTTAGAATTAATTAATAAACCTCTATTGGATATCCATATATAGTTGTTTTAGGAGCTTAAGCACAAATACCTCCACCAAAAAAATATTCTTTTCCATACACTACTATTCCTGTATGCCAAATTGCATCAATTTATTTGCCTAAAAACATAGGTGAAAATTATTTGGCCATTCCTTAAGACAAATCATACATGTTGAGTGTAACCTTATATATTTGATTATCCATCTGAAATATAATAAATAATACTAAAAAAATTAATCAAACAAATAATTTCATTTTAATTCAAAAATACATTGAAACCTAACATCTTCATTAAATTATACTTCAAACATATTAACTAAATCACATCAAATTCCAAAATGCTAAATAATCAATATTTATAATAATAATTAATAAAATTAATTAACTGAAATGAATAGAGCTAAAATCGAAGAGACTAATAGAAGATATTAAGTATTTCTTTATTATAAACATTAGGAATATAAAGCTGAATTAAGAATACCAATTCTCCCCTCTAGTCAATAAGATAATTATTATGCTTAAAGTTTACATAAACTTTATCCTGAAATTACTCCATCCCATGTCATAAAACCCCATCAAGCATAAGCTTTTAATCCAGAGAAGACAAGACTCTATATAGAGAGTCTGTAAAAGCAAAATCAAGAAATAAATTGTGAATTAAGACAATAAGCTCATGATATTATTTGTTTGACTTAAATGGTTAATACATTAATTGATGAAAATAGAAGTCTTTCATTATTACTTGAATAAAAAGATTAAGAAATGCATTCAATTGTAGAAACTATGACAATTAATGAAGCTGAGGAAATTTCTGACCTTAGACACTAATTAAGATTATTGGAGGATGAAAATTCTGTACTTTTAAAACATGTCAAAGAATAAAGATAATAATTAGATGAAAAAATAGAAGATGCTTAGGAGTTAGAAAAACAATTTTAAAATTCAAAAAAATATTGTCTTTAACTTGAATAATAAATTGAAAAATATAAATTATCTGAAATATCATTATCTGAATAAATGTAAATACTTAAGGAAAATTGCAAAACTGAAATAGAAATGAAAAGTTCTTATTAATTTGAAAATCAAAAAAAAGATAGTGTAATTACATCATTAACATTTACTGTTGAAAAATTGAATAAATAATTATTATAATTGTCATCTGATTATGAGAAATTGGAATCAGATAAAAATGAATTACATTCAATTAGCAATCTAAAAATTTATGAATTGAATTAAAAATTAGATGATTTAAGTAATGAATTATCAAAATATCAAATTACCAATGATACATTAATTTAAGAAATAATTTAATAACATAAAGAAATTACAGATAAGTAATAACTTTGTGAAAGATTAGCTGATTAAAATGATGATATTATGAATAAATTATCAATGGAAATAGTGAAATAGAAAAAATTATATGATAATGAAAATAGATTATAAGAACATATTGGATAATTAAGTATATAAAATATTGAATATTTTAATACAATAAAATATTAATCAGAATAAATTAATACACTAATTAATCAAAGTGAAGAGGATTTAAATACTTAGAAGTAAAGATTTGATTAAGTTATTTTAAAATTAAAATAAGATTATGTGAATGAACTAAAAGAAAAATAATTGGAAATCAAAGAACTTGAAGAAAAGAATACTTCAATTCTAAAAGAATGGAATAATGTTAAGAATGAATATGAAATACTTAAAATAGATTATGAATAAAACTAAAAAGAAATTAGTGATTATTAATAATAAAAAAGAATTATTGAATAGCTTTAATTACAAAATAGACAATTAAAATTGTAATTGGAAGAAAATAAAGCATTATTAAGTGAATTTGTATCACATAAAGATGGAGTTTAGGCAGACATTGAAGAAAGAGATAAACATATACAAAAAATAATAAATCAAAAAGATGATAGAATTGCTGAATTAGAAAGAGATTTTTAAATTTATTATGATAAATGTGCTATTCTTTAATAACATTAAAAAAATAATGAACATTTAGAATAATTAAATTTTACTTATAGAGAATAAAAAGAATTATTTGAATAAGATAATGAAAGATTAAAATAAGAAATTTAAAAATTGTAAGGTTAAATTAATAATTATGCAACTGTCTAAAAATAATAGAAAATTAAAGCAGAAAAACAAATTAGTGAAGAAAATCAATTACTCAGAAAATAGTATAATGAAATTGCAAATGAACTATAAAAATTAAAAGATTAATAAGCAAATATGAACACATTACCTATACAACCTAAATAACCTAGTGAAGCTGGAAGCAGAGTAAGATAAGGAGGACAATCATAAGATTTCTAATAAACAAAACAAAATTAAGTTTATCTCCAACCATAATAATTAATCTAGGTAAGAATAAATATCTATCATTAAGCCACCTTCTCCTCATCATTCATAACATTCACCTGTTCTATCAAGAAGAAACATTTAAGAATCTGATGATGGTTCTGTTAAAGGAGGAGGAAATACTTAAGAGAAGAAAATGTAGTTTTCTTTTACTGACGATCTAATGAAATAATAACAATAAGTTAAAAGATAAAGAGATCGAGAAAATTCTTATCATTCTAACATGTCAAATGCTCCATATAGAAAAAAATCACAATAATAATGAATCATACTATTATATTAAATTTTATTCTATTTATATTTTACTATTACAATTTTTTTATTTAATTAATATTATATGCATAATTGAATTCTGTTTAATTTAGTATGAATAAAATAGAATTAATAGAATTAAAATTATATACAAATTAATTAAATTACTTATTAATATCAATAAAATTAAATAGAAACAAAAGTTATTTTTTAAAAATAATTTTATAAAAAAAATAGATTTTTAAACACATTCATAATTCAAAATCAAAGATTGGAACATTAGCTTGAGTATGTTTGATTTTATGAAATTACAAACTTTAAAAATCTGGTACATTCATAAAAGATTCCAATCTATTTAAATATTGAAAAATTAATTACTTTTCTTTTAAAAAATTGTAAATTTGTATTCTACCAAATTCTATTGCTCTCTCATCATTTACAATCACTGACTCTTAAAATTAGTATTAATATAAAGAATCTACTGTTTATCTAATCCCTTCTTGAATTAATGGTTATTCACCATCATATATATCAATTGTTTTAGGATCAAAATCCCATTTACCAACAGGTTTAGCAGGTTCTACATTTTAAATAGATTGATCTTGTTAAACTTCTTCAGTTTATTGTTATTATTACTAATTTTAATCTTATGTCTATTCTTCTTCAAAATAAGGAACCAATAAATTAACTATAGCAGTGATATTTTCAAGTTGAATTTAAGGCTATTTAAAGATAATATTAATTTTTTTTTTTGCTTCAACCATATCTAAATCATGTTAAGTTATTTCTGGCTTTTGATAGGGATCTTCTTTCTGTTAACTTTGAATCTATTATTAATCTTATTATAATTATTATTAGTCTTCTGTCTATTAAGAAGATTATTCAGGATTTTATTATGGATCAATATCATCTGATTTAATTTAAACTTCAGATTTTTATATAGATTCTTTATAATTTACTGATTTAAAATAAATTTCAAAGAAACCATCAAGCAATTTATTCAAAATAGCTTTTCTAATATTAATTACAAATTGTTATGATACATAAGATGACCAAAAAGGGGATTGACTCCTTAAGAATTCAATAGTTAATTGTTTTGCATTTTTTTCAAACACATATAGATCTTCATCTATTTTATTCAATGCTTCTTAAATAATGGGTTGCATAGCTGAATTGATAGTGATATTAAACTAATTGCATTTATTCATTAAAAGATCCAACCAAATAGTCTATATTATTGATTCATCAATTTAATCAAGTTGATCACCTGTGATAAGATCTATGCCTTCAGCTAAAAGTAAAAAGAGATCCTAATGCAATACAACTCCTTTTTATCCAACTTCAGCTATTCCTTCCTATATATTAACTTAAAAGATAGAATTTGATGATTCAGCCTTAGAAAGTGTTAGATTATATAATGCACTTCTTTAGACTTCTCTTTTTTCCTTTATTGCTCTTCTTCTTTTTATTTCTGCTTTTCTCTTTTTTTTTTCCTCAATTTCAATTCTTCTCTTTTCTAGTCTATCAAGATGTTCTTATCTCTTTTATTATTCTTTTTTATAATATAATGAATGCTCTTGAATAATTGGGGTTTAGATTTCTTCTAAAAATGATTAGAGACCATTTTAAGAAGTCTCAATATTATTACAATTCTATTTGATTCTTTCGATAAGCCAAGGGATAGTGTTTACTTTAAGTTCAAGGAAATGATCATTCCTCAATACACCTAAATTCTGGAGATCATTCAAGATCCTTGAATTAACTCCTTTCATAACAAGTTTGGAGAGCACTCGAGCTATATATTTCTATTATGACAGTTTCATCTAATCTTGATATAATTTGTGCTGTAATAATCTTCTTTCCTAAAATATAATAGCCTATTTTAAGTACTCGTTCTTCTCTTCTCCTTACATAGGCTGCTTCCATCCTCTATGTTACCATTAATTCAGCATTTCTTTTTTTTTCAAAAGCAGCCTTTTATATATGCAATTCTTCTCTTTCTGATTCCTCAATCAATTCCATTCTAGCCTATTCAACAGATTTCCCAACTAAAACCTATAACACAGGCTCCACTTCTAATTTATAATCAAATAAATCTGGCTCATAAGTTTCAATTTATGTTTGTCTATCAATTCCCTTTGGTAAAGGCTTGTATTCAGGAGTTGACTTGAGTATTAAGTTACAATTACAGGTCGATCTATATAATAATCTGGTTTGATTTATGATTCATTATCTGGAAGATCAGTCAATTCTTCATAAATGTCTTAATCTCGATACTTTGGATGAGATACTTAAGGCTCAGCTTCAAACTCATAAACATTTGTATGAGCTTGCATATTATTTAATTTAATAACTTGTGTATATATATATATAAATAAGACAATCCATTCTCATTAAAATTAAATCTAAAACTATTTATCATAATCAAATTCAATAATTAACTTTTATATATTATATTTAATAAAATTCTACGATAAAGCATTTTTAAGATCTTTTATATTGTAATTCATATTATAATTCATATAATAGTAATTATACATTTAATTTTATAATATTTTAGATTTCATAATACCTTTAGGGAATGTTAGGATTATTCTAATGCTTCATATAATGTCAATCAAAATTTCAATCTCTTCATTTCTACTATTCATCTTATTCTTGTTAATTTTTAATAAGAACAATTATTGCTTTTCTTTAATTTATTAATTGAATTTTAAAATCTTTCAAATATTATACTTAACAAATATCCTTACATAAATATAATTTTTTTATAGATCAATAAAGATAATTACTTAATAAAAATCTAATTAATTGAAATTATGAATACAAACTTAACTCAACTATTTAAACTGTCTATTAAAAAAATAAGATTAGAAATTATTTTTAAAATAATGAGATTATTAATATTTTATGTATTCCTTATACTCATTATTTTTGCTTATGCAAAAACTAATCCATAAAATAAGTTATAAGATTTTAAGAAGAAGAATAATTAAGGGACAAGATAGAATAACATCAATAAGTCTTCTGATACTAGATCATCTGGAAATTAAAACAAAAATTAAACAATAAAAAATAATACTTATAAAGAATCATAATTAAAGATTTTGAATGAGTTGAAGCCTTTGTTTGGTGTAATGAAATTGATACTTAATAATTTTAGTTAAGAAAATAAGATTAAAATCGAGATTAAAATGGATAAGTATTTAACAAAAAGATTGCACTAAATTTAGAATAATCAAATTAAACATAAAAAGGAACAGGAATAGGGAGTGATGATGAGTAAATGATATTTATATGGGATTAATAATTGGGAGATTTTGAACCAGAATTTACTTTAACTTTTGATTTACCTTCTGGATCTATAGAAGTATATTTGATTTGATATTTTAGATATTTTATGAGGACATCTTATAACCTACAAATATCAAAGGTGCATTCTTTATTTCTTAGATCTAACGTGAAGAGAGGATTGATTTTTTTATTAAATCATCAAATAATACTTTGATCTATTCTAAGGAAAAAGTAATTGAAGGAATATTTAATATTGATATTTTGGAAAAAGGAGAATACAAATTTATCTTCTAGAATAAAAGAGTATGAGAAATCGCTATAAACATAGACCAAAGGTACTCAAACAATTACATTCACTCTAGATGTACATGATTCAGTATAGGAATTTTTGAAAATAGAAGATTTAGATCCTTTGGAATAAAGAATAGAAAGAATATCAATGGCAATGAGAGTAATAAATAATCTTATGTTAAAAAGGATAATTATTATTTTGATAAAATGACTGGATAAAAATTTGAAAGTAATTTAAGAGAAGTATAAAATTCAAATGAAAATTTATATATATTTAGTATTATTGAGATTGTAGGAATGATCTTGATTACATTATGGCAAGTGTTTTATTTAAAGAGAATAATTAACAATCAAAGAATATTTTGAATTAATTATATTTAAATAGTTATTTTTGAATGAAATTGTTTATTCATACTCAATCTTTAATAATGATAAAATAATTGTTTATAGATATAAAATATAATGAAATAATAATAAATTTCTACACCCTCAACTTAATTTGGATTAAGACATTCTTTACAAATCTAATCATCTCCAAATATAAAATTATACTAATAATCACCTTATCACTCACCATATCAATCACCTCTATTATAATAACAATCTCTATCTTAATAAAGACAATAAATATAATAAAATAATTTAGTTAATATTAATAGAAGTTTGTTTAATGATGCTTAAAATAAAAAATGCAAATAATAATAAATAGTAGATTTGAATAATATAGAAGAACCATGGAGATAGAAAGTATTTGAATTATAAAGAAAAATTTAATAATTAGAATAATAATAATAAAATTAAGAGTGTGAATAAGATGAAAGTGAATTATCTCAAGTTTATAGTTAAATATAACAGTTAGTAAATACTATAAAAATATTGCAAGAAGAAATTTAAAATTTATAAGAAAAATTAAACATAAAATAAAATATAATTGACGGTTATGACAAATAATTGATTGCTAAAGATAAGGAATTAGATGATTAAAATCATTATATTTAAGAATTACATAATTAATTAGAAGAATAAACCTTAAAAATGGATAATAAATAGAAACTTTTACTTTAAGAAATCAATTCATGGAAAAAAAAGTTTATTGAATAAAATAAGTATATTATTATATTAATTTATAGAGGATTACATGAAATTTAAGAAGAATAAATTAAAATTTAGACATAAATTGATAATCTTAAAAATATTAAATTGATATTAAATAAATAGAGTGAATAAACATGAATATATACTTTTGCTACCTCATTAATTACTATCTTTATTAACTGATTAAATTCTTTAATAATTATTTATTTATTAATCTAGATTGTAATGTGGAAAATAGTCATCAAATTGACTAATTTTTTCAAATGATTACAAAAAATTACCTTCAATTGATGTTCTTCTTTATTTTTGATTTTCAATTATAGAATAATTACTCATCATTGTTTAATTTTTCCTTAAATCTCTTTATTATTATTTTTAATGAATATCTGTTGGATACTTCTAAAATTGTGTTTATTTATCTGTACTATTTTTATGATATTTTATTTTATTTTGGAATATACTATCCTAAATTCTTTATAAAGGATTATATTAAAAAGATGATCCTTACATTTCTTCTTTTTAACTATATTTTTAGAATTTAGACTATCCTATTTCTTTTATTTCATTTTATATTATTTTTCTACTACTATTACTACTACTAATTCCTTGAACTGATAAAAAATTATCAGAATCCATTCTTTTAGAATACAATGTCTATCCACTATGTGAATAACTCACATAAGGAACAGAACTTATTTCTAATTGATTGATTGGGTTATTAATATTGTTTGAACTTGATGAAGAATTTTATGATGGGAGTATTTTATTAAAAGGTTCCACTTTATCTTTTTCTTCTGATTCAAAGGATTCTGAATAATCATCTTAATTATCTTCAGATTTTATAATAATTTTCCTTTTTTTTCTATGAATTTCCTAATTAAATATAAAAGATTATTACTCTTTTAAAATCAGATACTCTACTCTATTCATTATGAAATTTATAACTATTAATTATCAAATATTTATTAGGTTTGTAATTTACAAATGGACATTATGTTATTTCATGAGCTTAACGACATCCAAAACAACAAATACTAGTTAAATAAGGATCATTATGAAGTATAATAGTGTCAATTAACATTCTATATTTCTAAAATTCTCTTGGACATTGTTTTATTAATTAATGAAATTATTAAGAATTCAAACAAGCTATTTTTGAATATCCTATGCTTTCAAATTGTATTCCTTACATTTAATTTTTAAAAAAAGCTCCATTATTAAAAATTTAAAATGGATTTTTAATTTTAGTTAATTTAAATTCTTATAAAGATGTATCACCTTTTTAAATTAATTAAATAACTCCTTATAAATGAATATATAATGCTGGTTTTTATAAAATGATTTCATTAGGTCTTAATATTTATTCTTAAATTAAATCACAAATATTAAGTATAGTCTAAGTTGAGAATGATGAATTAAAAATTGGAATATCTGATAAAATCTTATAATATTTTTCTCTCTTCATTTTCTTTTATAAAAAATTTGGCATCGAATTTATATCAAATATTTATTATTGATTTTAATAACAATATTGATAAATCAATTTTTATGTATTTGGTTAATAATTTAATTATTAATCAAGATTAAGTGATTAATAATTGATTATTTGCTTGAATTTATACATATAAAATATTATCAAAAGTATTTTAATTAAATATATGAGAAAGTAATATTGATCAATTATTTATGGAGTAACAAATATTAATGTAAATATATTCTAAATATACATAATGTAATCTTATTCAATTTAAGTAAACATAAATATGATTGTTTAGGCAAAACAAGTAAAAAAATGTATTTAAATAGTTGTTTTTATAACAAAGATATAATCTTATTAATTAGAGTAAAAGTTTAAATTCTAAATACAATTATTAATTTTCCTTATCCTGATCAAATATAATAAATATATTAATTTCTAAGATTGTAAATTGTTAATTTAATAAAAAATAAATGGTATTAATCCTAAATTATCAATAATAATATTCCAAATATCTCCTCTGTAAAATATTATTTACTTTGAAAACTCAATTATTTGAGTTATTAACATAATGTATTAGAATATAGCATAATTTGATATTATCAATTTATTGCATCCAATCTCTATTAATAAAATTGTTAGATAAAATAAAAGAAAAATGATATATACACTGAATATGAAAAGTTTAGGAGCACATTCATGTTAAATGAATTTCTCTATTTGATCTTTTAATGGGACAAAGTATTAGGCTGACAAATCATTAATCAATTTAAACTACTTTTTTGTAAGGATTATATTAGATAATAGTGTTGTTTTCTCTCTGTATAATAAAGAAAAGGATGAATGAGAACTTCTATTCTTATTAAAACCAGATTTCTTAAATAATTGATCTGAATCATTTCTTTTCTTTATCATACTTAATTATTGAGAATCCTCCTTATTACTAGGTTCTTCATTAATAAGAAGTAAATCTTATTGATTATGAGGTGATGCTCTATCTGATCCTATTTATACACTAACTTATGTTAAAGTAGGTGATTTTGGATGAGTAATTTTCACTTATTGAATTTCAGATTGAATTTATTTTCTACTTTCTTAAGAAGGTTTACGTACTCTCATTTATTGTTAATTCATAGTTGACATTAGTTAAATAATAGGTTTGCATAGAGAATCCTCATTTGGAGGACTTGTTGTAGAATTTTAAATCATTATTTATTATATTAAATCATGCTTATTTTAGATTTGCCATCTCTGGTTATTCAAGAAATTCCTTTAAAGTTTCAGGACATCTAGATGCACTTAAACCACCATTTTATTTATTTAAATCTTCATCAAAAATAAAACATAATAGCACAGTGTCACATGCCATTCCATAAATTGACATAAAAAGTACAGCTAATGCATATGCTATAATGAAAACAACCTAAATTAATCAATAATATTACAATACAAGGAAAAACTGGAGAGAATATCTTTTCTTTAAATTAATCCATAGTTGTAATTACATAATAAAAGATCATTAAAGTGACAATTGAGATGCAGAATTTACCAACAAAAATGAATGCTCCACCAATGCCATTAACTAAAGAAAATCTCATACTATTAGCCCAAATAGTTTCAAAAGCAGCTTTAGCAGCAGAACAAAAGTTTTTACCAGTTAAAGCAATCATAATGTAAGCATTATTATTCAAAAATCTAATGAACCTTTCAAAACATGCCATTAAACAACTCAAACATCTTAATAAACATTTGACTGCTTTATTTTCAGAACCAGCTACTTTTTCAGTTTAATATCTAACATATTCTAACATGATTCTAATAAGTTATACAATAGCTAAAATTAAAGAACCAAATGCTAATGAACCAGCATGATATCTAAATGCTCTATAAAGAGATTATGAAATAGCTCTTTCATCACCTCCAGCACCTTATTGTGCAAAATACCAAAAACAACAAGTAGAAGCAATCACAAAATTATTCAAAGCTTAAATGAATGCATTTATCCATAATCCACCAAATATGAAATACCAAATATATTATATTTACAATTCTGTATGTGTTACTTCAGCAAATGGACTACTACCTGTTCCTTTAATTTCTCCAACAGCATATACATATGCAGCAGTATATATCCACCAAAACCAAAGACCTGCCAAGACTATTGCAGTAACTTAAGGAACAAAGATTAATAAGAAATGATCCTTCACACACATAGCTGCAGTTTTAATTACAGCTATAGCTAATCTTATTTTATTGAATATGCAAATTAATCCAATAACAGCAAAAGCACAAATACCATACATAACATATGTTAAATATTGAAATGTTAATTAATTATCTGATGCTTTATTGGTTTATTCCACTGTATATTTTCCTGTTGTATCATTCATGATATCTTAGTAATAGAGATCTTATTAATGACACCAATATGTTCCGAATCCCAAACCTACTAAAAAGAGAAATATAGATGTCCAAACCAATACTCCAGCTAACAATCTTGTGAAAAACAAATAAATTATTCTATAATATAATATTATATATATATATACCCCATTAAAAATGCAACAGCAAATGAACAATATATAGCTTCCTTTGTTTATGTTAAATCTTCTATGTAACCAGTCAAAACATCCATAGCAAATTAAGAACCATACTCTTAATAGTTATCGAATAAAGCTAATAAGGCATCTGGATAACAAACACGATCAAATACTAAAATTTAATATTTATAATTTACAGATTGATGAATTGAAGATACATAAGAAATCTTTGAATACATCAGTACTATTAGATGTTGCAAATGTCTTTAGTGCACTAGCAGCATCACATTTCTTTTCACAACTTTTAACCAAAATGTTTGGTTGGCAAGCAAGAGAAGTTGGTTTGGAATTTTCATCTGCATATAAAGGACATTCTTTCACACAGACTGTTCTATTGAAGTAATCTCCAAAAGGTATTGCAAAATACAAATAAGGGTAATCTTTATTATTATCAAATCCACAAGCAACACCTATCATTAAATATTTCACAATTTTTACCATTTGGATCATACATTGCAAGAAGTCTTTCTGGTTCTCCTTTAGAATAAGCTTCCTAAGAGATAAATCTACTTTAAATATATTTAATACATTAAGATAGCCATCCCTGCAATAAAAAGTAGTAAACAAAGTATATCTGTGCAACCTCTATCTGCCAATGGTCCTGCAATAAGTCTAGGATCAATTTATTTCTAATTGCCTTATTGATCTGGTATTGTTGTAAGAGCCTTTTATGAGATTTCTGGACTTGTAGTAACTTAAGCAATCACCTAAACTTAATTGGCAGGCTAAACTTTATTATTTTTTCTCATTTATTAATAAAAATTTCAAAGTAAATATTATTAATTTATAACTCTATTAAATTAACAATTAAGGTACATTTTTGATCAACAATCTTTTTGTTCTAAAGTATTTAAATTATAATAGTAAAAATAGTTTATTTATTTGATCAATTTCTATAAGTAATTAATATGTTAGAGATATTAAATGATATTATTATTAAGAACTAATTAATTATGATTAGATAATAATGTATTAAATAAAATATTTTAATTTTAGATGTAAGAATATAATTTTTAAGTGTATTAAAAACCAAAAAATGAATTTGATGTTAGTTATGAAGATTAAGTAAAACAAAAAAAACAAAGATTATGGACTGGAAAACCTGTACCATAATAATAAGATGATTAAGATGATGATATATTTGATTAACCAAAAAAAGATGAAAAAGTAGAAATTACAAAGGTTGAGTAAGAAATTTAAAGAAATCCTTAAGAAATTGTTCAAACATTTCAAAAAGTTGAAAATGATAATTATTAAATTGAAGTTGTTGATGAAGAAGCAGCTATGATGAGAAGAAGAAGAGTAATTTAATCTAGATTGGCAGAAGAATAATAATTATTGTAATAAGAATAATAATAAAATCAAGAATAAAAAAAAGAGAAAAAGTAAAAGGAAAGAAAAAAAGAGAAAAAACATAAAAAGAAAAAGGATGATATCATTTATAAAAATGATTAAGATGAATAAGAAGAAGATAATTAAGAATAATAAAAAGAAATTGAATTACTAAAACCAGTATTTGTTTCTAGAGTTTAAAGAGATTAATTAGATAAAATAGAAGAAGAAGAGATTAGATTAAAAGAAGAAAAAACAAAAAATTTAGAACGAATGAGATTAGAAAATAAAATTTTAATTTTAAATTCTGTTAAATCTGATGCTGCAAAAGCAGTTAATGAGGATAGTGATGATGGATAATAAAAATTAAATGATGAAGATACTTTAGATGAAACTGAATATGCATTATGGAAAATAAGAGAATTAAAAAGAATCAAATAATTTAATGATGAAAAAAATAAATATGAGATAGAAAGAGTTGAAATAGAAAGAAGAAGAAATTTAACAGATATGTAGAGAATTCAAGAAGATTTTAAATTAGGTTCTGATAAAACAAAAATGGAAGATAAAACAAAATATGTTTTCATGTAGAAATATTATAATACAGGAGCTTTTTATAAAGATATGGATGATCCTATATTTTAAAGAGATTATAATTTACCAGTTGGTGAAGATTTGTGGGTATTATAATATTATTATTATTTTTAGAGAAAGGACAATTTACCATAGATATTACAGAAGAGAAGAGGAGAATTTGGAAAAAAAGGAAATTCTAAATATACTCATTTAACTTAAGAAGATACAACTAATTTTGATCCAAGTTATTAAGTAGATTAAAATATTAGATAAAAATTCTTAAATTAATAGGCAGGATCAAAATCTTCAAATAATTTCTTTAATCAGTTTAAAAAAAGTTGATTATTTTAATATATTTAATAATTTGAAAAGTATGATAAATAATTATAAAATTAAGAAAAATTGAATAATTTTCATTTGATTTTCTAATTATTAATTGTTTTGTTTCTTAATAATTATTGAATAGTTTCTAATTTTAATGGAAAAGCTATATATAATAATTTATAAATAAATACATGGTTATGGATATTATTATTCAGTATTAGTTCTTGGTCTATTTTATGGAGTTTTGTTTTGATGTAATTATTACTAACGTTATTTTTAGGCATTGAGATATGATGAATCTGGAGATCTATTATTAACTCTATAACTAATAGGAGTGTAAGAATTTTATTATTCAGTCATAACTTATCTCTCTGTTCTACAAGCATCTGAAAGTAAGGATTTTAATTATGTATTATTATTATTATTATTATTAGTTGGACTTTATTATTTAATTATATTAGTTAAATTATTTTTGATATTGTTATTCTTATATGGTTATAATTGAAATGTCATAACACTATTAATGATATCTTATGTAGTATCAGTATTTAAATTACTAGTATTACATGGATTAGATTATTTTTTTAAATAAATACTGAAATCAAAGTCTGCTTAATTTTATTATTTTGTTAAATTTTTTTAATTAGTAGGAGATGAATCAGATCCTCTTTTTTTATTAATCATCTATTCTAAAAGATTAGTTTATATTTTGACAGTTTCACTAATAAGATTTTTAACTGATTATTATTATTATTATTTTGGTGGTGATCTTGAATTAAGAAATGACTTAATAAAATTACCAGTTAATTTAGGTGATTAATCTTATTTTTCAAATTTTGAATTTGGAATATCTTTATTAATTTATATTTGTAATACTTTTCCTTTAATTTTTGATTATTCTTATTCTTCTATTATTTTTTTTTCAGATGCATTTGATTATAATGATTCTTCTCTAATAACATCTAAATTAATATTATAATGTTTATGATAACTTGTAATTAAATGAGATATATATGGGGATTGATAAATGATATGTCTACATGCAATTTCAATAGATTTAAGATGATATAATTCACTTAGTTTAAATTCTTCAGTATCTATTTTATCATCTTTAACACCATGTTACTTAGCTTTTTCTAATTCAACAAATCTTAATTCAGTAGCAATTGTGAAATATGAAATTGAAAGATAGATAACTTTTTCCAATAATTATCTTTTTGCTAATTCAAATATCATTTCACCAAATTATGTGAAATCTTCATAAATTTATGGAGCCATATGCATAATTGATCCAATATTAAAGTTTTTAATCCATTCAGCCAAATTTTGAATACCCAACAAAGATCGATATTCTTCATTTTAAGTTACTAATTTTAATTCTTTTCTAATTGATTTTTCATTATTTTCTGGATTGTTTCTCCAATTATACAATTATCTTTTTGTTTCTTTAAGTAATTATTTCTAATCTAGTCTTATAGAAGTTAAATCTTCTTGTTTAATCATATCCTTTAATACATCTTAGGCACTATCAATTACAAGTCTACCAAATTCAATTTCATCTTTAAGTTAATAAGTTTAACCCTTCTTCTTTTTATCTACATTATGTGATGATTCATCTAAATGATTTAAAAAAAAGTAACATACTTCTCACTGAAACAATAGATTATGATGTTGTAGCAGTACCTTAAGAGCCATTAACTTATAGCCACTATTAACAAAAAGAATTGGCTATCTTAAATAACTCTCTCATAGTTTATGCTGCTTTTTGAGAATTAATCAAAGCTTACTTATGTCTATATATAAATTCTAAATTACTTTCCTAATTGACTTAATATTGCAGTATATTATAAATAAGCTTTAACTAAAAATGCTTATCTTTTAATGAGTTAAGCTTATTTTTCTTGTACATTTGTTAAAGTTTACAAATCTTATTCATCTTCTTTGATTCCAATTTCCATGTTGTAAATTACTCCATCAAGATATTTAGAACATTTATCAAGGATCCATTGACTAATTATTTTAAATACAAGGATACCATTAATAGGCACATGCTTAATTATACAAGATAATAATGATTAAGTTCCTATCAATTACTCTACCACAACTGGCAGCAAACTAATAATATTTATTATGGGATATGATACTTCTAGCATCTATTCAGATTATTATAATAATTTCAATGCCTCTTTATGTTTTTATTATTTTATTTTAGCAGTAGCCTATTCATTCAAAAGATTAATTTGCTGCATGAAAGAATCTATTATTTTTAGGTTTTTTGAAAATACCCTAATTATTGAACAATTATTTTAGATTATTTGATTGAGTGTACTCTTATAAATCTTCATCATCTTCTTCATCATAAGATTCCTCATCAGGTTATTGTTCTTACTTGGAGTTATTTGAAATTGTTTGTTAATTATTCATTAATAAAATAATAATGGATTAAAAGAAAGACATTATTCTCAAGAAAATTGTAGAAAATGAAGAAACAACAATATAGAAACTTCCTCCTTAAATTAGATCAGCTATTCCTTTGAAACATAAAGTATAATGTGGTGGAGGCACATTTGAAATTTACACTCATTATGAGTTATAGCGTAATATAGGAAATGGTGCTTTTGGGTTTGTTTGTTCAGGAAAAGATAAATTGAATAATATTGATGTTGCCATTAAGAAAGTATTAGTATTTATTACATATAGATTGCAATGGTTTTTAGAGATTTACTTGATGCTAAAAAGGTTCTAAGAGAAATTAAACTATTGAGTATTATAATTAACATTTAAAATTAGAGTTCTTTGATAATCCAAATATAGTTAAATTATTGGATATCATTGTTCCTGATGATTAAGATACTTATAAAGATTTGTATTTAGTGTTTCAACTTATGCATCTAGATTTAGAAAAAGTCATTTAATCTCCTTAACCTTTGACAGATAAGAAGATCAATTGGTGTATGTATTAAATCATTAGTGGCTTATATTATATGCATTCAGCAAATATCATTCATAGAGATCTTAAACCCAATAACATATTTATAAATGCAAATTGCCATATCAAAATTGGAGATTTGAATTTAGCAAGAAAGTAAGAAGTAGAAAATGCTTCAATTTAAACTGATTATGTTGTTTAAAGGTGGTATAGAGCACCAGAAGTTTTATTATCCTCTAGTGAATATACTAAAGCTATAGACATATGGTCTCTTGGTTGTATTTTAGGTGAACTTTTAGGAAGAACCATTTTATTCAAAGGTATGCATCACTAAGAATAAATTGAAAAAATTGTTGCTGTCTTAGGTAAACCTAAATAAGAAGACTTGCCTTATGAAATTGATGAATAATCTACTGAATTTTTGTAGTAATTACCAGAAAGAGAACCTATTAAATGGGCAGACTTTTTTCCATTTGCCTCACCTTTAGCTTTAGATTTGTTAGAAAATATGTTAGTAAATACATTTTATTAATATTAGGTCTATAATCCTAATAAGAGATATACAATTTAATAGTGTATTGAACATCCATACTTTAAATAACAATATATTGATCATCCACCCCAAGTTTGTAAGGAGTCCTTTGATTGGTCTTTTGATGATATTGAACTTAAGGAACAAGCCTTGCGAAAAGCTTTGTATTAAGAGGCACTTGAGTTCTTAAAGCCAAAAAAATGATAGTAATATTGATTTTTATACTTAAATCAAGTAAAAAATTTTCTCTACAAATGCAATTAAGGAAAGGCTTGCATCATATTTATTTTTTTAGGTGAAACTTTTTATTCTTTTATAAAAAAGTTATTCGCAAATGTGAAAGCACATTCATCTCTATTTGTTGGTGAACTCTATTTAGATTCAATATGAGGCAATATTGAACGTTTATAATTTTAAGATATTGATTGTTTATCTAAAAAATATCCGTAATCATCTGCAGTATTCTACTTTTCATGAGGTTGCAGTAAACTACGTGAATTTCTTTAAGACAATATGAGATCAGGTATTTCTTTTCTTTATTTCATCCTAGTATCAATTATTTTCTGTTTTTAATTTATAGTAAATCTAAGTCTCTCATTTTCTGATATTATCCTCTTAATCTATTCAATTGGGTCTACTTTCTTAGCAGTAACTATTTATTTTTAAGAATAGCTGTTGAAAAAGTTAAATTGATTTGTTTTTTCATCATCACAAGGTGATATCAAACCTTATAGAAGATTATTTTCTCGAGATTCTCTGACATTAGTTGATGCTGTAACTAATCCATCTGTCAATATTCTGTCTAAAATAAACAAAAATACATATACCAGGTAATTGATGAGCCTGTTTTAATTTAAGTCCAGCCTTTTTTTTTAATATTATTTTTTAGCCCTGATCCTTGCATTTTAGGTCCATATCTGATCTTAGAAGGTTTAATTTTATATTAAAATTAATTATGCTAATACTGAAAATTTTGATACTACAAACACAATCAAAATATAAAAGACATTAATATCATACTTTTTATGTTAATATATCTATTGATGAATTTATTTTCAGCAATTTTGTAAACTCTTTTTATGAAATCAAAAACATAATTCCTTTTTATAGAATTCATAACTTAAAATTAAAAAGTTATTTATTACCTATAAATAAGTAATCAAAAATTTGATTTTTCATTTAGATATTAAATAATTAAGATTTTTCTAGGTTCTAAAATGATTTATTTTGGCTTAACAACTATAAATATATATCATTTTATAATATCTATTCTATATTAAAAGTAGTTTTTTAACATTTACAACTTCCCATAAAATTATAATTAAAAACATCTTGTCAGAAATTGATTATATTAATTCATCATTTAATAAGATAGAATTATATAATTAAAAATATTATAAGATTATCTAATAATCATACTAAATATTATTAACTAATATGAATATATTAATAGATATATCTATTAGGACAATTCAAGTTTATTTTACATAATTGATTAGTTAGGAAATTAATTTATCAAAAAATTTAACATTTAACACAAGCCTCTGGGTAGTTCTCAAATCTTTTATTTTTAATATCCTCTTATTTGAATAAGGGATGTTATCTTTTATTAATTTTATTTTCATCATCAATTAAATCTAAAGAGGATATAGATTCATATTAAAGGGATCTTGCTTTTTATTTACTCTTTTATTAAATAAAACTTTCAGTTGAGAAGGATTTACTTTTAATAATTTCAAATAATTTATCTCTATATTCATCAATTAAATTCAACAAGATAATGTATTTATGAATTTAGCATGATATTTTAATAAATGTTTAATCATTAATAATACCTATAAATTTCTCATTCAATTTATTAAAGTTGACATTATTGTTAATTTGTGATTATAGAAACTAGTATTGTAAATTATCTATTTCATTTTAGTATATCTATGATAATCTGAAAATGTAAATTTTTTCATATTCATTTTCCACATAGTTCTCAACATCTGTAACATCACTGAGTTCTGATAAATCATTTAATTACTTTTGTATAAGTAATTTGATTTGTTTAATATTCCTAAAATTGTAAGAAATAGTTACTATTTGTTTTCTTGATAAATTAATGAAGCTTACTTTTTTTTTAGATTTGATGGAATCTAGAAATAGATGTCTAATTAAACTTTTATATCTTAGATTTCATTACTAATAGACTGCAACTTAAACATATTATCTTAGAATACTTCAATTATTTTGTATGAATAGTTTCTAATTATTTTAGGATCGACATTTCCTAATTCATATTTTATTTGATCGACAATTAACTAATCATGAATTAGTAGTTGATACATCAATATCATGTTGATAATTGCAAGGAAGAATTTGGGATTATTGTTACTATTGATCAACATTCTCAAAAAGCTTTTGAGTCAACAATATAACTTTAGGAATCATTAATTATGTAATACAATAATTTTTATGTAATATCATAGATTGTATTTTTTTTTTTAATTGCTAGATAATTCCTTCTCCATTCCTTTAGGTCTTACTATTATATCTTGACCTTATAAAACACTTTTCATAATTTATTCATCTAAGACATATTAATGTTTAAAAAACATAGTTCTGGTTGTACTACCTAATTTGTATTTGAACATAGGTATTCTTAATGAAGGATGAAGGAAATAGGAAAAGCCTCTAAAATTTTCAATATCAATATAAAATGATCTACTATTCAATCCAAAGAGTGAATAAGAATCCATTACAATTGATTTTCCATTTGGTGACAACCACAAATTAAAAAGAGTTTTGTTTGTTTTCCAATAAAAAAATATCATTCCTATACCAAGAGCAGCCATTATAATAATTGAATTTTCCATTCCAGACTTATAAGAAGCAGCAGTCAAATCTTAGATATATATTAATAGTATAAATACCATTTAATGCATATTATGAATTTTATTTGTCTTACATATATGAATATGCATTATATCCAATAAGTCCTAAGTAAAATACATTGAAAAGTTTAATGCTTTTTCCTTCAGTTGATTTGTAAATGCTTAAAAGGTCTCCATTTGGAAATTTTGATGGATCAATATAGACACTAAATTTATTGATTATTTTATAAATCATTAAAAAAGATGGATGTATTAATATTTAATATTTTCTTTATTTTATGATAAATATATAATGTTTAATTTGAATCCATTATGTGAATTATCAATTAATTTTACAAAATTTTAATCACAAAAAATAGAACTTTGATTATAATATCATTATATATATAAAATTCCTAAGATTATATTAATTATATAAATAAATAAATTGATATTTTAATATAAATACTAATAATATTACATTAGATATCTAAATTATACATAATTAATTGTTTAATTTTCAAAATTAACTCTTCGTAAAATGTCTCAAAAAGCTTATCAAAGTATTATGGATGCCAATATTTCTGCTACTTAATTGTTATAAGAAGGTAAAAATAAGAATAAAATATAAAATAGAAAAATACAATTAAGGTTATTAAATATTGAGAAGAATTGAAACTACTCTAAAGCAAGAAAAAGAAGCTCCTACTATTCCATTATCATAAATTAATCATCTACTTTCTGTAGTAACAAACAATATTGGTTGTTTTTATTATATGTAATTTTCATTCATTATAACATCAGGGTTGATAAATTTTAAGCAGCTGAAAAATATCTCAAGTAATCAATTGAATATTTATAATTATCCATTCCAGATGAAACATTACTTATCACTTTAATTAATTTAGTTATTCTCTTTATAAAAAATGAGAAATACTAAGAAGCAAGTAGATACATTGAATAAAGCTTTACTGAATTAAATTAATTGCAAGATTAATAACTTAATCCAAAAATTAGATTATTTTTGGGAGATCATTCTTCTATTATGACCTTATAATCATTAGAAGCAATTTTATTATTTTATAGTGGATTAACATTTTATGAATTAGGATAATCAAGTAATGCCCTTTAAGCTTGGAAAAAAGTGCTTGACATTTTACAATCAAATACAAAATCACCTTATTATATATTAACTAAATCAAAAATTCAAAATTTAGAAGCTGAAAATGTAGCCAAAAATAATAAAGGAAATTTATATTCAAGTAGATCACATCTTAAATCAGATCGTATCAATAAAATCTTAGAATAATATTCTAAAGATAATGAAAAATAAAATTAACAAAGTTTTCGTTTATTAAGTTAGAAAATCAAAAAAAAAGTAAATTTAATAATATAAAAAGATAGGTAATGATATTGGTGAATATCAATAACCAAAATGGTAAAATAAAATTGAACATAATGAAAAGAAAATTGAAATTAATAATTACTTTAGTGATTAAAAGAAAATACAATTGTAAATTAATGTTAAAGATCTCTTGCATCAAAAATCTATTACTTAAAGAGATAAAACAAGAGATATGCCTCTAAGTTCTCATTCTTCTAGTGTCAATTAATAACTTAATAAAGCATTAAAAAAGAGACCAACTTAACACATTGAAATTATTGAAAAGTTGAATAAAACACACAATGAAATCTATAAAAGCTATTTAGCTTAAAGAAGTAACAATGGAAGTAAAACTCAACGTGGAGATTCTAGTATTTATTTTTACTATTTTTAGATATTGATATCAGAATTAAAGTTAATGACAAAAGCAATCATTCTTAAAATACTATTCAATAAAACAAAAGTCATGATAAAAAGTCTGTTGATCTTAGAGAATCACCTGAATTATGTGGAAGTCCTTAACAATTTTTCAATATGCTTTAATCTACATAAAGTGTAATTAAAAGCCAATTGATGAGATCTGGCAGTCAAGGAAGTGTTTCATAAACATCTCCTTTTAGACTAGCATAGAGTTAAGGAGAATAACCTAAAAATACTAAATTACCTTATGATTATTCCAAAACTCATAGACCTATGGTTGATACTTATGATAAAGCCATTAAAGAATTATATTAAAATTAATATATCCAAATTGAAAATAAGAAATTCAATCGAATATATGATTTGGCTTAGAATGTTAAAAATAGAATATCAAATATTAATACAATGCTCATTCAATAAGAAAAAAATTAATAAATCCTTTAAAAACAATTTCAATAAGAGTTCAATTAATCATAAGATGAAGACAGTTGTGAGACTATAATTAGTATGGATTGAATTAAGTAATATATAATCACTATTAAATATAAAATTAAAATTATATCCAAATCTTAATCTAATTGATTAAACTATGATAAATAGATATTTGAATTTAAGTTTTATTATTTATTGATCTAATTCCATAAATTTATTAACAATAATAATAAATATTCAGGAATTAATAAAATTATTATAATATGAATATCATTTTAGAAAATTAGAAATTTTAATAGTTTAAGAATTCAATATTGAGTTTTTCTAAACAATAAATTTTGATTAAATCTTAATCTCCTTATAAAATTAGATAAAAAAAGTGTATATTTTTCATTTTGATATTTATAAATGATTTAAATAACTATTAATATTTAAGAGATTTTTCATTATATTTATTCCTGATTTATCTATTTAATCTATTAAGTTTATAGGATTACTTCTAATATCTATGGAACTATATAATTTTATTTAACAATAATATTATATATAAAGTTGTTTTGAATGATGTTACAAATTGTTAAAAAATGAAACATAGTAGTATAATAAAAAATTAGATGAATGATATTAATATGATGATCTTAATAATTTATAATTATTTATAAATATCTCTTACTTAAGGAATTAAAGGAGAGTAGAGTTGAATTCATACACATCCTAATAATTAATTTAATGAATTAACAATAGGAAATTAGTGCCAAAGAAAACAGTGCAGATTTTTCTACTACACAATAGGAGTGTCGAAATGGTAATGCAGCTGAACATTAACTATCAAAAAAAGAACAATTCTTACTTAAATGCATTAAACATTAAGACATAATGATCTATAAAAAGAGATATCAAATTGGTGATAGTGTATTAATAAAGACAACTAATCAAATTGAATAGATTGGGTTAATTCAAAACTTTTATGGTTATCAACAAGATGATAAAACAATAGTTCCTTTAGTTGAAGTTTAATGGTAGATTTAAGTATTTGATTTTTAGGTATTGTACTTATTAAGACCTTGCAGATTCAATTGATAAAGACTCTTTTTCTGAATGTGAATTATTCTTAACTGAATAGACAACTATCTTATTTATAGATTGTATATAAGCAAAATGTTTTGTAATGAATATTGATGAATTTGAAAACACAGGAACATAAAATGCCTATTTTACTAGATCTAAATACAACACTTTGACTAAACAATTAGAGCCACCAATTTCTTAATGGAAAAAAGTTTGTATTTGTGAATAGCCTTAAAATCCTGTAAATAATTTTATTTATATAATCAGGATTTATTGTATATCTAATGTGATCAATGCAATAAATGGTTTCATTTATCTTGCATGGGATTAACATAAGAATAAGCAAATTAAATGGAACAATATAGTTGCAAAATATGTAAAAAATGAGTGTATATTGTTTATTCATATTATAAACTTATTCATTAATTTATTTGCGTTAACATTATTGATAATAGATTTAATTTAATCCATTTTCTTTATTGCTTATATTACTTTTATAGGATTGCTTTTTTAATTTGATATTAGATTCTTTTAAATAGAAATGCTTTCTCCATATAAAGAATTTAATTTAGCTATAATTTTAATAGAAACATTTTAAATACCTTCAGTTTCACTAATTACTGATTCATCCAAAAATAATTCATTATCTAATTAATCAGGATACTATTTATTTCTTTTAAGAATCCTTTTCATAGATGTTTAGGGTCTTCCACATTATTCTTTATAATTATCAACTCTATCACTTGTTAAACTAATAAATGATATAAAATAATCACTTTCTTACTTATAATTTTCTAAATTCCCTAATTTTTCAGTCAATTTTTATATCTATTAAGAAGGTAATAATGGAATTTAATTCAAAATGTAATCTGAAGAGGCTCTGAAGGACTACATTCATTAAATTTAAAATCATTTAGTACTTTAAGATAGTTACTGTAAATTAGCTTTGGCTATAAGTTCTATTATTTTAGTTTGGAAAGTTTAAAGCCTATTTAATTGTCTGATTTTTATCTAAGATAAATAAATAAAGTACTTAATAATAGCAAACTATTTTGATCTTATTTTAATTTTATTGTTAAATTCTTTTATTCATCAAATTATATAAATACTTTATTAATTTTAAGATTCTATTTCATTTGATATATTTCTACTTTTTATTCCATCTCTGAATTATGTCAATATTAAATTTAAATGATGGAGTCTCTTCTCATTTTAATATTATTATATTTATTTTTGATTATCCTTATTATTATTAAATGGTTCATCCTCATAATTGTTATCAACTTCTTAAATATAATGTTTAATCTCATTAAAATCTATTTAATTTTTTATATCAGAACTTGTCTTCCTATTTAAGGAAGGCTTATTAAATAAACTATTATACTCTGATATGACATGAATTAGCTTTTCTATACTTTTCAATTTCAATGTAAGGTTAAGTATCCATAACAATTCCATTAGCTTTATTGATTTGAATCCAATATTTTTTGTTTGTTCTTTATCTTTAAGTATGTTAAGATGTTCCTCTGTTTAAATATGAAGAATCTATACGACTAGTTGGTCTATTAGTAGTTAAAGCTGACTCAGAAGTTAATTTGTTTGATTTAAGCATTATAAATAAAATAAATTCATAAATAGTAATTCCTCTTCACTAAATATGGTTTATTATGATTGCTCTAGTTGCTCAACATACTATTTTTTTGAATGCTATCAAAATACTCATTTGAAAAGTATTTACTATGCTATACTACCATATTAGTTGGAGTTTGAATTGTTGAGAAATTTAATTAAGTATTATTGTTAATTTGATTTGATGTATTTAATTATATTTAATTACAACTAAGATTTCTATTGATCTAAGTTTCTAAATGATCAAGTGATATCAATATTGTATTGATTGTGATTTCATTCACTTTAATCTTACTTATATCAAAAACTTAGAATTTAATTAAAATATCTTCAATCTTCTTATAAATTTTAATTAATTAATTATTAAAATCAGTAATTATGCTAAAATAAAGAAGATGATATACTTCTCATAATATTCCACATCTGCTTTAACTTTAAATTATAATGTATCATACTTTTATTAAATTTGATTTGTGTTTTATAATTCCTCAATTTATTTTAAGTATTATGCATTTAAATCTTAGTTTATTTAATTTTAATCAATTACTTATTACTATAATTATTCAATTTATTCAACTTATTCTTATCTTTCTTATTAAAGCTTTTCAAGATTCTAATTTAAATTATAAATTTGTTAATTCAATTGATCTTCTTTCTCTATAAGACATTAATTTTAATAGAGGAGTGCTTAATGCTACTATGTGATTGTTATTAGTTATTTATTTTATTATTCAATCTATTATAATTAATTACTTAATTTCTCTTAATACTCTCCTAATTTTTAATGTAATACCAATTATTATTAAAAATCTTATAAAGTTTATTTATTAATTCTAATCATCTAATCTAAACCCTATTATTATTTTTGAATAAGATTAGTATTTCTTGATGATTTCAAATTACTATCAAATTCACAAACACTATGATTATCTTAAATCTATGTAAATTAAATTTAACTTTATTTATCATCAGATTATCTAATTATCATTTGTATTTAAGATGCACTATCATTAAATTTTCTACTTAAATCTTTATTTTATTATTCATAATCTTATAATTATCTTTGTAATAAAGTAATTTATGATTGATATTTCATAATTTCATCTTAAAATAAACTTTTACTTTTATTTTACATCTAATTTATTTATTTAATAAAATCCTCTTTCTCCATTACTTCTATGTTGTATTATTCAATTTATTTTTATAATTGTAAGATCATTATTTTCATCTCTTTTTGTTTTAAATCTTTTTAATCATTTTATTGTTTTAATTGTTCAGCAATATCTTTCTACTTATCAACATAATCTAATAACGATTCTTTTTCTTATTCTAATTAATTAATTGTTTAATTGGCTAATGTAAGTTTTTAAATTGCTTATTAAATTGTATTACTTAATTCTTAATTCTATCGTTAATATTCAGAATGATCAATTTATTCATTTGTAATGTTTTCATAATTTTAAATTATATCTTATAATTATTATATCTATTTTTCATAATGATCTTTCTATTTTTTTAATTCCATATAAAAATCAACACATTTCCCATTATTTTATTTGATAAAAAAAACTCCACAATTAAACAACTTTTTTTCTAATTCCAATTTAAGTAAGTTATTGTAAATAACCAATTATTCATAACTTTATTGTTCACTTTCTACTGATTGATTATGATTACTATGATGTGTTGATTGAGTTGATTGTAATGGAACATATTATTATTTCAATTTATTCAAATATGAATTAGGTTGACTAGGTGATTTCTTTTTAATATAATTATTAGGAGGTAGACTACTATTATGATATTTGTTAATAAAATTTGAATCTTATTGAGATTACTATGTGTTCATATTAATAACTTAATTTTAATTGGATGGAGCAAAAGTGTATTCTCTATTTGAATAATGAATACTCAATGGTTTTTATTATTATGTTGGAACATCTAAGGGTTAACAATAATTGTCAATATAATTTAAATTCATTAATATTTTTTATATTAACTCAAATATCATCATAAGCATTCTTGATCCCCTCTTTGAAAGTACTAAATAATGTTGAAAATGATTTATCAGTCTTGTTTAGTTCATCTCTTAAAGGCAAGAATAGTTTATGATGCAAAGAGAAATAATATGCTTGATCTAAGTTAATTGCAAAATAAAATCCTGCTGTAAATCCAATTAATAAGTATCCAACTTATAATCTATTTATCATTAATATTTTTATTAAAATTAATAATGGTTTATAGAGTATTCTAAAATTGTATTATATGATTTAATAATTATACTATTAATACATAATTTATCATATAAATTAATTGTAGAATTCATATTTCATAATTTTAGATTTTATCCATTTTGTTGTTGATATTATTCATTTTTTAAATTAGATGAAACTGTTAATCTGTTTAGATCATTATTCTATTTATTTACAATGATTTCTCTCTATGATATATAATTATTTAATAATATCAAATATATCTATTTATTTCATTCCTAAAATAACCTATCAAATATTTATTTATTAAAATTAGTTTAGATTATTCTATATTAAATAGATTAAATGAATGAATTCTTAATTCTTATTTGTATTTCTCCTGTTCATATTATTTTCTATTTCAATTATTAAATTTAAAATATCTTATTTTCTAATTAATTTCATTTAAATATTCAATAAATAATGCCATTTTATAATTAAATTTATAATCATTATTTTAATCTATTAATAAAACTTTGTCTTTTAAATTCTGTATATAGTTTTCTATCTCTCTTTCCTTTCAAAAATCTAGCAATAACTTTACATGCCATATATTTCTCCATTTAATGTTCCCACTATTGATTATACTTTTATTTGTTTTCAGTCAACTTTTAAATAATTTAGTTTGCATAATGTTCTTTCTGATTTAAATCCTAAATATATTAATTTCATGATTACTTCAATAATCTGTTATTATCTACTAAATTTTTCTTAAAGTTACTTTAATGTGAGTCTTGCTTAAGATAATTCTTCCTATCTTTTAGTATTAATTTCAATCATAATTCTCTCCTTATCTTTAGTATCTTGTAATTCTTGAAACATTTTAGAAATTGCTTCGTTATTCTACAACAAATACTTCTCAAGATCAGATCTCATATTAATTAATTCTTATTTTCGTTCTTTAACATTTTTAGCTTTATAAATTATTTATTTTTTATTTTAGGAGGATGTCTTAATTAAACTTTCATTTGACTTAACTTTCTTACTGTTATCTTAAACTTTATCTAATTTAATTTTAGATTATTTAACGTCATTCTCTTATAATTTTTTTTGAGTTTTATTTTATTTATCATCTACTTTATTCTCTTCATCTATTTCAAAAGATTCCTCATCATATTCCTATTCATAATGGATAAATTTTTAAATATTATTAATAGGTGTCTATTCAATTAACTTTCCTTCTTTTATATTATCATTTTATTTAACTGTATCCAAAAGTACTAATTATGATATTACTTAATTGTTTTTTAGTTTTTCATTCATTCTTAATTATTCAATATTATCAAATTTTTACAAAATCTCTTTCTATTATTGTTTTAATATTTCTTGGTTTTATTTGATTGAAATTTAAATGACATCAGGCTTTTATTACTTTTATATAAATTTTTCTTAATTCAATTTTTCAATAGATTCATATTGTTTATTAGTAATATAAAACTAATTTTCAAAATCATTATCATTCCAATCAAAAATACCTGCATTTTTAATTATATCTTGATTTTATTATTATAATTTATTGTTATTCTAGTTATCTAACTGTTATTAGATAATTTATTATTATGAATTGGTTGTACATTTTTTAAGGATGTTGTGTTATTATTATGGAAAATAAAAATTAGATTGAATACAAGGACTTGTTGTACATACTTGATTTTTATCAAATTTCATTTATTTTGCAGACATATTTTATGTAAAATGTTGTTTCTGTTTATTTTATTTAGAATTCTTTCCATTAAGTTACTAATTTTAATCTCCTTAATATTAATCTGTCATTTATCTTTAGGAACTCCATGGTCTGACATTAGTTTTCTAGTTTCTCATATCTTCATCTTTTCTTTATTAATGATTGAATTAAGCCTTATTTTATTTTGAACTTAGTTTCTAAGTTAGAGTATCTTCAAAAATGACATCATTGAAATCAAAATTTATAGAAGGTTTCAATAATTGTTTCATAAATTAATTTTCATTATTTATAATAAACCATTATATCATCAATTCACAAGATGGCATCACATTAATGTCTTTAAATATTAGTCGATAATAATTACTAAAATAGAATATCATGATATTTTACAAAAGAATTCAATAATTTCTTCCAGATTATATTAAAATTTTACTTTCTAAGATTATAGTATATATCCTTTTTAGATTATTTATTTTAAATAATCAGTAGCATATTATTTTTATTTACTTGAAAATTAAGAATATTTTATGATATTTCGTATATTTTAATATTCTTATTGAATCAATAGATTTCTAGTATTATTGCATTAAAATAAGAGTTAGAAATTTAATATAAATTAAATTTATATTTATATATTTCATATTAATAATGTAACATATTATAGAGTACAGTATTAATTTTTATTGAACCTAGTTTAAAATAATTTTTTATAATAGATATAATATTAGAAGACCAAGATTGAAACTGAAAATGAAAGTTGTAGAAAGTATATTTAGGATTTTTATTTATATAATAATATTTATTTTATTATGAATTTGTTAATCTAAGATAAAACAGAGCAATTCTCTATGCCTAATTTAAACTTCAGCATTAGTCAAATGATCAATTAAGCTACATTAAAATAATAGTAGTAATCAACTACTGAATTCTTAACTCCATCAAAACATCGTTCAATGGAATAACTATTAAAATCACCAGGAGTACAAGAACTAATAAAAGATTCTATAAAAGCAGTTATAAAAAAGAAAGATTTTAGTCCAAAATTATTTACTTAATATAAATATGATTAATTAGAGAGATCTGAAAGTCCAGCTTAATAAATTTTACCTAAAATAGAAAAAATCAATAATATTCATGTTCTTAAATAAATATAGCATATAAAGAAAAAGAAATGTAAGAATTTATAATAAAATATCTAAGCAAATAATTAAGGAAACTCACCTAAGTCTAAGAAATCAAATCATTTAAAATTTTAATAAGGAAGGTTTATGTAAATATTTCCATAGACAGATGGAATATCAACTTTAAACATTTCATCTAAACCAATTCATATTATTTGTACTATTAATTATTCATTGTAGAAAGAAATAAATTTTAGGATTCCTTTTTAAATAATTCAATGGATAATAAATTAGAAAAAGAAATTGTATAAAAGATTAGATTATAAATGGAAAAACATGCAACTTAAATTGAATCTGAAACTGTACGTACAACTAAATAAGCAAGATAAAATTCATAATAAATGAAAACTTCAAGAAATATTAAAATTGAGCCTATGGGTAATGTTCCAACTGTAATATAAGTAACTAATCCAAATTCAACAACTACTTAATTACCAAGTATTAAAAAGAAAAAATTAAAGAAATTTGATGGAATCTATTATTTTGATCCAAAATATCCATAAGATTTGATCTTTTAAGAAAGATATGCTTCTATGAGACACTATTTTAATATAATAAATTTATCTAATTGTCTATTTGTTTAACCAACTTAAAATATATACAAAGCATATGTTGGAAAAGGTAATAATGGAATGTTAGTAAGATAGATTATAAAAAGTAGATGGTGGTGGAGTATTTAAGATGAATAAGAATAATGTCATTTTGTTTGGACTCAATTAAAAGTTAATACAATTCATGAAAATATGAAAGCTTTAAATAGAAATCCTAATGAATCTATGAGTTGTTAAAGTGCTTCATCATCTCTAACAACAATAGGTTCTGTTAGTTTGGGTTTCTCTAAATAAGATGAATAAAGTGAAAGTGAATAAATTAAAGTTGATGCAATATAAAAGATTAATAATTAATGGAGTAAATTCCTTGCAAATGCTGAATTAAGATAATTTAGTACAATTCTTAATGGATAAGGTCGATAATCTAAATTATTAACTTTAGAATAAGCTTAAACAGTTAAACCTAAACTTTCTGTATATAATGAACCTGTTAAAGCACATAATCATTTAGAAAACAATTTTCATTTAGGAAATAAGAAAGCATTATTTTATAATATGAAAGCATATTATGAATCATAAAATTTGAATGTATTTGAAAATCTACCAGTTACATATCATATTAAAAGTCTTGATGGACCAGAGTATCATCAATTTATGGAAGCATATAAAGAAAGATAATAAATGATAAATTAAGAAAATGATGAAAAAAATAAACGCAGAAATATTTGGATTATAAAACCTGGAGAAATTACTAATAGAGGAAATGGGATAAAAGTATCTGAAGATCTAAATGAAATTCAATCTATTTTAAATTCAAGAGAAATGCATAAAAATGGAAGTTATAAAACATTTATTGTTTAATTGTATATTGATAGACCTTTACTTTATAATAAACGCAAATTTGATATCAGATGTTATAGTATGTATGTATCAATCAATGGAAATTAAAAAGGTTATTGGTATACAGAAGGTTATGTTAGAACATCTAGTAAAGAATTTACAATGAAAAATCTAACTAATAAAATGATTCATTTAACTAATGATGCTGTTTAAAAAAAAGGAGAAGATTATGGAAAATATGAAAAAGGCAATAAAGTTAGTTTTGAAGAATTTTCAGTCTATGTTGAAAATCTTGGAGGTGATTTTAATAAGATATATGCAAAAATGAAGGTATTTTTATATATACATATATGTATAGTAAATGGCAACTGAATAATTTAAAGCAGTATATGGTAAAATAGATTAAAATAAAAGAGAAAACACTTTTGAAATATTTGGATTAGATTTTATGATTGATGATACTTTTAATGTTAAAATGATTGAAGCAAATACAAATCCTTCAATTGAAATATGTTGTCCTTTACTATCTAAATTGATACCTTAAATGCTGGATAATGCCTTCAAGTATTTATAATAAATATTGAAGAATTGCATTAGATCCAATATTTCCTCCTCCAAACTTTTATAATCCTAAAAAGATTATTTGTGAAAATTATCTTGATAACAAATTTGAATTAGTTTTTGATGAAATGACAGATGGACCACTAATTACTTAATCCTAACCTAATTGTATTTAATTATTTATAATTATTTTTAGATGATATTGGATTAATTGAAGAAGAATCTGAAGAAGAAGAACCAGAATGATTATTATTAATATTATTTTAATGTAAATTACTTATTTTATAGCTTATTATTATAGTTGATATTTTATTTTCGTGTAAAAATAGAAAAAAAATAACAGGATAATGATGTTTATACTAAACAATTCATGTTACCCTCCTTAAATTTTATTAATTGATGAAGAAAGAATCCAAGTATTATTTAGGAAGTTTACTAGCACCATACTATTATGAACCTAATTCTTTTATTGAATTAAGTCCTAATGATAAGGCATCTCTTTGTCCATAATTAATTGATTTTAGTACTCCTATTTGTTCATTAAAAAATGAAAATATATCAACATACATTGTAACTAAAACAAAGTATTTCAAACAATCATCTTTGGTTCTGAAATAAAAAAAGATTGGTAAACAAATACATTACAAACCATTATAAATTAATGGAAGAATTTCTCATTGTTATGATGAAATATGGTGGTTTTTATTAACAGTAGATTATATTAAAGTAATTGCAAGATAAGTTAATTTCTAATATCCAGATAATTTAAGATAAATACGATTGGATGTCTATTTAAAATAGAATGCATTAAATGATTAATTTGATATATCTAAATTCAATTAAAAAGCATTCTAAGATGGTTTTGTAAATAGAGAAAGATTTTCATATGCAGAATCAGAAGAAGATCTTAATGTAGATTTATAATACTTTGCTCGTTTATCACTTTTACTCTTATTTGATTTATTAAATCTCTAAAGAACAATACCAGCAATGATCAAATCAGATAAGTATGTTAAGATATTTTTTACTTAATTGGAAAAATTTCATTCACTTCAAATGGGTTAACCTTTAAGACTTGATTTAACTTTTAAAGATTTTGCAAGAGTTATCATTACAAACAATGAATATTATAAGAAGTCCTTGTAAAATTCAGCATTTTCTAATAAATTATATTCACTAAAAGACTTTAAGAGTTCCTGTTTGTTTTTATCAAATAATAAATATTATACTAATGAAGAATCATAATTTACACCAATTCAATAAGAAGTACCTATTTATTAGAATGTTTATTTTAAAAAATATATGAATACTCTATTACTTGAAATATAGAAGTTTATATCTACATCTACTAAACATGTACCTGAACTCAAATAATAGAATTATTAAAAGTATTGTTTTGAGTTATTATTTCTCAAATTAAATTGTACTTATCAATCTTTATGTTAAGGATTTCATAATCATTAACCAAGTATTGATAAACTTAATGAATTAAGATATAAGGTTGATAATATTGAATAATTGAGTACAAAGACATTTCTATCACTTAATGCTGAGAATTCATCCTTATATAAAGAGATTCAAAACCCATTTATTTAGGTTATTGTAGGAGGGATAACTCATAAAAAAGACAAAGAGTATTTTGAATTATAGATTTCTTCAGGAAATTTATGTGATTGTTAAAAATATTAGTAATCATTAAAATAATTGGAAATCACTAGAAGAGAATAAGTTCAAAAAATGATAGATTTTTGTACAGGTAAATTAAAAGAGTCTGAAGAAATAAATGAAAGTGAAATTAATTCATTTTTAAATAGTTTAGATTAAGAAATATATGAACATTCTAAACCTAAAAATATGGTTTGTGAATTGAAACAACATTAAAAATAAGCATTAACTTGGATGTTATGGAGAGAAGGTATAATACCTAATCCAAAAAATTTAGAAAATTAAGATAAAGGTTAATGGTAATTATCTCCTTTATGGGAAGAAGTTCTTTTAGAAAATGGCAAAAAATTATATATGAATACATTTACTGGAAAAATCACAGATGAATTTTAATCTTATAATTCTACTAAAGGAGGAATACTTGCAGATGAAATGGGATTAGGAAAAACTATTATGACTTTAGCTTTGATT